AACTGTGAACGCCTGAGTTTTTAAATAGAGTTACAAGACTTCACGAGCAACTTAGGCCAACATTGTGTGTGAGAAGATCTTTGTTCGTATGGCACTAACACGCATTAAGTTTATGTCCTATGGAGCTCGAGGTAGCTTAGGAGGTTAGGTGCGAAATTGTCGACCTGAATGTCCATGGTTCGAACTCAATCCCGGTATTGCTAGAGTTTATGTCTGGGCTTGGGCAAACTTGCAGCATTTCAGCTTGCGTGTTCCTTTCGGGTGACATGGCTGCTAGGCACCTAAAGGGTGTTATTAGTGTTATTATGTGGCATGTCCAATTTTTTTGCGTAGAGAACACAATGACCTCACAAACTCCATTCAAACGACTACAGTGGGATGAATGTGCTTGATTTGAACTTGAAGCGGATTTTCTCATCTTCCCTCAAGAAATCAAATTGTGTCATATTTTTAGCCAATGTTCGCCAAACAGAGCTCCTGTTTGGAGTGACTACGGCCAACGACGTTCAAAAGCAAAATAAGATTTCATTCGTTGGAATACTTTGACCAAACAATAAGGTCAAACAATAAGGTGACTTAGTGTTCGCTTTAAAGCTGTTAGAATCCATCACTAATCCAGTAGAGGGCAATACGATTACTACGTATGCCTTGGGAATTCCGAGCCAAATTCGGCTTGAAGAGTGGTCTGTTTGGTGCCAATAATAAGCGTGGTAGAGAGAGGCATGTTGATGATATTTGTCAGAGAACGAAGTTTGGAGGTAGGTTGGCGTTTCTCAAAATAAGTGACTCTAATGACAGCTTAAGATGAACGCGTGTTATGGCCTAGCATGAGTAATAGTCCTACTCCGCGGTGAGAATTTCCCGAAAGGTTAATGTAGAAGTCGTACTGTAGTATCAGACCGGTGACAAAGTCGCACCGGAATAAAAAGCACCAAAAGATAAGGGGGTGACAGGATAAACATGCGTGTTGGTTGCTGTTCAAGGGGATAAACAACAGCGTGCCTAATATCGGTTACTGGAATGGCGCTTCAGCTATCATAGTTTATTTCTGTTGTTATACCAGTCAGAAATTCTAATCAAATGGTTACATCTTTGTTGGGCGAGCGACTGGCTTGCTCATATAACTGACACGGCTCCAGGTCCAATTTCATTCTGTTTTATGGAAGAATTTTTCACTATTGAAGTCATTCGAATGTCCGTAATGATCTCGAGGAAAACTCTAGGCCTTGCTAAATGAGATAACCTAAATGAGTTTCTCAAACCTGACTGGGGTAGGCTACTGCTGAAAGCTTTCGATAAATCTTTCAGTGAGGAAATCTTATCCCTTGCAAGGATAATTTCCGGAGATGAAGACCGTAAAAGCCCATCAGTAAAGTGCTGGATGACAATTTATAATTGAAAGACGGCTGTGTCCGAACATTCAGATATTAGTGGCGATGTCAGCTCTTGGCTAGAGAGCACTGTCTCAGATCTCTGTGGGAGGGAAGGTGCAATGACAGTCCTTCCACGACCACGCAAAACGTTCTTGTTTCTGCAGGATTGTTGCACATGCTTTTAGCTTTGTCCGCTTTTGGAACTATATACATTCCTTTCCAATGTACCACACACGACGTGGTGACCCGGAAGTGCACCTGAGTGATTTAAAGCAAACATTAAGAAAAATTTGTGGCATGCGCACACTGTCTCACCTTACTCCGCCAGTGGTGCAGAGTTCTTGAACTGTGAAACTGAGGTAGTTTGTTTTTCTCTCGACTACATGACTTTCTTTGGAAACAGCTTCATGATAAAATTGTTGNGCAGAGATATACTCCCCACAATATATATATATATATATATATATATATATATATATATCTTGAGTGCTTACATGCCTTTCTATAGGGAGATTTCGAATGAGTCCTCTGTGTTTTAAATCCCAAACCATAGTCTTCTGAAGTGGACTAAATAAGTTCTGTCGCTTATCTAGTAATCATGTCACTGTGTTCTTTTTATTTTATCTTGTTTCTGGGATAGCGCAGGCTTGTTTTTGCTGCAGGATAAGAAAAAATACTGATGTAGTTCAGTAATCAATATACTGGGGTATCAGGTTACTTTTTCAGGCGGCAATCAGTGGGATACTAAGCTTAAGCTTTCTGGTGAGGTTAATTTTACTGTCTCCGTGACGGTTCAGTTGTTTACTGTCTGGCTTTTCCGTTTCGGATATCGACGTGATTGTGACATGTGAGTTTTCAAGAACGAAGGTGTGGATCTGGATATGTACAGTGCGACTGCCTCTGTTGTACAGTGCGGCTGCCTCTGAGAATACAGTTGTGAGCCTACGGGAAAGACACTATGGCAATATGAGCGCACATTACCGCAAAATGAAACATATAAATGGTACACTGCGCTTCGGATGGTGTGAGAGGCTGTCTCAGAGGCCTTCTTCCAGCGGTTCCTTGAAATTTGGCCTTTGCTGTTTGCACATTCTGAGAGTGATATCTTATTGAGGGGTTTACAGATGGAAGTGAAACGCTGCGACACTGTATTGTAGTGATATATCTTCGCCGAACGCTCCTTTAAACATTACTTCAAACGCTGTTAAAAAACAAATACAAATACTCCAAGGAGATTTTGAAATGTGAACCGAGATTTTCTCCCTAAGGTGAAGTCAGTGTATCCACGAAATTCTCAAAACACAGCAGAGATTTGACACGCTTAGGAGGGGTGTGCGTGAACGGATAATAAACTCTGGTGTTAGCTTGGACTTTGATATTTGTCCTCCATTCATGCGATCTATGTTACGTCGTTACGTAAAACAGCCACCCTAGAATGAAGGCGTATTATCAGCAAGGACCAGGCAGCTTATGAGAATCATTCTTCATTTATAAGTTAAGTATAGTTTGAACTAATTTTTTTATTTAAACCGCCAGTGTCTCGCTGCAATTGATGGCTTTACCTGAACTATTAACCATCTGGTTCGTCATGAAAAGACTGGACCTTACTGTGGTATGACAGCTTGTGTACTTTAGCGACCCACTGAGTTATACTAGGGGGTATCCGTGTAAGACTCGTAGTCTCCCATACCAGGTTTGCATGTGGTTAGAGGTCCGACTAACGCAGTCTCCTGGTCCTTCAGGATGGGACTGGAACAAGTGTGACGACTTACTTAGCAAAAATTGGAACTTCATTGCAGTTTTCGCCAATAATCGCTGCCTTAGGGCGAGGCTTTTGAACCAAAGGCTTTGGTGGAAGGTCCTAATCGTCTTCCTGTCTAGGTTTGGGACTCCTGGCAATATCTAAACACACATACAACCACGTATTGCACAAATACAGATGAACCCATGCCACATCAGCCTTCGCCCGGTGCCATCAGCCCGGTCGCCTTACCTGCTGCTTATAGCAGGGCGGGGAAGCGAAAACAGGCTACTCATGACGCTTTCCTTTTCTCTCTTTTACATACTTTTTATTCCTCATCTCATCACCTCAGTAATAACCATTTGCTCGTGAGACCAACAGTGGGGGCGGAAGATTTCTTTCGTCCTGCATCGGTTTTGAAAACAGCATTTGCACGTCATTGGGCACCGACATTCCAAGGCCCTTCGAAATCAATCTTCAGGCCTCGATGACCAGTCTATCTGGTCAACTTCAATACCCACAATTTGAAGAAAGCAGGACGACAAGCTACTGTTGCCCTCACACTTAACTCACTTGACACTGATGTGTGTTCTGTATCAAAAACAAGAATTGCTGCGTTGGTTAGGCCACCTATCGCGTATAACTAACCACTGTTTACCGAAGTGGGTGTTGTATTTCCCGCGCCCAGTTCAGAGCATCGGAAGCAGAGAGGTGGCGAACCCCTGACCTGGCAGAGTGATGTGCTACTCGCCTTCCAGCATGGGGATCTCGTGATTCTCACTATGTATAGTTAGAGATGCCGCAAGATTTGGCTGCTAATGGATGTTAATGGCGTTCTTCCCGCAAGGTTTGGCTGCTAATCGATGTTAATGGCGTTCTTCTTGTCAGCTTCTATCCAGACTGCCTGAATAAGTGTCCGGAGGCGCATGCACCTCGGACTGATGTAGAAAGCTAGCACAACGTCCCTTTCTCGTCCACTTTTATTCCTTTTTTCACAATCTTTCAAATAAATCATGTTTGTACGGCAGCAAAGCATCAGTATGCGGCACTAATGTCGCGCTATCGGTGATGATGATGATGATGATGATGATCACGATGAGGATTAACTATCCGGTTGGATTCTTTGTCAACCTTACACTAATTTATTGTCTTTAGAATGCTGATTCCCCCACATCCTTTTTTCACAGCCATCTGTGCCTTGAAGAATGCAACATCTTAGCAGCGACAAAAATGAAGTAACTGAAGCCAGCAATCCAACAAGCGGGACGCTAAATAATCGGCCACTGCAAAACCCGTTTCGAGGCATGTTCAGGACGGCTTTGCTTTGTCATTCTGGAGCTAGCTTAGACGTTATTTTGTTAACTGATAACCACTATTCAAAAGTATATCGAATGAAGAGTGTGCAATGTTCATGATTCGTAGAAATGGATGCAACTGCGTTTTACCCCACAACTATCGGTATTTTTGGCCTCTACGTATTCAGAAGAGCATTATAACTAAAATCGTTAAAATAATCTTCAAGAGTGCTATCGGATATTTTGTGCCATGTGTGTTTCGTATACAGTAAAGTTTTGACCACTGAACCCGAAAAGATAGAATATAAATCTTATATATAAAAGACTTGATCAAAAAGCTCACAGAATAACTGTTCCAGAATAAAACCAAAGCTTTGTTGCTAACTAAAATATCTCTCATTGAAATGCACGGTAGCGAGAGCATTCATTTAGCATTTACTAGTGACATCCGATATTTCATAAAGAAAACCACAGGTTATTTCACACAATAAATCACCCTGTTCTTAATCGTCGGATACCACACGCACTGTTCTGTTTAACTGTTTGTTATTCAATCAAAAACAGGGATGTAAGTTCTTTTTCTCGTTTCAGCATGAACGATCACGTCCTTCTCTCCGCACCTCGCCGCATGCCTCTTCGGAACTGTCGGCACAAATAGGCGAAAAACCCTTTCTTCGGGGAATAAAACGTCGGTCTCGACCCAACGGGAAAAAGACCTTGGGAAATCCTTCAAATGAAGAGGTATGTGCAAGTAAGAAGGGCCATGAAATTGACGAGAAGCTGAACAATGCGTTGGTATCGACAGAAAACGCCCAAGAAAACACGGAAGGTATTTGTACACATCAACCCCACATTGAAAACCTTTCAGGAAGCAATCAAATTGGAAGTGTGGACGGAAATCATGATAGTCCGAAAGGACGGACCTCATCTGTTTGTGCAATAACTGAAAAACCAGTCGGTTAGTTGGTTGGTTTTGTAAATATTGCCTTTGTCATAGTGTAGAAATGCCGCGGTTTTAATACTTAAGATCTCTAATGTGGTCGAACTATGCATTAAGATTAAAATTGGAATAACCACCCTCAGGTTTCTGGGGGATAATTCAAAACTCGGACACACTCCGGATATCGGACTGAAATTACCTGTTCCAAAGATGTATGGGTTTTATTTTGGATAGTTTCAAGGCCAGCACCCTACACAAAATTTCTTTAGAATTCGCTGTAGATTCCTCTTAACTAGCTGCTGAAACAACTTCAACTGTTTCGATGTTCTTACAAAGCATTAAGCATTTGCGAAATCAAGCGAAATGATGACGATTCATCAAGACTTTAAAGAAAATCTTCACTGCTTTTTATTCCAATGTGGGTGCCTCAGAAACGTGAACCGAATAGCCTTTGTCACAACTCTCTGGTTTAAAAAAAGATGGAAGTATATCATCTGCCAGTGTTTGGTTATTGCTTCCATCGAGAAGACAAGTGGTGGAAATAGGTGCGTTACCCTATAGAAGAAAATGTCCTTAGCTCAGGTAGCGTAGATGGTGGCCGTTGGCTTGTTCGCTGAGCTGGGCAATTTGATTGCGAGCGTTTCATCACCAATCGAGGTGATACGTTACCCTTTTCCTACACGTTTTTAGCTAACGGTTTATTTTCACTTTAGTAGTTTTGGGGAGCGGATAACTGTCATAAATATGCGTTTCATGTCTAGCAAGTAATTAACGACGTGAAAATTGCCATCAAAGTTGTGAGTTTGACTTGACCTCACCGTCTACTTTGAGTTCATCTCCGACCCCACAGAGAAAACAAACGACTCAAATGTCAAACCTTTAAGAATAAAGTGCACCATAATAGGGTGCAAATGAGTTTCACAAATTGGAAATCTGGTCAGCCGGGCGAAAATTTACCAATGAGTGATCATTGTGGGCTAACAAACTGATATAAAATAAAAAAGCTAGGGTCTCTAGTTGAATTTTACGAAGTTTGTAGTGACACACAGTTGGACTATGACGGTGTACATTTTTTAATCATAAAAAGCACCTAACACCTTCCGTTAATTATATAACTACCGACAAATTGTCAGGAATGTCTTTCAGAATAGTCACTGATCTCAGAAGAGGAGCCGATATTAAACAAGACATGGACTAGGCTATTTGTAGGATATCATATCGAAGAATTTGTGTATATTGTAGGCAAACGCCTCACATCAAGTTGAAGTCCATCAATTTTAGAAACTGACCCCATGACACGTGGTTACGTAGCAAATTACTTGCGAACTCTGCGTTGTAGATATTGAATAGATTTCACAGTTCCAATTAGAGCTATGTCTTGAAAGCAAAGCCAGTCTCTACTGTGAACCCCAGATTTGACATCTACCCATTGTGTCCTTCCTGGACATCATCACCTCACAGGTTGGGACGAAGTACTAGTTGAAAATTTCAAATATGGAGCCTGTACCGTTTAACGTAACGAGATGTGCCAAATTGAAGTCTATGATGTGGTTTCGCTATTTGGCTGATTAACTACGCCATCACTATACAGTACAATAGATCTGCAAGCTCACTGCTTGGTGGTTAGCAGCTGGTTAAAAACTGACGTGGTACATCGTGATAAACGTACAGACGGTTTGAAGGATCCCTCGTGAATGTAATATCAGTTGTACCCGTCATCCAAAGAAGGTTTTCAACGTAAAAACATGATTTGGGGGTCCCCGCGGGATTTACCGTTTTTTGTTTCGCTTTTGTGGGTAAGTTATTTGAAGCAGGTTTCATAATATAAGCCGAAGAAAACTGCAGGTTAATTGCACAAACTTGAATGGTTTTTAAAGTACAATTCAGCGTACTTTGACTTGGCTTGCTTCTGAAGTGCGAAAGTGTGCAATTACATTTCCCGAAAGATTCGGCTTCTGACAATAAATTATTTGTGAGCTTATCTGATTACATGCTGTTTGGTAACGTCAAGCCTGAATCATTGGTTGACAGCAACCCGCACGCCTTGGCAAAGTGATAATTGGAACTGCCGTAAAACTGGTCTGTTTCCTTCTTGAACAAAAAAGCTCCAATATTGTGACTTCACTATCGTTTGTTTCAATGTTGCGTCTCGCGGAAACGGCTTTATTCTCCTGTTCAAGAACAGTATCCTGTGTAGACTTCGGGAATAAAGTGACAAACTACAAACGCGCAAAAACGCTTCATAGAATGTTTTTGTGTACCGTCCCTTAAATGTATCCCGTCTTCATCTGTATTCGGTGCCTTCCCACCGGAACCAGTAACTGGCACAGGAACGCTTTCTCAGGAGGAATTACACCAAAACACTGACAAGGAATTTAGATGTTGACTTCGATTTTGTCGATTGCAAATTTGGGTGAAGCTGTACATTTGTTGCTGCTAGTGACGTAGCTTCGATTTTGAATTCATGACAATTGTTAAATACAGGCAATCAGTTTGATCAGGTTTCCAACAGTTTGTAGGTCATACATGCGTCGGTGTGTCACCAATTTCATACCATTTGGAATTGCCATATGACCTTTGAACTATGTGACTTTAATTTGTTCTTGGTAGGTGTTCAAGGTCGTGTAACTACCGGCTGAGGAAAAAACCCATAAAATTCTAGAGGTGCCCCACGGGAATCCGACTGATACTGTCCCTGGAAGATGACCTCTGTTTGGCAAGATGACTTGAAATCGTAAGGCACTACACATCTATAGCTAGCGATCGTGCTGATAGAGAGTTAAGGTTATCAAACGGTTTATCAGGTAGTGTATTTTGAGGTACAACGTGGTTTTACATCCATAACGTTCCGAAGCTTAGATCGATAGCTTTGTGAATGAGTGTTTCTGCCATGTTACCACTGATAGTACGCGTGAACGTAAAGCACAATGATAAGCCAACTTCTGCGACCTCGTTTGAAAACCAATCTCTTGATTCCATGTGACCCGGTGTAAAGTAGCGGTTCTGTCGATGTATGATAAATTTTCTACTTGATCTATTTCGGGAGTATCAACATCTCTTCAACCGATCCGGTCGGGATGTTTGGAACGCGTATATGTTCTCAATAAATCTTGCAATCAGGTCATCGGAAAAAGGCTTCTGATTAAGAAATACTGGTTAATCTATGTTGCCTTTGAATCGACAATACTCACTTCTGTTGAAATACCTAGTAATGGACAAACCGAGTGAGCCCAGGCAAAAATGGAATCATCGGAGGTTTTGAACGGAACACCATAATCATATAGCTCCGAAAGTTATTCGTTCAAAATGTTTCTGTCCCCATTTATCATCATTGTGGTGGAATGCTCATGGATGTATGATCGATTCTTCTATCAACACCCTTTTCAAGTTATTAACGGATATGTACCACGCACAGCAAGATGAGGGCTTTAGTTGGCAATGCAATTAGATGAGAGCCGCATTGGTTCTTGTCGTGGCATATTTTTGAGGCTAAAGTTAGCGCTAACCGAAAACGCTTAAAGTATACTTCCCGATAGGATGTTCAGAAAGTTGACGTGAATTGAAACGTCTTTTCGGTAATCACAATGGAACGTTTACGCAAGTAACCCACAATACTTACTAACCAAGCATTTCATTGATACCAAGCTTTCTGTCGTCGGCTTCACTAACGCACTTCACAAACACCTCAGATTTGTGTTATATTCATGGAGCTGAAGGCATCCGATTTCTTTCGTAAAAATGATAAAAATGAGCAGAGTTACGCAGAGTGGCTAGACACACTGTGCATCAGAAACCTCTGTGCACAAAATGTCTGCTGAATGAAACAAATTCACGAAGCTTTGATGATAGTCAGTTGTTGGGGATTCCATTTGTGCGAGTTTAGCCTGAAAGCCTAATTGATTGACAGACTAGCGCTTATCGGGTGCTTGACCATCGGTAAAGCCGAATTACGACTGCTTTTTGCCGTACGGGTTGGTTTTATGTCACAACTGTTCTCATAAACGTTGGTGTGTTTTCAGCTATCCTTTCCGATGAAACTTGATCTGTTTTGCTCGATTATGCGCAATCACGTCTGCAGATTAGACATACAACAATCAAAAAGTAAAAATTACGTGGATAAGAGAAAAACGATCGTGGGAATGCAGTCATTATCAACTGAGCGATCGAGTGGTTTTGGTTGATGGCTGGTGTTAATATGCGTTTATTGTAAGTGAAAGGATGACACCTGAATAACATTTCCTATTCCATGGAAATGATTAGGATGGGTATATCCCTCTGTCCATTAAATGTTAGAGTTAATACTTTTAGATACTCGGTTACTATTCACCTGATCACGTTCAAGCCCTCAAGATAACCTCACATAGTCGGAAACCCTACAAGCAGCTGTCGGTAGAGCGCTCCTTATCCACTTCACCCAGCTAAGCATATGTGCACAAACTCTTTCATGCAACATTTGAGAATAACCTAGACTCAACTTTTCGTTTCCCTTTTTGCGCAATCGTGTGCCACCCTCAGGACGTCGTTGCTTAAGTAGACAAATGGAATACAATGCTTTGAATTTTTACAGATTCCACGTCTTGTCGAACGTGAAACTGCACTTGATTTCTCAGTTCGACTTATTCACCAGTCGTTTGTTAGGATTCCGTTAGAAAACGTGAAGATAGGTTGTTCCGAAAATTTGCAAAGGTTTCAAGACCGGTGTTTGTTTCTGATGAAAAACTACGCAGCTCAGGACTGGAGGAACATTCTTGAATACGTTGAACTGTAAATCACAGTTTATCAATCTCCAGTAAGAGAAAATTGGAAAGTTGAATCTCTCTTCTTGCATACCTCTACTAATTGATGACCTGACCGTCACCACGGAAGCATTAGGTACCTCCTTTGTCTTTGCAGAGGCCCAACAACAAGAGCATTCATTGGTTCTCTAACCGTAATAAAACAGCTCAGACGAAATTTTCCATTATACGGCTGGGGCTCGCCGTTTATGTGTAGGATCAGGAAAGGGAAATTTAGTGTTGTCTCTCCCATCGAAAACCCGGTGGATGTTAGCTGGGGAATAAGCAAATGAATAAAAGAGTTCTTTACGGGATAGAGATAATTGGGACGTTATTTAAGTAGCTGTACCTTACGCCCTAAAAGCAGCCACAAAAACGTTGCTGCGAATAGGATCCCTATGGCTTTCTTATCCATCACAAACTAAGTAAAAGTGCAGAGTATGGAGTATTATTCCAAAAGAGGCGTATTATCAACAGTCAAATTACGAGTTACGCGGATCAGATGGCTGCGGAATACAGCCACACCTCTACGTTCCCATGACCGAAAAAATGGCTACTGAATGGCCGTTGAACAGGTATCATTCTCGAGCCGAAGACAGTTAGAGTGCCTGTTATGTAGCGTACACGTATGATTTTACCTGACCAAGACCAGAACGAACGGATAATTTTGTGGGAACAAATTTCTGTGAAAAAATGAAAAGATTACAGGCATTATCACGTAGGGGAGGGAAATACACGGATATCTATGGTATTCAATGTCATCTGAGGTCAGAGAAACGTTTGATGACGCTTCAGTTTGAGCTGGAATCGCTCGTGCTGTCTGTTTTGTACGGGTTCTTTTGGTCAAAACATTTGTCGGCATCTGTCTAAACATTATTATCTGTGAACTGAAGCTCACGAACTCGTGGGTTTAATTCCTATCATAAGATTTAGAACCTAGCTGCTATAAGTTGGCGGTAAAATGTTCATTCTGTGTGAACCTCCTTCCTTTTGGAATCATAAGTGCTTCAAGAATATCGGGAATATCGGACGGTGTTTTGAACCACCAGCATTTATCTTTGAAACGGCAGATGTGTTGTTCTTGGTGGAGTTTTGTAAGCAATGGTACAATAAAAAAGACGCGATTGACCAGCTCTCTGCGTATGCATACCAATGGTAAATTTGCGGCGTTTGGTGACCGTTAACGAAACATTAATTACAAACAAATATATCCATCTAATTCGTGATGTTGTAGTTCCAGTATCGTCATGTTTATTCGGTTGTTAAAGGAGAAACAACATTTGCAGTTCGGCTGGACTCATGGAAAACACTCGACATTAGACTTTTCCTACCGCTTTGGTTAGATATCTTCTAACAACCAGTTTCACTTTCTATTACGTCACACCTTCCTTAAGTGCGTTTGCCCAAACTTGCAAATATTGTAGGCTTGTGAAAGGGAAATAATTATTTCTCTAGTTGGATGATTACTGAGTAAAAGCAAAGTCGAATTTCTTTTTATGCCAAGAATACCGCCCCCCACAAGGAGTTGTGCTCTCAATTTAGAAATATTTTATTCAGGTCGTGGTAACTTTTCCTGCGTGATGTTAACATGAGCGCGTTAGCAAAAGGTTTCTAGGAAGCGCCCAGTTGGACTGATTTACAGGCTGGGTTCGCAAATAGGTCTATCTATGCCTGAGCATCCTGGTTGCATCGTACATATTTCGCCATTAAAAGTGGACTGACAGTTACACACTGAAACAAACATGAGAGGATCATGTAACCCTCGTTTTGTTCCGCTGAACCTCTTGTCGTCTAATGTGTGGAATTCTCAAACGGAGTAAACCTGGGTCGCAGTTATACGCCAATTAATTTTCGTGTTATTCCATGTAGTGAAAATATATCATGAGGAAGTCCTGGAGAACCAACAGGATGAAGTTGGAAGGCGGGGTACGGATCTACAAGCAAACAACTTCGCTAGAGGCGATACCGTCCCCGACGTTTATGAAACCCACTTAGTTATACAAAAATCGGTAGATGTGGTTGAAAAATATGGGGCAATTTATAAGAACGGCAAATTCAAAGACAAAAATGCAACTGCAGCCCACGAAGCCTCCAAGCACGTGGAACCGATAACACAACACTCGCTACAGAAAGCAGCACACAACGCAGTAAAACTGGTCGGTTTGGCGCACCTCAATTTGAAATTTGTGCCAGGTGAGAAGGTATAATTTCATTTTTTCTAATGGATTCGAGTGTATTTCCCATTATCTGCTCTACAATCTTCTTGACCTTGTTCTGTTAAATTTTCCAACATTCCTATTTGAAAGAGGTGTGCCTATTTAGGCGATAAACTTGACCTTTTATGAGTGAGCGCGTTTTGAGCTGCAAACAAGACACTTACTTGTGTTAATGTAATCAGTGAGTGGGAAGCCCATGAGCACAGGATGCCCACAACACTTATTACTATCATTTTTGTTATACTTATCAGATTACCAGTCAGCGTCATTTTTACTAGCTGTTCTTCCGCAAATTTCGGATGGAATGATTCAGAGTCCCAAGGGTCTTTAAATCAAAATTTGAATAAATAGAGTTAAGTGAGGTGGGCGCACTCTCCGAGTTTCCATCAACCTTATGTTTTACTTGAACCCAAATTGGACTGTTTTCGAGAAACAGACTCATTTTCAAATCAATTTGATTTTCACAAAAGACTCAACTGAACCTTTCGTTTATGATATTCTACAACTGAATGTACTGCAAACAGGCCGCCTTATGATTCATTTGGCACGATATTCGAGATATCGCAGTATATTTTCATAGAGGAAACTACTCACAAGGTATAAAGGACAATACAAAAGAAAGGCATTAGTTTGGTCTTTAGTTTATTTTTCACGTCTATTTGTGAAACAGCTTATATAAGGATTAAAATGATGGAGGTCAATAACAAATCTGAAGGCTTTTATGTAGTGTAGTAGACTGTTAGTCCGGAAAATTGTGTACAGTTTTACGAAAGTTGCGCTTGCACAGTGGGCCCTGCGATCGACACAGATTTAAGCATCACCAAACATACGACAATATCCATCCGCGAATTTGAGTGGCTGTTTTATGTTAAAAAAACGAACTGATTGATGAAGCTGCACAATGAAATCCAAAACTTTAAATTCCAAGGAAGTTCTACACTAGTCCTTTGTTTGTTGAAATGTTCCACTTACGCATCTACTTTCCAAGTTTGGCTGCTACGATTCGGCTCCATGTCTTTGTTGACAGATCCTCCCACAACTAATATGAGATTACTTCATTTCGTGGAGAATTTGCTAATACATAACCATCAAATGAGCGGTTCCAAGATGGCGATACGAAGGAGAACATTTTGTCGGTATTTAGAGGTTGGTACATGGTGAGCTGTTTTACGTCCACAGTAGACCTAACAACACCAATGCCAGCAATTAGCGTTGGTCATGGATCGACAACATTTGACCTGACGGGTTTCTTACAGTTTCTCAATATGTTGTAGGTTCAGCCATCTTACTGAGTTCCGATTCAAAATAGTTACTGCAGCCGTGTTTAACTGCGTTTTTTCTTAGGAACAATCTTGAACTTAGAGCGACCTCTATCCACTTAGGCAAATGTGTAGGAAGTCTTTCAAAATTATCAAAATCCGGTCGAATCAGCACCTGGTTAGCGCACCATACCCTATTTTATTCAGTTGTGTTCTGACATGAAATCACGCAAGAAGTCCATGCAAAATCCCGAAATTCCGGAAATTCTATTCATTTTTTCTTTAACTATTTAAGCATTTGCTTATTAATTTTTGTACCCATTTATTTATTTATCTACACCTACATTAGGAGAGAAGGTGCATGCAGTTTAACAGTCGACCGTGCATTTGGCTCCCAAAAATTAGGAAACGTGGTGGACCAGCTTTGAACCTAATATCATTCAGAGGAGAAAATTTGTTTTGACTGCATCTGTGGTTAAGTTTTGCGTCCTACAGTTTTTCACTGCGGTGGTTTTGTAATATGGATCATAAATATTCCAAGTGTCTACTGGGCTCTAAAATGGTTGAAACCCAAATTATTCCTCCGGGAAAATTTTCTTCAGACGTTTGTATGATCAACTTAGAATTCAACTCACACAAAACACTACCAATATTAAAGAGTAAGCAACAGTTACCAGATCTATTCGGACTACTTTATCTTCGAATTCAGTAAAAATTGTAATGCCGAAGTAGATATATGCGCTATGCTCGGCTTCCCGAAGTAGAAGAGACACAGAATTTTGTGGGATGTTCATTAATCACAATATGACTTATCTTTTGAGTTCTTGCGTTTTACGCTTCACTCATCGCTGCTTATATGTATCTCGGCCTAAATATCATGTCCAGAAAGACTTTCATCCCATGTTAGAAACTTGTCTCGGTGAGTTACGCTTCCGCTGTCTGTTTCAGAGTGAAGTGGAACGAGTGTCCCCGTGCAGTCAGATGCATGATTTGCAATTTCTGACAATTTAGAGTGGTCCCTGTCAGTCCAAAAAGTTCATCATTTCATGTGAATCGATCTTTTACTGTTTATTTGTCGTACCACATCACACTGAGTGCATTCTTCTAGCATCCAAACAGTCATCATTTCATGTGAAATCGATCTTTACTGTTTATTTGTCGTACCACATCACACTGAGTGCATTCTTCTAGCATCTACTACATTTTTCTCAGATTCTGAAAACTTACGAAATCGATACCATATTGGGCGAATTTTGGGTGACGGAAACTTTGCCGTGGTACGTCTCGTACGACGTCGTGACACAGGACAAAAGTACGCCATGAAAATCATTGACAAGGCTAAGCTGCGAGGAAAAGAGATGATGCTGCATCAAGAAATCACAATTTTGCACTCATGCAGTCACCCGAACATCGTCCGACTCCTCGAGGAGTATGAGACACCGAAGGAAATTTGGCTGGTAATGGAATTGGTCAAGGTAAGCAACGACTCTATTTGTCATCAAACGGGTAAATCAACTACTAGCAGAATGTGTCACATTTTCATAAAGCAAAGCACATTAAAAACAACTAATTTTTGGCAACGTAAGGGGATGACTTTTTAGACTAAGATTAGTCTTGTCTACTTGCATACTTAAATAGCGTATTGCAATCGCCTTTCTTGTTTTACTAGAAATTGAAAACATTTGTGCATCTGTCATACACCTATTTTTATTTGTAACCAGAACAAAATGTGTGGTAGAACGCTACTGAAGAAACTGCCCTAGGAAATCTAGGACTAATAATCTCTTCCGAAAGATTGCTTGCACTCGGAATATCCTTCCGGAGGGATTGAGCTCAGGATTTGTTTCTTTAGGTGGCAGTCAGGTTATCATATGCATGGTCCACCGTGGTGAGCTTCCTTCACTAGCATCTAATTTCTGTGCCACATAGAGCATGTGCTACAGTTTGTACCTATCTTGTAGTGACCTCATTCTTGTTGTTTTGCACTCTAGGGTTTGGTGGCTCACAAGTCATCTGAGGGAACGGTGAGGTACCGCTGGTACCAGTGTAATCAAATTTACACACGTCGAGTCAAAGGATGTACACACGAATATCCTTCGGTGTCCTCACTTAACCGAATGATTGTCATTTGGCTCGGAGGATTTTCCTCGTGTCTTTCATCTGTTTTCGACTATAGCGCGCCCTTCATCGTCCTCATTAAGGATTAGTGGAACACCAACAACAACAAAAACANCTCTGGTTACTGCCAGATCCATAGACAGGGCTCAAAAATGTGCAACTTTTGTTAGCAGCCCGAATATCACAACTTTACGTTCCCAAACCTTCGCGAGATTTCGCACTAACGGAACGAACCGCGATACTGTACTACACTTTGTTAACGGAAATCCTGAGATTGATGAGGAGGATGTCATTTCCCATGTGGATTTGGACGGTTTCGAATAAACATAGCCTCGACTGACTGATCTGGTTCAGTTTTGACTTACCCACACGACTGTTAACCAGGCTGCGTTCAATCGTCGAATTTGCATTGTAAACGCTTAGTCGTAAATGTAGAAAGTTGCTATAAAGGAGACGGACATCATATTAGCAGAAGATCAAATAAATCTGTGCGACTGGTAAGTTAGAAATTTGGACGCTGGGACTGAGTTCTTCCTTCCCCAATTGAAACTAAGATCCGCCAAAATTGTAGGTGAGTAGAATAAATCGTTTACGTGAAATATTTAATTATGCAGTAGGCTTTAGTCAGCGATCAAATCAATATATGCTGAAACAACTTCAAAAGTTACATTAGTTAGGTACAGCATAATGCAATAATCATGTTAATCTCAGTAGATGGTGTTAGACATAACTGCTGTCGCAAACGCCACTTGAACTCCCATAGGAATGCTAGCATCTCGTCACATCTCAGCTAAGTCAAAATGTCTTGGGTCAACTACTACTCGTGATAGCTAACCTCAATGCGAAACTGCCTTACTTGTCTCTTGCGTCTCTGACTGAGGAACAGATACAGTAAGATTGAGAAACATGAACTAGCCTTGATCTTTTTGAATTACATGTATCAAAAACTTGCGGGCTACCCAACAACTGGACTAGATTTCGTTTTGCAGTACATTCTGACCTGTGGATCCGGTTGCTCCATAGCACAGCAAGTGATACATCATCACGTCTGACAACCTGTTGCAAAATAAGGACGCTGATATCTCAGATCCTTTCTCTCATACCGTAAGCGACCTGGGAGTTATAAGATCCACAACACTGCAGAAACTCGGTTTCATTCTGGTTTGAGACATACTATCATCCACTCTGTTGATAGATCATCGCAGCGTGATGCTCGTGAGAAGTGTGGGTCAATGTGGATCACATGTAATACGCTCGCAAATGTTTACATCATATTCAGTGGATATTTTCTCCCATACCCAACCCAAGCACACCAATGGATCTCACATTCATTTCACTAGGTAAACACCCAGCCATGGTTTTGCCACTGCTTTCTCCTATCCGGAGAATTCAGCTGCCCCAACTAGATCATCTATGAAGCAAAGGTTTTCACCATTCGGCATATTGAAGCTTTTGGATGCCGGACCAAATGGATCAGTTCTAAGGAATGATAGTTGCTGATCACGTATACAGTTCGGTATACCAACAAGACTAGCGGTTATGCATAAAATTTCTACCAGTTCAAGTCTGTCAACAGTTGTAGTTGATAATCCGTCGCCTCCTATTGACCAAACTTATTTTTTAGTCGCGTTACCCGAATTCGGAATATACATTATTCCGCAAAAACTCATCAGATATCCGTGACATGTAGAGGTGTGGATCTGGGTTATAGTGACCCTCTACGGTTATTCTGTTGGGTCTTTCTTCCGCCATTTTGCGATTCCAAAGTACTTCTCTGTTTGATGGCCATGAACTAGACTCCATTATGTACGATTTACTAGACGATTAACATACTGAAATTATATAGATAGCCGAGGTGCTCTATCAATCCCACGTCGCACGCCCTTCACTGTCCGTGATGATCCATTGCTCTTGATGTTCTATTCAAAAAACCCGATATGTCGGCCCACAGTTTAGCATCTTGAAACAAATCAAAGTTTTTTAGTGCATTACCGGTAAAAAGCGAACAGCTTCAATCCGTTCTAATCTCAAGAAGTTCAATTTTTGTGAGACAAAACTTGTGGCTTACTGAACGATAGGTGCATGCTCACGGGGATTAGTCATGCCTTCATTCTGAGAGAGTATCTGCTCAATATTAGGTATTTTGATAATGTTTTTAATGATAAAGCTGTACTAATGCATCCTGAATTTCCTCCCATCCAATCCACTTTTCACCCATTTCGGCCCCCAGACCAAAGTTCCAGCAGACAATTGCAGCGGTGAAGCATCAGAGTATCACGCAGCACCACTTACGTCAGCTGGTTCGGTCTGCACTTGTGAGGCAAATCACTGACGAAAGCGTGTATAAGTGTTTCAAGAGCCATGAAGTGGGAGTTCTTGGTTAACAATTCTAAGTGCGCTACTTGGAATAGAACAGTCGGAATACGTCTTTAGACGAAAAGAACCAACGAAAGTAAATTAGATGTCCAGAAAAACAAATCTGAATAATGGTGCAAAAAATGTACCAATAAATCCCAGGTGTTCCTCTTCTGTTGTTGTGGGGATCAGTCAAAACAAAAATTAACAGTAAACGTTTACTTGTCTATCATTACCGTTAGGTGAGTGCCTTTGGCATAATTTGAATGAAGCGTATTCTTTCGTGCAAATTGCATTAAAACAGAAATGCACTAAATCAGAATTTCACGATCCCTAGGTGATTACAGCTTACAATAAAGCTTTGTGGAGTGAATGTAGTTTCTTGTGACGGTGCGCATACATGATAACTAATTGTTAGGAATACGGGATATTGAGTTGTAAAAATGTATAGCGTGAATTCGACCGATGCGTGTCTTGCCCCAGTTTGAAGTATTTCCATATTCCGAATGTAATTGGACCCCAAACAGTTGGTTCAACTTTTTTAAAATCAGGATGGGGACCTTTTTGAAGGTATCACAAACTCCGTCAAGTATTCTGAGAACGTGGCATCTGGCATTGTGGCCGATATTGCAAACGCGCTCTTCTACCTCCATTGTCGTTATATTGTACATCGGGATCTGAAACCAGAAAATGTACTGGTAAGCGGAACCTTTGTATACACAGATACGCAACATTGCCAGTGATTTTTCGGGTAATAATTGCTGACAAGTAATCTTACACAACCCTGTTTCCAGCTTTTCATTTATGGTATGCGAAAATGAGTTCAGTCAGAATGCTGTGAGTTCACCGGTTTTCGAAAAAAATACACAGCAATTTACTGGATCTTGGAGGTTAGTTTAAAGGCGTACTCCGTAGCCAGTGATACGAAGTATTGTCCACTTGACTGTTGGGACCCTTCCTCCAAAGCTCAGAGACCGAAGGACGAAATTCATCCTTAAGTTGCCCGTTTGGTGGATTCGTTGAAAGCTGCCATATATACTTCTTTTCCTAGAGCCCCAGGCTCATCTTGAAGATGGATAATTCATCCATTAGGACGATGGAAATTTCAGAATTTGTTTTGAAAATAGTCAGGTGCAAAGAGTTCACTCGGGTGGCCAGATCACTGAGAGTCGTGGCGATCCAGCAATATCGGAAGCTACAGGGGCTTAAACATTTTACTCGATGGTCTTAAGCAGTCAAATGCAATCTCGAATACAGTCGAGGGACAGTTCACAGAATTCTTGCTCGTCAACTAGGTAGGTGTAAATGATAATACGTCAATTTGGATGCCTAGCATGGAAAATGAATTACTCATCAAATATATTATAGGATGAGTTGTTTCCTAGCTGATCACAATTTAGTCGCATGGGCATAAACTGCCCAGTTTACTATTAGTGCATTCTGTCAAGGCCAGTGACACATAAAGAGGTTTTTCCCTGCTGAAGGAAAAACACGCTATTCATAATATTAGTGGAAACTCTGGGCAGCTTTCGTCTTCCGTGGAGTTCATTAGATCCATGGAGTTCCGTTAGACTTATTCGTTAATTGAATATCAAATTAGATTTCATTGCAACACGAGATCAGAGCGAGCTTATCAGTTGTTGTTCTTGAAGACAAACAAACACAACACCGACATGCCGTTCTGTTGAATTCTATCTTCTGACATTCCTCAATGAACTTATAGATTCTCAACGACTCTTGCAAAGTAAACAAAAACGGATGAAGTTTCTTGGGTTTCCTGTTGTAACTTTTGTTTCCAGGTAACAACCACCTAGCTTAGATGTCAAGGGTACCGTTTGGTTCCCCAGTCCAATCTTAGCCTTTGTTTCTCTCAGTCATATCAGGAATGAAAAGACAAGTTATTTGATAACGGTCGCTTTCGCTCTAGACAACATGGAACGCAGTGCTGTGGTCCGAATCACTGCATCACATCAGAAGCCGTCTCAAGAACATCTGTTGTCACCATTGGGGGCAAACATCCGGTTCTGTTAGTATGCTTCATGCACGTTCCAGTTTCAGTTTGAATTATTTTATGGTTGCCATGACATCGGTTGGTTGTGCGCATACCGCCGTTTTTATTTCTTTGGGCTCTGTTATTTTATTTTGATGCGTACAAACGCGCGCACAGATTTGGCATCAACCGGATGGAAAGCTGCGAGTCAAGTTGGCTGACTTTGGTTTGGCAGTCGAAGTTCGGCGGAATTTGTATACAGTGTGTGGCACCCCAACGTATATTGCACCAGAAATACTGTCTGAAAGAGGTGAGTGCTTTAGTCTGGTTTCATGTGGTCTTAAGTACAGAAATTTCACTTATAAACCTGATATCTTTTAAGATGTTTTCTTAAATTTCGATGAATAATCGATCGTCCACACGTTTTTCCTATCATAGATTTGCAATTCACTGCACCATTGCCTATAAGATAATACAAAACCGTATGTTTGTGGAGATTTTGTCCTGTAAGTGAAGCCAATCTATGCTGAGAAGCCGAGAAGCACTGTGCTTCTCTGCCATCTCGTTCCGATTGTCCCATTTGTTATTTATGCTGCATTTCGGTTCTGCTTCTTTCCATCTGACTGGTCAGTTGGACACCTACTCTGCCTTCAGGGAAACAGTTATTACATTTCCCCCATAAATGCTATGCTACGTAACCTATCGTCCACAAATAAACCATTCAGAAGCTTGGATGCAAATAAGACGAAAATAAGATGGGTGGTTAGATGATGCATTCAATAAATTTCTTATGGAGCAAGGAGAAGAAAACCACCGGGAAAAGGAATAAAACGGGAACAGTCTCCTTCTTATAAGCTTGGATCTTCCGAGTAAACAGGTAGGCAAGGTCGTACAATGAAAGCATTTACAACTGTTTTGATGTGTAGTACAGCCAAACCTTGAAACGAAAATGGCTTACTGACTGTTCGGTGCGAACTTGAAAGCAACTAAGTATAGCAATATAACAAGGAGTAACATCTACTAGTGAAGACCAAATTTAATAGTGAAAACAAAATTTCATGACTGACTAAGAACCACGAAAAATAGAGCATTTACAACGTTAAGTGGATTAAGAATCTCTGTAGCGGGATAATCACAGAAGATGAACAACACGTTATTGCCAAATTCGTACTGAAACCACCCCCGTTTTAAATGACTGGAAGCTTTTATTGACGGGACACTATCTGGACGTCAGGTGAAAATGTGGTCTATGGCTGCAAACTGGATAAGTTGCAACGGAACTCAAACATGGACGATCAGGTTGTTGAAAAGGATTGTGCTGCATGTTGCAACGAAGTACGGGTTAGTTCACCGAACAACCTAGAATAGTGCATGCTTTAAAGTTGCGCTGATGATATGAAGCACTATTAGGCATGGGAAGCTCACTTTTCTTTTCTGGAATTTCACGGAATATACAAGCCTCTATCACACCAATGAGGTAGAAAACCATTTTACGTATCCGCAGTAGAGGAAAAAGGGAGGACGAACTCATTTAGACATCTACGTGCTCATTACACGCTACGACCTGTTAGCCTGGCTTGTTTCAGAGTCCGATGATTGGAATAGAAAATCCTCAGTTCACCTACTTGATGTCGAAAAACACGACAAGAAATCGGTAACTGAACTGTGTCTAACTGATTGCAGTTAAGACTCAAGACGTGGTGAAACATGGCAACAGCCTGTGTAGTGGTGAATGGGGATTTCATCTCAGGGCATTGGGTGGTCCATTTAAACAGGTCAGTAACCCCACGCGAGCATGGAATTTGTTTTAGGTGAGAGGGTGGTGCAGATCCCGTTTATTTGATTCATTTCACGAACAGAACAATCGTTCATAATCAATTTGTCAGCCCCACACTAGGCAAAAGTTAGTGCATTTCTCTGACAGACCTGATCAGCTCACCTAGAAAAACGTCTATTCTTGTGTGTTTGGTTTTTATTTTGCAAAAACATCAGTTGGAACAAGTGACTTACAACCTCGGAATGAGTCCAGTGTGCAAAGTACAATATGGCCGCATCCAAAACCGTTTTATTTCTCGCGATCCTCCTCTGTTGTGATCTCCCTGATATTTACTCGCACTGGTCACTGATATTTCATACCCAGTGCCCAAGATTTCATATCATGTTACACCATTTGTGTTCAGGATTGGCGACCTCTTTAATAAGAAAGCTTGAGAAGGCTAGGTATTTCGCAGCACACTGTGACGTTAGTTTGTCTCTGGGGTATGCAGTGACAGTGAGAAAATTGTTGCAAAAAATTACCCATTTATGTTGGTCAAACTCCAAACCAAACGAAGGAAACCGAGTCAAGTTGACCAAATTAAAGAACATCGCCAGATGTGTGCCAGTTTGTGGATTTTGAGCCGTTTAGACATACGGAATAATATAAACGTAAGATCACTCTCTATAAGGAGCGAAATGCATGGATTTGAGGGTGTGACAAGTGACTTGGATTACCTTGATTAATCTACGAATGTAGAACATCCGGTGAACCACCCGGTTGTTGATCACCTCAAGTACCGACAGAAAGTAGCGTGGCGGGAGGAATGTTCACTGGATCATATCTTTTCCCATCTCATGAACAGACGACAGACTCTTATTTCCAATCAGTCAAAATCTCTGCTGCGTCAACCAGCGTCAAAGGTCATAATGAAATTTCAAATTATCCGCAGCAAGTTGCTGTATGACTGTCGGTATTAGGCCACCTATTCTTAAAAAAGAAATTCACTTTATTTCGAAGTTTGAAGGAGGTAGCACTAGCTTGGAGTACTCTGCTACCAAGATTCGCACGCCTTTCATTCCGGACCAAGCGTTCTGCTCATGCATACGTTTGAATGTCGCTTTCAAAGTAAATTTGTACACCTCACCGCGTTACTACAGCCACCGTTTTTAATAAAGAATGTGGCGACATTAATCGCAAAGATAAGGAAAATTTTCGTTTACCATTAAGCATAGTGGTATAAACGAAAAGCCATGTGCTATGTCTAATTTTCCAGGGAAAATAACCAACTTTCAAAGAGGAACAAGATATGAAGACTGTTTTGAAGAGTTTCTTCTGTCAGCTAACACCGTTTCTTGCCCCACAGCTTGATTAAAGCGCAATTTAAGTTTGTCTCGCCTTTGACATAGTGCTACAAACCTTAGCTTAATCATATCAATCAGTTAATCAGTGGATGTTTCAGATATACCTTTAAAAAATTACCGAAAATAGACTTTTACTCGCCAAAAGACTGAAAAATTTGTGGATTTGCTTGAGCGTTTGCAAACAACGGAAATGAAATTTTGAAAAAAAGAAACCACAGATTGGTTGTCCAATGAGCAAAATCTGGGATCTGTTCAGATATTCGCGCCTAGCTGAGCACTAATCAGTCCTTCGTCTCCCAAAACGCGCCAACTCAAATCCCAACCACATGAAAATAAGATGATACTAAAACTCAGAACTAATATTCTTGAAGTTCGGTATTTTAACACCTCTATTTTTTCGAAAAGGTGTTTTATTTATCCTGGATTTTTAAACACAAGCCAGCTGTAAACGCATCAGAAGTTTAATGCATACCGTCTATCATTTGAGACGCGTAGAACGTTGTTAAATTGTGTGCAGTACATGGATGGTAAAAATGATCCGGAATAAACTTCCCAAATTACTAAGGCATGCTTGTCAAATTCTGTTTTGATTGGTGAATTGAAGTACGGGGTGCCTTGATGTTACTATCCTGGTTCTGAGTTATCCGTCATCTCATCGATCCTATTCCACCTCCTCTATTGTTGCGCCATGTTGAGCTGCTCAGTCCAGCTAAGCTCATGCGTTTGTCTGGTCGTGATTACTCATATTCTTGAAGTCGGCGAATCAATATGAGATCCATGTATGTGCGAGCTATATAGAACGAAATGCAATTTAAGGATGGTAGTCTTGGTCCACCTGGAATTAAGTGGCTAACTACTTTGTTTTGCTTCGATAGTGCACATCCCGAAAAGGTGTACAAGATAAAATTTGAGAGATTTACCTTTTCTCTGCTCTGCCAAGTTCTTCTAAAACGTCCGGGAGTTTCTGTAAGGTGATAAGACGGCGAAGAAAGTTATCACCTGGTTGTGTCCTAGGTCCCCGGCGCACCGTGTAATGCAAATACTCAGCTTTACAGCTTTACGCAAATAAATGGACTGGTTCAAGCGTTTGAGCAGTTAATTCTTCCTCAGTGGAGCGTCAAGACTAGAGATAATTCCAGTGGTCCTTATTGAAAGCTACTAGTCGAATGAACACGTCAGCTCCTTTTTACCCACTCCGTCACATAGTAATGCACTTAGATCCTCATATGTAAATCGGTACCTATACGGTTCTTAACCCGTTCAAAACTTTTCATTCAGGTTATGGCCTAGAAGTGGACTTGTGGGCTCTCGGGATTATCACCTACATCATGTTGTGTGGATTTGCTCCTTTTCGCAGTCCGGATCGACGTCAATCACAACTGTTTGAGAGTATAAAACGTGGTGTGTTTGTTTTCCTCAGTCCTTACTGGGATGAAATCTCACAAGGTGAGTCTGTGTCACGAAACCAAGCAGGCAAATCCTTCCTGTAGTCCAGCTTCATCCCATAGGCCAAGTTATGTTTTGTGTTAAAGTACAATCCATAAAAAGCACATACTAAAGAAGCGACCACAATGCTTTAGACAACTTTGTTCTTGCACCACCTCACCATCTGTGAGGTGGTCTGAAGGTGCGGTCGTACTTTCCTCTGCGGTAGGATTGTGAAGGCGGCGAGGTGTTTCCTTCCGGTGACCAGCATCCCCATGGTGATGTAAGGAGCGAGCTGTCTTACCACTAGGAAGGGTTGGTGCTCCTGGAGGGATCCCAAGAAAACCCTGACACTAGTGCCTTACGGGTCAGACTGTTGCGCCAGAGGCTTCGGAAGGCGTACCGAAACAAAACCCTACCTTCACCCACTGACTATGGGTAAGACTCCTGAATCAAAGGCACAAGGTGAAATACCTCAAACAGCCCCCCTCCGTTTGGCCTGGGCACCCGGAAAGTAACATCTGCCCGCGCAGCTGAGGAGCAGCGGCTGGTCTTCTTAATTTACGTTAGAATACAATGTGCAGCTGATTTTGTGTAGTCACACGGCAATGGTCTGCCAAAATCCGAAACCAACAACTCAAAATCTAATTGTTATATCTGAATATGGCCTAAGAAACCGCAGTAGTGGCACTCAGGAATAGTTTAGTCACATGTAAACGGTCAAGTGAAGCAGTATCGCTATTCCACCAGGCGATCTGAATGCCCATTTGGGACGAATGGATGAGAAGGTGAGCAACCTTGGCAGAAGACTCCGCGTAGGTGCTCCCAGGACCAGAAGCCAAGTCGCTTGCTACGGCTGTGCGCTAATCGTCATCTACTTGCCACCAGCACATTTCGGCAGATAAGTTGGCAACTCATTACCTGGCATCCTTTAAACTGTAAACAGTCTAGCACTCAGGTTCACCATGTAGCAATTAGCTAGAGATGACGATCTTGTGTTCAAGACTGTCACTGTTCTTTGAACACGCGCACGGAATGAAAGTGCCCGCTTGTTCCGCTACCGCTTGTTCTGCAACGCCTAAAAAGAGTGCTTATCGTTATGATATTCCCTACGTGCAAGATACGTCCTTCAAAGAAGTCTGTCAGCATCAGCAACCCAAACAACTCACGGACATGAAACAAACGTCGGCCAAATGAAGACCGGATAGAATTCCAAAAGGCCATGAATTCGGGAGGTGAATGCCCCCCCCCCCAGAAGAAACCGCGCTCCAGTTCAATCTGAATCTAACAGAGTTCCATCGAGGAGGGAAAGGTGGTCTTACCTGTACAAAATGATTCAGTTAGACCTAAACAGCATCGAACATGGTCTGGGGGAGCCAAACCATCATACATACGCACATGTTCGACTGATTTCAAACCGAAATCAGATGAAGTGAACTGATATACCATAACGTGCTGAGCAGAGCTAATTTCAAACCCTGTGATTCAGAATCTGGGAAGCCGACTTTCGTGCCTTTTGTCAAACTCGTACAGGGGCCCCAAGTCAAGGGAGTTATTCAGGAAGACATATTCCGGCCAAAAGATATCTGGAATGTGCATTGAGAGCCTAATAACATTTCAGTAATCGTATTTTGGTTCACCCCTCATTACAGCGTCACTGCCTCCACCCAGTGTTATTACTGAGCCATGGTCCAACACAGTGGTTAGATTATCATCGAAATCTAGTCCCTCCAGATGAAAGAAATGTTTACATGGTGGGTGATTTGTCACTCAACTTCTGAGGTGGCAGTCAACAAGCAAATCTGTGTGGAGTAAGTGGCTTGCAGTGTCCTATTGCCTCATGAGGATACAAAAGGTAGGACTTGGTGTGGGGGATTCGAGTCAACAGCAGGGAGATCTGCGTTGCATGAAGTACGCGCCTTCGTTGGTCGTAACGGCCGTACAACTAAAATCAACTGTCATGAAATAGGTCAAGACAGGCACATGGAGGATTTGTGTTAGAAAGATCGATCACAAGTGACAAAAAGGGGTGGGTCAATCGCAGACGTTATTCTCTTGTTGAATAATAAGTTTGGTTGTTCACTTAACCAAGACTGACTGAGCTATAGTTAAAGTATACGTGGTACACATATCATATGTATATTGTCCATTCAGAACAGCAAGCGGTCTAAATAGCTTCTTCTGCTCTCGTTGAGGGTGTCACAACTCTTCGCTTTTGAGGCGAGCCGGTTTCGCCTTAGGGTTTCCAACATGGGTACTGTTCCTTTCTATGTACTTTCACGGATTAAGCGAATCAACTCAAGTAACACGTGAATCAAACTAAATTACCTAGTGATCTGAAACAGTATATCTTCAATGGGCTTGACCAAATAGCCGGACAGGCACGTTGCGTCAGTGACTGGAGTTTGTGGCGGATTTGGTAGGCTGGATGTCCTCGTTAATGCAGATTAGAGGCTAAATCCCACGATAAAAGTGAGTCTCATATTTTGGGAAGGTCAGCGCTGTATTCAGGTGATCAACCATATTATGATTATGAAGTGCTCTGCTTTTCTAGACAGCATTGGCTAGATATGCAACATGTTTTGTTAAACTCCTTTTTACCAGGTCTTACCTACATATACATAATTTCGGCATGAAGCTTGAAGTGTGCCGTTATTGGGAAGCCATTCAACCATATTTGGAACCGAAAGGCGACCCCAGTTTGTCTTGAAATTGAAGAAAAATATGAAGTAACCAGTTTTGGGTAGATAGGGAGAATTTTCGAATATGTGGCCGGCTTCCGGCTTGGTTCCTTGCGCAACTACGCCAGGTTTATACGTGTGTAGCACCAGCCATATGAATCTCGTCGCAATAATTGGGTTGCGGAAAGCACATGGACCGGATGCAACGAGATTCTAATCCATTTCGGACATCTGCGAAGCATGGGTGGGATGAAAATATTTTACAGATCTAGTGAAGGATAACTAAGTGCAAATTAGAACAGTGACGTTGGACATGTCTAAATATCGACAGTTGGGGTGGATTTATTATCGGTTAATCAGGGCAGATGCAATCGCTTGGCAATGCCAAACTGGGCGAACAGATTAGCCGCCATTTGATCAAGTCGCAATGAAGAATTGTAGTAACTGAGCTCAGTAACAAAAATTCGTGCGTATCTTACTGAGAATAGCAAACACTACTAGCTTTCTGAATAGAAAGATTGGCTGTTGAAGTGAGATGTGGAACCTTAAAATCTCTGGTCTCACCGAAAACAACCTAGTAAATGTATAGAAACATATCACCTATGTTGACCGATCAAGGGTAGATGATGCAGAGTGATTTGGTAGTGCGTAACATACCACCGTGGTTCGCTCACTTCTTGGACCAACCCGATGTCGATGGTGGCCTGAACCGCACATAATCACCTCATGTGAGATGAAATTAATCATCTGCTAGGCTATTCAATTCGATTTCACTACCAGAATGATTTAGAGTTGAAACAAGGACAAGCTCCTTGACTTTCACTGGCGGCATATTTTCCTGATTCCAGCCGGTTTGTGGATGCTTTGTAGGCAGAGTAGGATTAATCCCGAACTGGTCTTTAAAAGTCAGTTTTTCATCACTCAGTAAACTGGAATATTTGACATTTTGAACAAGTGATCCGACAATATCAGGACGGTGTACATCACCTATACATTTCAAAAGACTCCAAGGCATCCCAACCAACGGTAATACTTTCTAGTAAATTGCCTCCTGCGCTGATGAGACTTCCCTGCAACCGAGTGCTATTCAGCAGCCTTCGTGAGAATCTAGATCAGCGAGTGAGAACAGTTTGGTAAATTCCCGCCGAGTGGTTTAGCAGCACCCTTGGCATTTAGTGAACTCTCGTCGAAAAACACGTTGACTTCCCCATGCCTTTCGATTTCTCTGCCATTAGCGATCAGTTTAAGATTCACACCACAGCGACTGGTGGCCGAGAAGGTGGAAATCGCCAGGCATCCGAGTGTGAATAGAATAGAGGGGGTAGAACTTGCAAAAATGTGGAGAGCGTTCCTAGATCAGCCGAGATGACACGAGGCGGTGTGCAATTACCAGCGAAATCGCCTGGGTCTAAAAGTACAATATCCAAGTAGAGTTAGATCCAATTAACTACCCCACCCACATCCCCAAACCATTGTCCCAGCACCCTTGGACGAACACAGGTGAACGACCCCAAGAGGGATTTTCCATTAAGGTGTCCTAGACTGAAGAAGCAAGGACCAAGAAATCCGGGTTCATCATAAAGACGAACCCCCCCTAACCAGTCTATCGTAAATCTTAGTCGTCCCCACTAATCAACAAACAGGAACATCAGACTAGTCACTAGTCATAAAGGATCTCACGGATTGGTTCCCCGACTGCCTTAAAACCCAATCAACCTACTTACTTACCCATTTGGCCTGACGAAGCTTTTGTGTCAAAAGCGAAACGTTGCCCAGCAATAAATCCACCGATTGTTTACCAAACCCCTCTGAAACGATGACTTCCCAATCGGTCCCAAACATTTTCCAATTGATTGAAGATAGACTTTGCTTAAAATTAGCACCGCTTCGATCGCATCAACCATAGTTGCCCAAAGAAAGTGGTCACATCACGAAGTTCTGCGGTGGTTGTATTCCCCATTGCTTTCATTACAGGGGCGAAAGACCTCGTGAACCGTCTCCTCGTTGTTACGCCACGTAAGCGTCTGACTGCAATCGAAACCCTCACGCATCCATGGGTCTACTTCGAAGGTTCATCGGACAACTTAGGAAGTTCCGGCAAATTAGAAAAAAGCCGGGACGAATACAAGAAGGAATTAGAGAAGGAGGCGCAAAGCATTAGGTCACAAAAATTGTCAACCGAAAACAGCAACGGCGTGTTGGCTTCTATGCTCATTTCTTCAACAAGTGGTGAGTCGAAAAGATTCGAGAAAAACCCCAAACCCGATAATGGGCCTTCATCACACTTGTCCTCAAAATAACCCAACCACAACCTACATACCAACAAATCCAGTGATGAGACTTCCCGTGCTCATCAAGTCTTTCTGTGGAGAACAGTTTCCAGAAGTCAGAATGTATGCGGCCAGATGTATTAATCAGTCTTTCAGTTCTGATGCATATGTACAACCCGTAGCTTCACACAGTGAGCGTACTCCATACAGAGTACTTCCCAGTATCAACCTGGAGGACACCACGTGATCAGTCACTATTTTGACAAACCAATACGTGCTTACCAGCTGTTCGTACATTATGTAGATAAAACATTTGTACCCATATTTTATACCGAACGAACCTCCCTTCCAGATCGCATTATTTACACGGTTATTTAGCTCTTTTCCAGAATGATTTTTTACTACAAACCGGTTTTTGATTGATATTTTGTGCCGCATGAGATAGCCCGAGATGAAATAGGACGAGCTCGACACGATCACCGTGAATGTCGAGAGATAAGAGGGAACAGTTAAGCTAACAAGAAACTAGCAAGTTGGTTTGGTCTTATGCGGTTGTGGCAATAAGGCAGAAAGTTGGACAAACAATGCGAGAAATTTCAGTGACCTAAATTAATTTGCAACGACGGTAATATTAAACACCCTATTGATCCGCTCAGAAATGTAACGAAGAAAATTTTCAGTTCCATGGTTCCTATCTTATTTAACATGATGTGAGGGATATTGTCCAACATCCTGTCACAAAATACCCGACGATACAGCAGCGTTCCGACGACTAGTTGACTGCCACTGCTGTCGCCTGTCATTCTGACCATTAAGATATTATTGCAACGTCATCTATATATGGTCCTGAATTGGCTTATTACCACAATGAGATTGTTTCAATGGTAGAGGATGCTGAGGGTTGAAAGTTGAAAAAGGGGGTGACGGAATAAGTTAAACAAATCTGACGTAAACTGATCAACCATTTTCAGCTAGTCAACAGATTTATGGTATTCATCTCAGCTAAGACAATGGTGCCAGTCTGCGCAGTGAAAACTAGCACTCGAACGATTTGACTACCGGAAACACCGATTAAACAGCAAAATTACTAGGGCGACGAAAGCCCCAGTGACTACAAAAGTATGGATACTGAAATCAGCTATCTTCAAACACGAGTACAGCCTCATCAGATGAATTTTACTACATCGCAAATTGCGGTAAGTTAGCATCCGAGTTCCAGGACATCGGATGAAGCCAGTTCAGTAAATTGATGACTAGTTCAATCTAGTGTTAAAAAAGGATGACTAACTGGACTGTTCACCTCAGACAGAAGAAGACCAGATTAACAGGTAGAAATATACGGCAGGTTATTTCATTGGGATAAAACCAATCACAGATGGAACAGGGAACTGATAAGAGAAGATCCGACAGGCACAACTCTAACATTCCCTGGCAGACAAGTGGAGGTGAGGCAACAAAATACCCGACGATACAGCAGCGTTCCGACGACTAGTTGACTGCCACTGCTGTCGCCTGTCATTCTGACCATCAAGATATTATTGCAACGTCATCTATATATGGTCCTGAATTGGCTTATTACCACAGTGAGATTGTTTCAATGGTAGAGGATGCCGAGGGTTGAAAGTTGAAAAAGGGGGTGACGGAATAAGTTAAACAAATCTGACGTAAACTGATCAACCATTTTCAGCTAGTCAACAGATTTATGGTATTCATCTCAGCTAAGACAATGGTGCCAGTCTGCGCAGTGAAAACTAGCACTCGAACGATTTGACTACCGGAAACACCGATTAAACAGCAAAATTACTAGGGCGACGAAAGCCCCAGTGACTACAAAAGTATGGATACTGAAATCAGCTATCTTCAAACACGAGTACAGCCTCATCAGATGAATTTTACTACATCGCAAATTGCGGTAAGTTAGCATCCGAGTTCCAGGACATCGGATGAAGCCAGTTCAGTAAATTGATGACTAGTTCAATCTAGTGTTAAAAAAGGATGACTAACTGGACTGTTCACCTCAGACAGAAGAAGACCAGATTAACAGGTAGAAATATACGGCAGGTTATTTCATTGGGATAAAACCAATCACAGATGGAACAGGGAACTGATAAGAGAAGATCCGACAGGCACAACTCTAACATTCCCTGGCAGACAAGTGGAGGTGAGGCAGGGAGGGGACGTGCAATATGATGATGAGATTGATGGAAAATAGTGGGGCACATGGTCTGCTTTCGGATGGGACGAAGGACGAGGCAGCTGAGTGCAAGCAGGAGAAGGATGTGGGGAAGCAATGGTTGACGGGAAAAGGCTGGGAAAATAAGTACTATAAAATATACCATTAAAAGTACAAAACAAACAAAACAGCCTTCGTGTAAGGCAAGGCAAGCCTGATGAAAAGTGAAAAAATAACGATCTCAAACAGCCAAGGTCAACGGAGTGGGTATCGTGAAATAAATCTGTCTTCACGTTCACGATCACTGGGCACTTAAGCGACTGTTAGATCTTGCAAAAGCGGGTACCATTTCGTGATACAGCAGCCGGGACGTAGTGACCGTAGTTGAATATAAGCTTGACCCAAGGAAAAATTTTCCCCAAGGTTGACTGCGTGCCAAGCTGAGACTTCGAGGAAGCCTGTGTGTAAATCGTAGGTACTGAGATCATACGAAAACTGCAAGAGAGAGATAGAAAGATAGATATAGTCAAGCTGCTCGACAGAGACCGACACAATCGGGAGTGTCAATGCTTGCGCTAGCTCATACGATGGTCGATTGAAATGGAAGAGAAGAGTCACCCAAACCGTCCTGTTTGTTCACAAATCGAATAGTCGATACGGCAAGGCGATAGGGAACAATAGTAGTTCCCTCCACTGAAAATATCCAGCGAAAATAAGACCATCTGAAGGAGATGGAACGTCCCCGAGGAAACGACAACAGACTAAACTAGGAATGATGGGGAAGCTATGATGGTCTACAAGGGTGTCTTCTCATTGGAAGATGTTGTCGTGCCGTCCACCTTTGCCAGCGTGTCCAACACAGTACAACAGTAAACAGTGCAAGAAGAAACGGTACGATATTCGAAATACCGCAGTATACTTTCATCGAGGAGACTACTAACAGGGTTGCTGGAAACTCTTCACTAGGAATGATGGGGAAGCTATGATGGTCTACAAGGGTGTCTTCTCATTGGAAGATGTTGTCGTGCCGTCCACCTTTGCCAGCGTGTCCAACACAGTACAACAGTAAACAGTGCAAGAAGAAACGGTACGATATTCGAAATACCGCAGTATACTTTCATCGAGGAGACTACTAATAGGGTTGCTGGAAACTCTTCGACAACATACCACCGATTTCGCCCTTCTTAAGGCTCATCAAGTAAGCACAGTCTCCGGGTTCCCGTTAACCTTAATTAAATCCGAATTGCTTAAAACCCGTCGAAAGTAATTTACGTTGATTTAGATGAACAGTCATAAACATTTGTCATTATTAATCGATCCTTGTGGAGGACATGATCGTTTTACCGGATGATGGGTGCGGAGACGTATCCCGAAAAATTCAAGCGGTTGGGGGCGAATGGCAGCAGAAGTAAGCACAAATGTGACTAGTTGAAACCACCGATCAAAAGGGCGCATGCCTCTCTGCGCCAACTTTATGATTCTCAAGAAAGGCAAAAGAGCCACAACAACTATATATTGAATATTGGACAAGATTCCAAACTTGTGACTTGACAATTATCAGGTTTTCACAAGGATTGATGGCCATTCAGGCAAAATCTTCTGACTATATGTCAGCTGTCAGATGACCGACTGAACTGGTCGGCAGCTGGGTGAACCGAAAACCACATTTAACATTCCGAATAGGTTTCTTAAACTAGTCCCATTGGTGTTCCCTATACAGAAACGTCGTGGGGTTAATAATCGATGTCGTAGTTCGCATTGCCAAGCAAAAAAAAAACGAATATTTGCACAGCAGAATTTGTGAAAGTCAGGTGACTGGTGCCGAATCACCTCACGCGACTGAACCCGGACTCCTCGATGAACGTGACATACCCACGTGGTTCACGTGGGCCGAAACTGGATCGAATCAGATGCAGGTGAAACAACAATGCGCGTGTGCACTGAAGCGCGTCAGAACAGGTATAGACAGCAAGAAAAATAACTGTCGGACTTACCGCAGTATTGAAGGTCGGCGAACTTGATCGTCTGATAACAGTGGTTTTCCGTTTGGTGGATTTCTTTCGACGACCCGAAAGCAAGTAGATTTTCACATAAACATCAGGAAGTTCGTTTGTACCGGGAATCAGCTGCAGGCAGAAAATACATAGTCCAAAAGATGAAGGTGGTAGGGGGAGACGTAAAGATCACATAGCGATCTTCATTCAGGTGATTACTTACAGCTGATCGGGAATCGTTGCTAACCAATAAGCTTACTGCGAAGTAATTAGTAATTCGTTTTGCTCACCAAACTGAGCGGAGGATGACGAAGTGTAGTAACGAGAGTGGGCGTAAAAGCTGTTCCCCTCAGGCTTTTCTATGCTTGAAATATGCGTAGGTTCCCCATATAGGATCTGTGCCTAGGGCAACGGAGTACCTTTCGTCAAAGCTATCCTACTTCTTCCCCTAGCTGGCCAACACAGTGGTGTGGCAGACCACGGTGGGATCGCACGATCTTCATGGCTCATATCAGGCTTTGATTACCGAATGTCACTCATACTGGGAAGAGGATCCTCATTACCCTTTTATAACTGACAGCATGAGAATACTTTAAGTAATGAATTGTATCTTATGAAATCATCATATGAAAAAGGTCGAGCGTACGACAAAACGCCTCAAATTCTTAAGAGCAACAGCTCGTTCGCAGAGGGTATAGTTGGGCAGCTACTATAGAACCAGTAATTCGTGAGCGCAAAGTTCAAGAGATCGAAGTGTACGACTAGGTGGTCGATGCCTAAAAACGAATCAGATGATTATCTGAGGTCGACAAACGGGCGATCTAAACGTAGTTTTGAGGAAAGAGAGTGGACAGAGATCGAAACAGGACACAGCCCATAGCACCTCAAGCGCTGCGTGAAAAATCCGACGGATGGGAGCATCATGAGTAGTTAGACATTCAGACGAACAGTTTTTCTGACATTCGTACCAAATGAAATTTACCCGACAACACAAAATGCGTGCAACTCACGTACTTTCCAAACCTAGGCCTCAATCCACTTGCTCAGAAAATGAAAGACGCTTACTTCCTTAAAAACACTCAGGGTTATATGGTGTGAAAGTGATCACTGCAAAGAAATTTGTGAGAGGAGGCAGTTCGCCGCAAATGAGAGCAAAAACTGTTGGTTAGGATCAACTGGAAGCTGCTCCGTTCTGCGTTACATTCAGTTCGGGAAATGCGAGAATTTTTTTAGAAAGGATGAGAACTGCGAGAACAGCATGTGCTTGCTCGTTACAAACTGGCCATACCGAATATTCGTTCAACTGTCTAGACAAGTGGGATTTTTCTTCCACAGTGCTGATATTTACATAATCAATAATGTGGGACAAACAATCGGAATTTAACAACGGAATAGATCCAGAACACTTCACAAGACGACACAAACCCAAACTCACCAAGGCACGTCCGTGTTTGATAAGTATATCTAACCGCTGTGCATTCTCGCTTAATTGAAACTGCAGCTGTATGGCAGCGGTTTGGTCAGATGGTCTGAGAATGGAACACGCGTCGTAGGAGTCTGTGTGAACTACGGCGGTGGGCGGGGTTTCACTTGAAGAAGACGGGCTACCCCAAAATGTGAACTGTGATTCGTTACCTTCAAGAAATTCAAAACAGAGGTGGCATGGAGTAGAGTACCAGTGGTAAGTTAAGCCGCAACGTGTTGCGTGAAAAACGATATATAAGGGGTAGGAAAATCGTGACAAGGATAGGAGGTCGCTAGGAATGACAAAGTGGTGCCAGCAGTGATAAAAAATGCTGAATTAGGTTGAGCTAACTATCAGTATCATACGCATGTGGGGCGATGAAGGTAAAGATAAGCTGACAATGAACCCTCTTAAACTAAATGAACAAGCACACAAGATTTCGTACAGGGCATAAACCAGATTTCTAAGCCACATATAGCAGGGTTTTTCACTTGAACACGAGGCAAACCTTTAACCCACACAGGCGATCATACCGTCTGATATTCTACAATGCTATTTCAATCGCGTAACGGTGTTTGGACGAGCATCGCCTGAAATTGACTTCTTTTCTGTATAGTTCCTATTGACACTACATCGTCGTCTGTTGTTCAATGTCGGGCGAGAAAACTCGCCTTAAACTTTTTAAATGTGAAAAACGGATTCTGCCGATGCAATGATAAAAAAACTCAGATTCCACAAAAGGACGTTCAGACAGCTCAGGCGCTGACCCAATAAACAACACCCAGAGAGGTCATTCGAAGCATCGACAGACTCTCAGAGGTGTTTACCTTTACCGAAGCTCCCAGACACATTTATATACCCCTAGCATTTAGATTGCGTTACGGAAACCTGACAATGAGAAAGTGTGCACCATAGAATGCAAAAAATAGCTTGAGAATATGAACATGGAATTCAGCATGCGATGAATATCCCTGGCAGAACGAAATCCTCAGAAGCAAATGACTCCTTGACACAGTGTACCGTAAAAAGCGTAATTAAAGAGCTCCATTCAATACGAGCTAGCAAAAACGGCGTGATATAATTGGATCTCTCAGTTAAATCAACCAATTCCGGGAAAAGAGGATTAATCATGGAATCCAATAAAGTCAGATGCGGGTGTCCAGGCTAAACTTTTCAGAATAACTGAAAAAGAGCAAAGAAACCAACTAGAAGTTAAAGTACAGTTTCGCTCCCCCTAGATCTCAATACTGGTTCGCGGCCAGGGCACAGGACATTGACGAGGGAATCTCTGACTCAACCCTTCCAGATCGTTGTTATTCAGACTTGTGTATCCTGGAAGTATTCTAGTTTATGATTTGTAAAGGGTGGCAATGCGACAGAAGTGCCAGGAGTGATCTATGCAGAGGGAAGAAACTATATGGTATGGATCACCAACGAATAACGTTCTGGTGAGACTCACTCATGTGTTGGGCCTCTTTGGCTGCAAATTTCTCGTCAAATAGGAGGCTGTGGAAGAAGATACACAGTGGTTCGCTCTAAAAGACAACAGAGTAAAAAAGGAGTGAGAGGGGCAGTCAGACACAACGCGGCAACAGTGGATGAGGGGCGCAGGCCATAGTGTCTAACATAATGGTATTGATGTGAGTTAGCTATCGGTACATGGAGCTCACCAAGTTACATAACATTCAGTGCCTGAATCTACAGAGCCCGGGTTGAATTCGAGGTAAATTAAAACATTCTGCATAGGTCTGGTTTCCGCGAATCCTGTTTGCTCAGACATAGAGGCTGTGTTAATCGAAGAGCTCTGATAGATCCATAGTAATGCAAACGGCGATTTGGTCAGTGCATGTTACGTGTTAATATCTAGTGTGGTTCGTGAGGGATCATGTTTAAAATGAAGGGACAAAGTTTTCAGGCCTCGTCCGCTGAGCGGACAGAACCTAAAAAAAGGGACTAGAAATGAATGCTAGTGGAAGAAGACATGGATAAATTTTGGGCAATTTCAAATGCTGCAGGACCCATGGATGATCATCATTACGGCAGAACTGAAAGAAAACATTTCATGAAGTAAATGGAAAGTACCAAGATCCAGTCGTGCTAGAAACATCAAACGGACTAATCAAGAAACTTCAATGGATGTAATTGTTGAGGCCCAGTTAATTTTGCCGAGTCGGGACAGGGTCAGAACAAAGCCCAAAACGTTGAGAAATACAGTCACATAGACTAAACAATCATGGATAAATACCAAACACTGACAATTGTGAGAAAGCGGGGCTTTATATTTATTCGCCGAAAAATGTATACATCGGTTTCAAAGAGTGAATACGAACGGCCTCATGGAAGTACGCCCTGAATGAGAATAACTGCGTTTGTATTTAGCTACTTGTGCCACAACAGTAGCAGCATTCATCGGTAGTTGAAGGCAAGCGGAAACCCACTAAAATCCCCTTGCCAACGTCCCACTGGCGTCAGAAAAGCAATGGGATGTCGCCACCCAATGAATAGACATGGCAAGTAGACAAAATAAATTAAACCCATCAGGAAAGAACACACAGTAATGCTTTTCATTCAAAAAGCCAGAGCGTAGTATTCCCTCAGGAGGGGCTAACGTACCCCTCTCCCGGTGCTGTATTCCCTAAAGAGGAAACCTACCCCGACCGGCTAACGTTAGGTTGTGGTGTGAACGGACCAGTATTCGAAAGTCTTGGATAGTAAGCTTTAGATGTTACAACAAAGCGCTATCGGGTCTGCTTCATGGACTTTGATAGTGCCTTCAGTCCGATCGATCGAAAACATTCGCTGAGTAAATTCTACGGGACTGACAAGGAAAGACTCCTGTTCCTCTTACACAACTTGCTCACCGACCGAAAGTCATACTTTCGGATAGGTGGACGGTTGTCGAAGACTCCTACAGATAATTCGGGCATGTTCAAGGAACAGTTTTGTCACCGTTTCTATTCACTTCCATACATGCTCCGTGAAACTTGAGGGACATCGCAGTCCGATAAAATAAGCGAACAACATTGCGGTTGGCGGAGCGAATTCTACATATCGGACGCCTATTTGTCTGAACACATTACAGCCGCATGCCAGTAGATACAAGAAATCGCAGCTGAACCCACATAAATGCACCGAGATTGTATTCACACTAGCACAGGATAAACATCTACCGCGACCTAAACTGCTATCGAAAGTTGCAGACCATCTCTAGCTAATCACATAAAATATCCTGAAGTTCTGATCTCTAAATATGGCATGAATAACGTTAACAAAGTTCTGTTCTTTGCCAGTTATTCACCGCTGTTAACTCGTCGTTTTCACCGGACTGTCGAAAAAAGACCATATGAGTAGCAACCGGTGAAGTCAGCTTTTACGAGCAAGTGGTAAGATTCCCTTCAGCCCCCTGACAGATACCTAAGCTGATATATACGGATGGTTCCCCAGGCAATACTCGATGAGATTTCCCACCCATTACATTCAGGTATGATCATCAGTTTCCCGAAACACCCGTCGCGCAGCATTGGTGTACATCTATACGCAAGAACATTAAAATGCAGAAACGCTGGTTTCTTATTTCGCCCGGATTATGACTTCGGATTCATTATTCAGAGCTGAACTTCTGGAACGAGAAGCTGCATAACTCGCTCACCGACATGTGGCGTTTTCTTTCTGTTTTGTCCTCCCTGTTTCTCCCCTATAGGTTGCTTTTTCAGTTTTTGTGTATACATTGTTTATATGCGTCCATACATTCAAACGACCGGGTATTTGATGTGTTGATCAGCCTCACTTCAAAATCAATAGCTTTGCAATTTCTCTCCGCACTAAGCAGCCTGCGAACAACGGAAAGTTAAAAACTGTACAGATTCCACCGATCAAGATAACAAGTCGACAACCAGTTGGATCAAAAACAGGAAACACATGGACCACTCTTGAGTATGGAGAAGGCGAGTGATCAGATATCCAGTACCGGATGGCCTTAACCACCTTTCAAATAGGTGGAATCAAAGCTTAATGCGGGAAAGTACACCAGACTAAGTGCAACTATCCTTTGTTCGCTGTGCTCCTTATGACGTCTATCAGTGTTCTCGGTGAGTGCTTGGTGTCCCTTATCAATCAATAGACCACCAGTAAAAAAAATCGCACTACTGCCGACTTGAAAAAATCACACTGAAGTCTGCACATCCTGAAGTTGTTCGAAATGCTACTAACGATGAAAGTGAATGCCAGCCAAAGGACGGTTCACTTGCGCCAACAATTGTTTTGTCTGCGTAGATCATTGGATACCGATCGCTGCTGTACCGCCGTTCCTATTAAATCACACAGCTGCCGTAGATCTGTTGACGCAATTTCGGTAAAAGTTGTCAAGGGCCTATTTTAAATACGCAGACTTGAGATGATTTCACCCATAACATGATATAAGACGAAACGTCTCCCCGACTGGAATAAAACTTTCGGCTAACCACACGTCAGGATCTTGTTGACACCGACTTCTTCGGCTTATTATTTTATACGAAAACCATCCTTGTTTAACTAACAGAGTTTATAATAAGGCTCCCATTGCTAAAAGTGGTTATTGACTTGATTTGAAGGAGATATCTATTCTGGGAAGCGAACATTTCGGTTATACTCGACGGCCGCATACAATTTCTCAGGTACAGAAATAAGGTACTAAAGTTAAGAGACATGAGTAATGATAAAGATGCCAAAATTAGCCAGTGATAATGTCCAAATTGAGTCGATCCTTCAAGCCAGAACCTTTTGTACGCACGCGCTCATCAAATATACTTGCAGCAATATGTAGGCGCATTGAGCTCCCGTGTGTACCGTGGATGAAGTGTTTGGTTTGACAGAAATAACAACACCTGAAAACGAACCTTCCTGATTAGTAGTAGTAGTAGTAGTAGTAGTAGTGTAGGTAGCTAGATTTCCTAATAAGAGAGAGGTTCGAGAGTAGTGGAAGCTGGACTAACACGAGAAACCTGAACGCATCAAGTCAACATTGCTATACGGGTTCTCGTCTTCTGACTTTTTCGATGAGTCGCAGAGATTGGTTTCTTTGATAAAATTCGAGTCAACTTACAATCTATACATTAGGATCCAAGTCACACGGTACATGATATATCCATTTGCAAATATCGTTGAGTACCATTACATGAGATACGTTAGGAACAATTGACAGAAATAACAACACCTGAAAACGAACCTTCCTGATTTTCAAGTCTGCTTCGAGAAGATAGTCGACTAGCTCCTGGACAGTGTTTTGTGTGCGAATTGATGTCACGTGGTTCGCAGTCAGAGACCCTACCAGAAGTGGAATGTTCGTAAGATCAGCGAAGTCCGAAAACGCATCATGAACGACGCTGCACAGTTCGATCAGGTCGGGGATACGACGATATACCCGCGTTGGTATTCGGCAGTCTTTTCGCCAGACAGACATTGGAAAGTAATGGTCCTAAACGGAAGGGTGGAGAGGCACGGCAAAGATTCATATCAGCATAAGATAAAAGCGGTTGTGCTCCGGAAACATGAAGTGATTGATGAAATCTCAGTGCACCAAAAACTTAAATCCTTCGGAAGAGGAAATAGTGTCGAACTGATCTAGTAATCGAAGTAAACTGATGTAACCTTTCGTAAACCAAAAAACAGGCCAACTGCTATCCAAAAAATAGATAAAAAACACGTCTAGGTGCCAGAATCCGTGGGGGGAACTACCGTAGTACTCGGCACTCTTCGACAATGTTTGTGAGTCACCAAGGTAATCACCGCAAACAATGCTACACAAACACTGATCAAACTAGCAGAATGAAGTCATCAGATGCTTCTCTTCTTAAACATCGAAGCGTTGAAAATGTACGGGTTCGCGTGACCAGGTCTGCCGAAAACTGAAGAACTAACAGGTAATAATCAGACTCATCGAGAGGCAGTTATACAGAATCACACTGAAGTGTACTGGAAATCACTGCAGTACATTTTCACGCAAGTACCATCGGCATATCCTAGCACCCTTCCCATCAAAATTGATAGTCCTCAATGTGTCCTCCACTTAATTTTAGGATGGAACTTAGTCGGACACACATCAGGCCGCGTTACCTCTTATGGGCACAGTGCGTTAACGGGATTGTCTCACCATAGGCAACAACCCAGAATCAATAATAAGGCTCCACTTTCGTGTACTTACGGCTACCGTACTTGAAAGACAAGAAAAGAATGGATAAAGGAAAGGTGCGGGTTTCTCATCATCAAGAAACACAGCAAGTCGATTTCATCGCCGAATGCAAGAAGCCTTGCCAGAGTGCAAGGTTCTGCTGTGATATTGTCCAAACACAACAGACACGTTTGCGCCCCCAAAGCTGTAGTTAGGAAGCAGGAAAGAGGACGATGATTGCTCTATCTAGCATTGTGCACACCGAGCAGGAAAGAGTACCTAGTCGAAGTGAATTGAAGGGACAGTTTAACAACCTAACCGATTGCGCAGATTCGAAAATGCGTTTGTTATGTACAAATTCAAGTACATTCCCGTAGTCACAATGTCCTCATAGATGTTTGTTCCGTTCCGGAAAATACCATGTTGTTCTTTCGTAAATGCCGGTGTATGCATTGATTTTCGGAAGTTGCGACGATACGAACCCCCACCCAAAGGTATGGGGCACGGGACTGATGAACCGCACCGAACGATCTGAAATTTACGGTATTGTGCTTTCTTCCAAAACATGGTAAACATGAAAACGAGTAAATTAAATACGAGTCCCTGATGCACGGTTTGCGTGAATTACAATGGGTTTATGAAAGCTGCAGTCTGGAAACCAAATGAAAATGACGATAATCATGAGGAGTTGTGTCTGAGAAAGTAATCCTATCCAAGAGACTAAGGGATGGTTGAGTAATCGGTAACCGCAGACTTACCGAGTGTTTATCACTCGCTCGTAGTTTGACTGCAGCTTCTACGACCACAGCATCGATTTCCCCACGTTCCGATAGGCTGATAGAATGGGTCACATGAGAGCAGATGAAAAGAATAGATACAAAAGTGCTAAATGAACAGCTTGTCAACAAATCACGTGGTGAGGTTTGGAATCGGAAAGGCGGGACATTAGGTGCAATTTAATTAACACGATTGAGATGGCTCAGATGTACGGAATACATGAGGAACGTCCAGCTAAACTGACGACATTAATGTGACCGGTGGTTCGGCTGGGATGAACTTCCATATCAAGCACCCAAAAGCTGTCATTCCCTATGGTGATGGAATCACTCAGCACTGCACACAGTAGTGCAGTTTTCAGCAACGACTGGACTGCGAAAGCGATACACTGGAGCACCACACTGCTTCGTTTTACGGCGACAATGACGATGTCGCCAAAATTAGTGACGAAATGTACGCAACCCAATTAGCTGTCTCAGTGAACAAACCAACGATCAAACACAGTCTGAGCTATCCATATATTTTTCGATAGCAGGAAGTACTCGACATTTCGTACTGAAAAGAGTGATGGTGAATTCCACGTAGTAAGAGGAACTAAACTCAGCTGGACAGGCAGTCGATTAGATGATGAAAAGCGTGTTGAGAATGTACACTAGTCGAGCAACTAGTGGCGTGTTTTCATGCATCAAAGTGAGGGCAGATTATCTAGAATAACTCAGATTGAACGTACGTAACCAAGCAGTACAAGGGTCGGGAAGAGTTAACAAAAGAGAAACTCACGTGAATCGCTTGGGCACAAAGGAGAATATCTGTCCAGGCGACAGACTACCTTGTCGTTGAGCTGATTTGTTAGTAGGCCGAGAAGTTCGTACAAGACTTATCATCTCCGGTGCGGAGTTTGTGCCAGCAATAGAAGCTCCGCTTGCTCCGGACGAACTAGCCGAATTCGACGATTGCTTCGCCTGGGCCAGACCGTGTACGAAGAAATTGAGAGCAGGGGCACGTGAATTCAACGTTTTGCGAATGAGTCTAAAACAAGCAAGGAAAGATTTCGCCACAGAATGAGCCTGAATTTAATCGACATGTTGTACGACAAACGTGAATGATTAAGCCATCAGTTTTGTGTAGACTGAGCCCCAGATAGTTGCTCTTTCCCAAGAGATTATGGCCAAAACTCTGATTCAGCAATAGCACGCTTGCCCCCCAGTTACATCACTGTGCTCAGCTTCACGTAAGAGATGCGTGGTTTGTTTTCCCAGCTGCTGAAATCTGGCTCAATAAGAAACTAGTAAAAATAAACAGGAAATAGGGTGAAGGCATTCTGTATACTTACAACCCGACACCTTTGTCCCTGAGTATCGAAATAACGTTTGTGTACTAGCAAAGGAGACCGAGGAATTAGGTCGGGTTCGATCTGTAACGCATTGGTGCGTGTTCAGCTGGCCAAATCCCACTATTTGCAGCCGCACCACCGTCAAGAATATTAGTGTATTGTACAAAATGTGGGTGGTCAAGAATATTAGTGTATTGTACAAAATGCGGACACCACAGCAAGTGAGTGGGTACCTTGTAGAAATGTGATTCAGAAGACCATGTGACAACAAAAGAATAAAAACGGCGGTTGGACCAAGGACAGTCGCGGTCCGCAGCTTTTAGCTGTCTACGAAATCCGTTTAGGATACAACAAATATGTCTGCCATTCAGTGTTTTCGATGTGGATTACTAAGTTGGACATAACTCTCGTTACAAGGGCGGAGGCTCAAGTTATTCTTCCACCGAGTAGCAGTTTTACGTGGAAATCTTGGGCCTGATTGCTTGCAACTGTCCAAAAAGTAATTCAATCTCCATAGGAGATTACATGACTCATGGTGCTATCATAAGGTGTCTGATTATCTGCTGCCGATCCTCTAATGGCAATCTACATGACACTGCTAGGCGATCCATTGCAATATACTGCGATTTCACGATTGGACAGACACGACACAGTTGGAGCAACTATGCAAACGTATGGAACAGAGATATTTTTGTTTAGGAACATGGAAGAATGTTGGGAAAACTAAACGGTGGGTATCAGAAGCTAAAATTGGTTGGTTGCAAGACACATCCTATGTCCAAAGAGGAGAGAAATGCACTGTGAAGTAAAAAAAGAAACCAGTTGGTAAAAACATGCGGAACTAACCCGGTAAAATGTTGGCTCGCTTCTTGTTCCGAAAGCTCCAACTGGAGCGTACTCATCAGATAACGGACGCTGTCACGGGTGACACCCGGTATATTCATTGATAGACTCTGAAACAATGGATAATATAGGTACAAAGATAGCATGGATGACCCCACTATTTGCAGCCGCACCCCCGTAAAGAATATTAGTGTATTGTACAAAATGTGGGTACCACAGCAAGTGAGTGGGTACCTTGTAGAAATGTGATTCAGAAGACCATGTGACAACAAAAGAATAAAAACGGCGGTTGGACCAAGGACAGTCGCGGTCCGCAGCTTTTAGCTGTCTACGAAATCCGTTTAGGATACAACAAATATGTCTGCCATTCAGTGTTTTCGATGTGGATTACTAAGTTGGACATAACTCTCGTTACAAGGGCGGAGGCTCAAGTTATTCTTCCACCGAGTAGCAGTTTTACGTGGAAATCTTGGGCTTGATTGCTTGCAACTGTCCAAAAAGTAATTCAATCTCCATAGGAGATTACATGACTCATGGTGCTATCATAAGGTGTCTGATTATCTGCTGCCGATCCTCTAATGGCAATCTACATGACACTGCTGGGCGATCCATTGCAATATACTGCGATTTCACGATTGGACAGACACGACACAGTTGGAGCAACTATGCAAACGTATGGAACAGAGATATTTTTGTTTAGGAACATGGAAGAATGTTGGGAAAACTAAACGGTGGGTATCAGAAGCTAAAATTGGTTGGTTGCAAGACACATCCTATGTCCAAAGAGGAGGGAAATGCACTGTGAAGTAAAGAAACCAGTTGGTAAAAACATGCGGAACTAACCCGGTAAAATGTTGGCTCGCTTCTTGTTCCGAAAGCTCCAACTGAAGCGTACTCATCAGATAACGGACGCTGTCACGGGTGACACCCGGTATATTCATTGATAGACTCTGAAACAATGGATAATATAGGTACAAAGATAGCATGGATGACGATACCGGTGGGTTATTAGGAATTGAGGGATCCGGAGTTTTGGACAAAAAAGATTACTTGTTCAGCTGATTTTTCCCGCTGCTTTTTATACCCAGGCGTTGTTCATTGAAAGGGTCCACTCTAGTAGGTTGACAGATTCATCTGTTTAAACTAATAAACTCATTACGCAACTTCCAATAATTTTACTACACTGGTGAATCTTAGTAATAGAGTGATTTGGATCTAGTGTTTAGCTCAGATACTGAGGACCACACTGAAGACTTGAGGATTCGCAACATTCAAAACAAATCACAGTCCCAATTTTTCTACAGCGACGCGAATTCAGAGAGTTCACAGTATCGTTGGAAGCAGGACTGGGTCAAACTGTACACAAAGATTGCCTTCAGGTGCCGCGAGGAGACGGTTATAAACCGGACGAAATCACTCGATTACTAAAATCTTTCAGGATATCATCACATCTAGTCAGTTGAATGGTAAAACATTCCATCACTAGGTGATGTACATGCACAGAAAATAAATTTGTAGATCAGTGAAACATTAATTGAAAAAAAATGTCATGGAAAATATGAAAATTATGCGTGTGAAGAGCACAGAGCCGCTTATTGAAGTAAATCGTGTTGGAGAGCCATTTTCTCAACGTTCCATCCCAAAACCCAAAAGCAACGCCATGGCAGATCTAGGAAAGACGTCAGGCATATGGATAGACTAGTGTCTCCATTCCGGTACGAACGATCATGGACGACGACACCGCTGTACTCTTGATGTGCCAGGAGGCCACAGAAATTCCCAATTGAGTGAGAATCTGGAGATGCAGGTTGGTCAGTTCAGATAACATGAATCAGGAGCCCGTTGCCCAGCAATGAATAGTCGAGATCAACTCAATCCTGGATTTCTCAACTCAGGGCTGTACAGTTCCCGATTTCAGTGTTAACCATCCCAGACCCTTTTCCTGAACTTTGGCTCCTGTGTGAATTTCGCTGGACAAATTTGATGGATAACAACACCCACGAGAATTTTTGTAATAATGAGTAACAAACTTCCGGGAACTGTTATGGTCAGATGCTCATATTGGAACATTCCTGGAAGATAAATACACGGCAAATGCACAGGAACTCCTGGTGAGTTTCCCTGAATGAAAACGTCCCCGTAAGTGACATCGTTTCAGCCGATTGGCTGGGGAAAAGCCGATGGTAATCACATTTGAATGTTACATTCGTTGTCACTGAACGAAAATTCAATGGCATAATAAACAAGCAGACGAAAAAATTCAATAAGAACAAGACCAGGAGGAAGAGGCAATCCGCGTACCATATCCAAAAGGAAGATTAGCGAATAGGAGTGCTTGCGGATCAAGTTATAGGCCTGGCAACAATAGTCTATGAAGAGCTGTACACCTTCACGGCCGGCACGATGTAGTCGCGAACCCGTGGGAAGTGAAGATGAAGAACTTGTGCTCGAAGCATCGTTCAGCTCTTTGGAATACGCTTGGAGCACATGAAACATATCATGCGTTAGGACAAAAGGAACGCGATCCCTGGAAAAAGAAAAGTGGACAGGTTGTGTGAGATGTGAAACAACCAGGCCATATTGGTGAAGGGGACACCGGAAAAGATAGCGACCATCAACAAAACACTGCATGCTGGATGGAACTCTAGCATACATCAATAACAGCCATAACGAACAGAAACTATGTGACACTCGGTTGGGTTGCTTCTTGAAAGAAATCAAAGGCTATCAGATTGCTGCAATACATGGGTTGAAAAGAAGAAAAGTTCCCTTTGTCAGTAGCTTAACGATAAGGGAAAATATTATTTTTCACTGGCAATGTTGTGGAATACGGGTATCTCGGGTGTGCTGATTTGTTGTTGGTCTGTCTGCCGAGCTTGGAAGTTGGATTGCAAATATTCATCAAGATCACTTAACCCCGCATTGACAATGTCACCTCGATTGGTGATGAACGTTTGCAAGCGAACTGCCAAGCTCGGCGAACAGACCAATTATTTTTCATGACATGGAAAGGTTTCTAATCCAACGGATAGGGAGGAGGTAGAGAGAGAGAAGGTAGTGACCTACCGTTTAAACCCGGCAAATGTTTGTGCGTGTCCAAAGGCTTTTGCAAAATCCACGTGAAAAAGATGGCCGGAGAAGCGGACCATGATATTGTCGTTGTGCCGGTCACCAACTCCTAACACGTAGGTTGTCACACAACAGCCCGCAAGAGAGCGCAGAAAGTTGTCCAAGGACTAAGCAAAACATGATAATGAGCGTTGGGTAAGTTAACTGAGAGATTCACGTCAGATTCGAGTCAGTTCACAGAGGTGAAAACCTTTGCCCGTACTTTGAGTGGTTGGTTGCTTAGGTGTGAAGTGGAAATAACGCGTTCAGAGAAGTAATACAATAGCGAAACCCGCGTTTTTTCTTACTCGTATATAGTCCAACTCAGTGGTGTTTTGGGACTGTAGCCAGTTTGTGATAACTGATTCCTTGAAGGGGCCCGTCAATCCACCAACTTGTTGTTGGATCTCTCTCAGTGTGCAACACTCTGATACCTGAAAGAGAAAATAATGAATATGTAATTGGTCCTGAACCCAGCATAATTTGCATTTTCAAGCTGTTGGTCTGAGTTGCATGGCACACTGAGCACAAAGAAATACGAAGATTTCCACCGACTGTGACTTACACCCCAGACTTCCATACTACTCCAGCAGTTTCGTCTACAGCCTGTTGTTTACAAATATTTTCATTCTTGTCAGGCAGTTTCGTCGAAAGTCGTATATCTGAATGTCTGACTAAGTTCTAAATTTCGATCGTTCGCCATAGAACAGGTATCATTGTTGTCCACCGTTCGAAATATCCTAGGCCTTCTGGCATTAATCTCCAATGTAATACTGTTAACAAAAGTTGCATAGGTTTCTTCACTGGATCACCATAGCCCCCTTTCCCTATATTACAGTCTACATCTGTACGCCTATGGAAGTTAGTTTAGAACACGGGTTTTTAAGTTTTTTAGCCCAACGCCCATTCAGCTACCACACCTAAATCCATTAGACTCCCACAAATGGTTAAAACAGAACAGGAAACCAAAAGTCAACTCGACGGTTAGGTTTGTACAATAAATGGTTAGTAGTTAATGAAGAAACCAGATCTCCGTTTACAGAAATTTGGAGTTTGTTTGGACATCTAAAACATCAACTACGCACAAAGTTCAACACGCAAGAAACCATGGCTGAAGTTTTCCTGCAATTCGCGAGCAGTTAAAAACTTGTCATATCGTTAGTCCTACATCATCGCTGAACGTATCACAACCGATGACACACATCGCACCCGTCATGTGACGGGACATAGCTGCAGGAACGAGGTGTAGGAATAATTCCAGAAGTGGAGTTTGTAAAACATTCATTAAATTCAATGAATAATATAAACGTTGTCAGTGGATTTCCCGAAAAAGCAATAAACGTCGGCAAAGTTAGAGTGGCACACATAATAAACATATTTACTGAGACTTTAAAGAATGACAACTGGGACTATCAGGGTGCGCTCCCATTGTTGTGGGACGGAATAGAGGATGCAGCTGACAACACGCTTCAGATTGTGTCCAGTCGTTCCATCACAAGCGTACGAATCTCACATAGGCTGCCGAAAGTTGCACCTCATACAGAGAGGACAAAGAGTGATTCCACTGGTCCATAAGGTTCCTCAGAAGGAGTCAATGCAGGTCAATTGCCTCGAGACCTATATCAAGCTCACTTTATCCCTATAATCCAACCATACAGCGTCTTTCTTGGATGTGCGAATCAAGGGAAGCACATGGCGGAATCCATGGAATGTAAGGGGAACAGAAACCTTACATCTATTGACCCAAAGTTGAGCTGACAAACCCAGTTGTGCGAACAGCTCAGTGCATATACAACTCAGCTAGAGAGCCATCCTTTGATCAACGTGATCACGTCGCAAAGCATAGACTGTAGTCGCTTTCGCAACAGGCGATTGAAATTATCATTGCTACTTTGTTCTTTGTAAGTAGTTGGGAATGACGATAGAAGTGAAAAACGACAGGCAAATAAGGCAGCTTTAGTCAAACTTTATGGTGAGAGCTTTCGAAAACATTTACGCAAAAATTTTGGAGACAGGCTTGAATTGAGAATCATCAGCAACAACAGCATTTCTTGGTCAGCATCCTGTCCTTCATCGTCAGTGCTCAGAGATGTACATATTATCCAGTTGGGAAAGTAGAAACTTAAAAATGCTGAAGACATTGACAACTTCTTGTGAAAGTCTTAGACGTACGCAAAACTTGAACAGCTATCACAGTAATCGATTCCATATCCATCTCCAGATAATTCGTAAACAAAAATATACACAGATTTCGCCTTCACAAAGCTCAGATCGTTCCCTTGTAGCAGCAAATCATTTGTTCTATTGACAAATAAATCAAAGTACGCGGTTATTCTGCAGTCCAAAGAATTGAACACAAATGAATCATACTACCATACTTAGACCCGCATAAAAGTTCTGGCGCTTCTCTCTTAAAAGTCCTCTAACATGTGAGCGAAAAGCAAAAATTGTGTTAGCAGAAAATGGGTATTTGTCTTTGTTTACTCAAATCCAGGAAGTATAAACCACATATCCGATAAAGTTACCGAAATAATGTTATTCCACGGTATGGCATTTCGATTATTGAACTAGGTAGGCAAGGTGAGAAAATCCGCCCTGACTTCAAGGTATCTCAAAATGCAACAAAAAATTAGTTTGTTTTTCATGACTGGGAGATGAGTTGCACAAATGTCCGATTGGGTCTCAGTAATGTAACATAATCTCAAAAACTATCACCTTCGTGGATAATATAGTATCACACCAACTGCAATATAGATAGATACAATATAGATATCAGAGATTCAGTAGCAGCTAATTAAACCTTGCTACGCTGCTGAAACAGAGGTACTCGAGGGGAAGATTGCGTATGTTAAACCTTGGATGAACGGCACAATCAGGTTCCACAAGAGTGCACAGAAGACATTCCGGTGACTGAAAACTCTTGCAAAGGTGCATGTCTGGTGTTCCGGTTAATTTCGCACTCAATACACCAAAGGATCCACACAGAGAGAATTTATCTCAAAAAGTGTGTTGAAATGAATCGAACTCCGTGTGCGCTCTTAGAGATGTGTGCTTTATAGCTAAACATGTGAGTATAGAATGGTAAAACATCAGATGAGGCCAACCGCAGAAGATGATCAGAAGATGGATGCTGGAACATACCAGTTCAATCAGTCCCTGTTTGTCACCAGTAGGCACAGTGCGAAAATGAATCATTCTGAGATCCAAGCCGGATTCTAGCCAAATACGGTCCATCAAAAACGTCAGCTGTGTAATAAGGCTGTCTTTGCGTAGATCATCGCCCACCTAAAGAAGTAAGGAAAAAAGGAAACAAGCAGAAAGCGAGGAAAATAGGGTTAAAGGACGTCGATATAGCAGACCGAGGAGAAATATTGATCGAAAGCCACAGCGTTCAGGAATTTTTTTAAACGTCCTAAAGATCAACCCGTTCTAAAAGAGCCACAAAAATAGGGATGAGGTGAAGCTCCCACTAGAAGTAGAAGTATACACGAAGATAACAGTGAAATTCCAGACTATGAGCTAAAAAGGCACAATTATGCGACGTGGGACGTAGATGGTTTGAATTTTTTTGGAGCTGTATAATAGGGATGATAGAGCATCGAACTGCTACCGAACTATCGTAAATGTTCACATTCGGGCAACAAATTATGGAAGCAACAGAGTGGCAGGCTTTTTGTGCCTCCAAAGTCCTGCTGCGGTTTTCACAAAACCAGGTATCCTATTAAAACTTCAAAATGAGGAGCTTATGTGCATTGATCGGCAGTGGCAAACGCCTTGAGTGTACTGTGAGGGGTGAAGTCAGGGGATGGGTCATTGTGACCATCTACTTGCATTAAATTCTGGCGTCAGAAACGCATTCCACCAACACTACAGAATAACCGTGAGACATGATCTTCTTTCCCCTTCAACAACTTGACCAATGATTTCTTCTGAGAATTTAATTAGCAACACGATGTGGTCGACAAGCGAGCGCGTAAGCAGAAAAGCTTGCAACGTGTGACTGGTACGTGAACTTAACCAACACTTCCAATTTACAGCCTTTCTAACGGAAGATCCGGGATAGACAGAACATGACGATGGAAGGGGAAACGATACTGGATACCGTTTAGCTGAGCACTGTGGGGGCCTCAGTACTTCCGAATTCACGTGATTCAGCTTGCATGTGGTTAGGAACTCTATATGACATGCTCACCATCGACTTCAGTGCACACTGTCACATCTTAGCCTTAAAGTCTATCTGTCCATCAGTGCTCCACTTATATTTAATAGTGAAAGATGTCGGGTCGGACTCAACACGATGAAGGGATACTTTTATTTCGAGTTCTGTTGAAAGGTAGAGAAGTTTTTAATGTCTGTTTCGGGCATCGTAAGGTACGTACATTCTGTAACCAAGCAGGACCTCACTGGGCTAAAACTGTCACTGTTGAAGGGTACACCTTGAAGGTTGACGGAAATTCAAAAAGAGTCGGCAGTGCAACATAGTATTCCGATAGTGAAGAGTTTCACACGTAAAAGATAACGTACCTTGAACATCGTCATTATTGGCTCAGCCCCCGTATCTAGGGCATGGAAGACCAAACGTAACGGACAAGTGAATGAAGCGAAGTAGGTACATGCCTGATAGGAATAAAGAATGAAAGGGATGAAGTACATGTTGGAACGAAATAGTCAGTAGTCCAGCATTTTCACACAGAAATATTGATGAAAAGAACAACTGTCAGTTCAGCTTCAGGCATTACGCGGTGAGTGATCATGCAATGAACCGTACAATTCGCATTTAAGACGGTAGCCTCTGAAGAAAAACGACTCCCACGAGTAGCCCAAAACACCACTTCCCGTCAGCCACTCGATTTCGCGAATTGAAACAACGCCCCCTCATACTCTATGACTTGTGGTGAACGGCATGATGAATATCATGGATTATCAAAGCGGTGAGAAACAAACCAGCGTGACAAGTCAGGGAGTACCCGGAACTCACGTCGATAATACGTCCTCACGTATGCCACCAGATAGTAGTTTAGGACCAATAGGCGGAAAAAAGGATGTCAAGCCCTGCGACCGTGATACGAACTCTACGCACAATGAGGTGAAATATCTTGGGTGAAAGCCAAACAGGAAGAACTTCGAAGACGGACGAGGCATGAAGTGAAAATCATGGATCGGAAAACATGAAGACGGAATACGCAACTTAGAATATTGATGGTATCACACCAATCACCCAAGAGATTAGAGCCACACCTAGGATAGGCTTGAAATTTTGATATGAAAGCAGCTTTTTGTGAGTAGGATTATCTGTGTACATTAGTGAGATCATCTGAGGGCACGAAGAAGGATGGATGATGCATACATATTACCTACCGCGATATCCAACCGATGCGTCAACAGTCCGGGATTGTAAGGCATACGAAAACCAACGTCATACATGGAGATGGAGTTTGAAGCCACGACAGTGCTCGATTTCGATAAGTGCGATGAGACAGCTTGTTCTTGTGTCTTCTCTAATTCTTCCTCTTGCGTCGATTTCTCAGACGGCTCGTCCAAAACTATTAGGGGGGAATGTTTTTCAGGTAGACGCGGTGGCGAATTTGAGAACTCTGACGCAGATTGGTCGCACGTCATCGAAGGCTGACAACTACCTGCATTTAACCATTCCATGAACGAGCGCATGTGGTTCTGAAGAATAGTTTCACGTATGGCTCCGCTGCCTGCTTTGGCTCGCTTAACAGCGAGTGCTACAGAGGAGATGAAATTATCACTATTATTAATAACCAGTGGATGGTAGACCTATGCACATTTAGGGCTTCGTCCTTGAGGCAAAAATGCATATCAACCATTGGAAAGCCATTGGAACAAACCAACGACCATCTACGCTACCTGAGCTAGCAACATTTCCCTCTATTGGAAGTTACGAAGTTGGCGGCCGAAAAAGAGGATAAAGGAAAGCAAGGATAATGGGATCTCCTCCCATTCAAACTGGTATGGTCGCGTATTACTACGCATGAAAAGATTCCGTTGACAGCACATTCACATTCGCCGAGCAACTGGTAGTGAGAATGTGCCTGATCACGTAAAGCTGACAGGGACCATGGTCCGAGCCAAGGGAGTACAACATACTACCATGAGTGGATGGCGCATTATCAGTAATCATAGCTTGCTCCCTCGTGCGTTCTTTTTAAAATCCGTAACAAAAACCGCGAGCTGCTTACAATTTACTAATGGAGATATCGTTAGGTAAGTGAGGTCAGTTTATGCTGAAAATCCAAGAAGTACTATACTATAATTCCAACCTTATTGTTTCAAGCGTGTGCCACGCTACCTAACTGGGAAGTCCTGACGGCAGGTCAAATCGATCGTCACAACCAGGACAGTTACTGGGTCGTCGTTCGATGAGTCGGGCACACCAATCGCATCGCTCAAGTGTGAACAAGTTCGCCTATTCAGACGTGATAATTCAGATGCGCCCAACGTGCGTTGGTGTAATAGTGGTTACACGCTCGCCTCGCATGTCAGATGTCCGGGGTTCAAATCCCGGCCATTGGATATGCACTGCTGATGAGCTCTAATAAGAGCGAAACTCGAGTCCAGTGCTTCTCTTTGGTGTGGACTCACCGGAATAATTACGCCAGAACAGGAACACGGCCGTTCAAACGAGAGTGGTGTGGCTATGAACAAACATACCTATCCCGCAAAACCCCAAAATTAGTGTGAATCGTCAGCAATGTGCATCTGGCGAAACCCTAGAGTTTCGAACCTGAGATCTGTTGTTCGGCCATGGGCAGCTGATCCACACCGTAATTAAGTAATTCGTACTTATAGAGGATGTAGCGCCACTCATCCTATTTCCTGTCTAAGTGCGAGCTCATCACGCTGCTGATCAGCCGCTCGCAGTCGAACGGTTAAGTATTCAACCACCAGCCAATAAGTCACACACCGTCACAACACAAAATCAGAACTGTCCCTCAGCGTAGAGGTGCAGGGAAGTGGTTGACCCTCTAGTACTGAAGTACAGTGCTGTCTCCGAACAAAGTTCCCCATAGAGAGCGTCTCACCGGAGCGGAAAGGCTCAGTCCGAAATACGGTGCGCGAGTTAAAATGCATCCCAAGAGAGGTGATTGAAAAGCACGAGAGATCTGGTCATTTGGGTTGAAAAGTACCCTTTATGCATGTGCCATCCCACACTTGACACTATAGCCGTCCAGGTATGTTGATGAATAGTGGTATTTATTCGGAAACCCTTGAATGGGATCTCATTGATGCAATGAAATCAATGCACAGATGGATTTAGAATACGACTTCTACTGTGTGTGACTACTGATGACGGTAATCATCCAGGCCACGAAATCGATGGCGAAGTATGTTCGTGTATGCCCAGAGGTGCATCAGTATACAAGATTACTTTAGTTGGTGGAACACTGCACTTCACGCACGTTTCATGGTGGGAAATCTGCAGTCAACCATATCAGCCGTACCCATTAGCCTAACTAACCTTAGGTTGTCTCCAATGGAAGTTTTCTCAGAAGTTTGGTTTTATTCAGGGTTAGGGCTCTTGGTAACTGCAACAAGACTCAAAGATATTGATGGGTGTCTAGTTCTAGGGGATTTGAAGTTTGAATCATAGCAATGCTTCACGAAGTTTCAAAACACCCTATGACATGTCCTTCGACACTGCATTCGGTGTAGGAATCCACGAGGGACAACTACATCCGGGTGGACTGTGTTCGCAACAACATAGAACCCAGATAGGAAGATGCAGTTAAATAGCATGACAAGAACGCATATGGTAATTCGGGTCTGACCGATCAACTGCTGCATAGAACAAACAATTTTGGTATTTACAAGCGCCACAGACAGTCCACGCCTATCGTAGCGAGGCAGTAGCAGACCATCAGGAAACAAATCGAGTAAGTTATATGACCGTATTTCGCGCGTAATCTCGCTAAATTGTGGAACGATGAATACAACAGCATGTATTAGGCAACCGGCAAGACATAATAACAGTAATAGTAATAGTAATAATGGAAAGATATGGCTTACGGAATGGTGAAAACTGGATGAGGCTCAAACCGTATGGAGTCGAGCTAATCAATAAAATAATAGGACTGGAATTACTGGATAGCTAACAGTAGGAAACTAGTCAAGCACCAGTAAGCGTACCAGCATCAGTGAGCCGCCCTATTGCCTCTTCTTGACGTCGCCAAGCATTGCGCAGACGCGGATGAGAGAGATAGAGTAGAGCACTCTTCAGAAGCAAGAGACGGCGAGACCGCCAATCGGATGAGACTGATGGGACACCGGCGGTAGGAGAGCTGGCGGGAGATGCGCATAATGCCGTAGTCAGAGACCTATATGAGGAAAAAATAAGTAGTTATATGATGGTGATGGTGAAGAAGAAATGAAACCAAAATGAAGTCACCACAGGAAATCCGTCTCAGAATTCATCCGATAAGCGAAATCCTCGAGCTCCCGTCAACGCAATATTTCAATCGAACTCAAAATGTACACCATAAACGAAATGCCTCATTTGCAAACTAATTTGGTCTTAACAGGAGAGCCAAATGAATCCCACCTGAATCTTTCCTCTATGCCAATCTATAAGCCTCTTGGGACCTGCAGAACAAGGTTTATCCTAGACGCTCCGATCACGGGTATGTGAACCCAGGCATTTGGCGCTTGGCAACAAAAACCATGACATGAGCTCAACCAACGACGACCGGGAGCCGTGAATTGGTTTACCGCTAAGCGTTGTCCGCTAGAGTTTTGATGTTCTGGTCCGCTAAAGTCATGCGCGACAATTCGCAGGCTACCTAACGCTGAGTGACAGGGAGGAACCAACCATTATGACTAAGTCATAATTCGTTACCGTTCAGGAATGCAGACCTCTCTAAGCGAGTGATGACAAGAGATAACAGACATTCTCACCCAGAGAAGTTGGTTATGGGCTTCTTGCGAATACGATCGCATACACCGATATAGTTAGGAAAGACAAATACAGGACGGTGGACAGCTGTGAAAAGCAATGATGGGGCCGCCGAGATGTGCGACTTGCTTATCACTATTCAATGGCCTTTTTAATAACAGGCAAGGGAACTTCTTTAACGATACTGGTTGAGCCTTTGGATCGTGAGGACGAAAGTATTGACAGGACACAAAGCAATGTGACCTTCTACAGTGAAAAGAAATCCGGTATGGGAAGTCTTCCTCAAATGCCGCCATGTGTAAACTGAACTGTCGACGTTCGTATGCAGTAATCTGTATAAACACCATGTTTATTACGAACAAAAACGTTTCCACAGCATTAGAACTCTACGAAAGATGAAATATTTAAGCGGTGTTTGTTATCCCGTAGTCCTTACAACGCTACGACTTGAGGCTATGAAGGGAAAACTGTATTGAAATTTTGCTCTTATCATCAGCGTATCCTTGACGTGTAAACTGAACTGTCGACGTTCGTATGCAGTAATCTGTATAAACACCATGTTTATTACGAACAAAAACGTTTCCACAGCATTAGAACTCTACGAAAGATGAAATATTTAAGCGGTGTTTGTTATCCCGTAGTCCTTACAACGCTACGACTTGAGGCTATGAAGGGAAAACTGTATTGAAATTTTGCTCTTATCATCAGCGCGGCATATCCTTGACTGTGGGGAGGGAGAGGGTTGAGCCTAGGGCCACTAGCATCCGGAACAGGTGTTACCAATACTCCACCACCGCAGGTTGGACGCACCTGGATTGTCACACGTGAACCTGTACACGCACTCAGGTCTGAGCGATGTGATTGGTCTTGCCCAAAGACTCGTCGGTTCATCCCGACAGCGAGGTGGCTCATTGGTTAGAGCTAGAATTTACTGACCGGAAGATCGGTGATTCGAACCCGACATCTGCCTCTCGACTTCCCCTGTCTGGGTTTGGGCAACCTGACAGTATTCATGCCCTCGTACTTTCTTTGAGTGGTATGGTTGATTCGATGCCAGCTCCGAACGATACATCACACCGATGCATACCGGGGCGAAGTGTGATCCCGTCGTTTGTGATTTCATCTCATACCAAAAAGCCGTGCCTCGTTCTTAAGTTGCCCGGTCTCCTACATGTATCGGTAACTGTTTTTCCCTGACTGGGTGATGGCGTTGTTCGGTAAGTGAAATATGATGGCTACCGGAAGAACTGCGATTTCGAATTTCCAAAGCACATTACCATTCAACAAAACTGATTTTATTGTCAATTCTATTGGTTCTAGTGCCTCAGTAATGGACTCAGCAGGACATTTCACGCGAGTGATTTGTGTACCTGACACAGACAGCTTCCTACCGGAAGAACTGCGATTTCGAATTTCCAAAGCACATTACCATTCAACAAAACTGATTTTATTGTCAATTCTATTGGTTCTAGTGCCTCAGTAATGGACTCAGCAGGACATTTCACGCGAGTGATTTGTGTACATGACACAGACAGCTTCGAAGTGAGAGCTATAGCTTAGTGGGGGGGAGACGACATCACCTCGGTGATTGTTACGGGAACCAAACCGGTTTACATTAAAGCTATGGAGAGGGACAATTCACCAAGATTGAAATTAAGGCCTATGTCGACCTACAATCACCTTGCCTTCAGTTAACCCATATAACCCGAACAGAATTACTCAAAATCTAACAAACCACCAAATGAAATGGTTAGAAGTGATGTTTATTGCATCAAACTTAGCAAGAAAACCAACTGGCAGCTTGTGCTGCCATTAGGATGATGACCCTTTTCGACTGCTAGGCGGTCATTTCTCCAATGAATAGCTGACTAAGAGACAAACACCCAAAGTTAAGCCTGGGAGTCTCGGTGGCCGTACACGGTGGTTCGAGTAGTCTTTAGAAGCAGTACAAACTCGTTTTCTGAAATAAGGCAAGCAGTGTTTCTACGTAAAGGGCTTCCAGGCATTTTATGAGGGCCGCACGGAGCGGAACAGGGAGAATCGCGGCTAGTCTCAATGGCGGAGTAAGGAAGAGAAATAAATTGTCAATCACGAGCATGAATGGAGAGATTCTACTAGGTTACGATGACATGTATATTGATAATAATCGTTCAGTTGTAACACCTTTCGGTGTCCAGCCGCCATGCCACCCAAAGGAAGCTGAAGGCACAGATACTACCAGGTTACCCAACAAAGACAGGGACAGTCAAAATGCCGGGGTTGGGTCAGTCCACGACCTTCTGATCACTAAGTTCGCGCCTTGACCACCGACCTAGCTCAAGATCGAGGACAATTATACCACTCAGTGAGTTTGGATGACTCCATTTAATTCGCTTAGACGGTTCACGCATCCGAAGACAATGGAGATGATAGAGAAAGAAGCCACCAACACTGAATATCCATCGAAAACATAATGGTGGGGAGAAGGCATTTATTCATGTTAAAATTGTTGGTTTACTGGTAGAATGAGGATATTTTAAGTCTTACTGGAGATAAATTCGTAGGACCACTCTGCAACAATACCTTCAATACCACTGTATATTTGCGAAAAAATTAAAGTAAGATATAGGCTTGGCGAACAAACAACTTTGCAAACAAATTTGGTTTTGGGGTACATTCACCCAGCGGTCTAGGTGAGAGATTTAGCTGCGTTCCAGGTGAGTCTCTCGCAAAACTAAATTTGTTTGCAAGTGAGTGTATGTCGCCAAAATTCGAGCAATTTGGGTTCAAGTAGGACCTAAAGTTGACGGAAACTCGGGGTCTGCGCCTACCTGATGGGCCCCAATAAGTGCGAAGCCGGTCGTCGGCTTAGAAGAATGTTCAGCAACCTTATGAGTTGCCTAAGATATGGGCTTCTTTTGGCGCTGAAATACGAGCTTTGCTTGTTTTTTTGAAAAATTCATTCCGGAGAAATGTCCATAGAGCGACGCTCTAAGCGTTTCTTATAAAGGATAAATTTGAGAACGAGCAAAGTATAACAAGTGTTATACATCATGTGATAAATCAAGACAATTCGACACATGGGTGCGAACAGATTTGGAATTCTTGTGTTTGTGACGGATGAAATCAAAATCACCAGTGCGGAGGACGGAGAACTTCAGTGCATAAACCAGAGAGTCCTGGGGATAGAAAGGGCGTCCCACCTGAGATCCGGGTCAAGCGATATGAACACCATAAATGAAAGGTACCACTGCGAATTAGTCGTTGCTGATCAGCCACTCGTAGATGACTGATGCGAGACTCAGGTAACCATCAGAGGATCGCTTATTCGAATCTCTCTAGGGACGTGCCAGCTCTAACGGTGAGACTGAACAAGATGGAACAGCTGTATGGTGCTGCTCGGCTTTTCAGTGTAGGATGAAAGTTCAACCTAGATATCAAACCCCCACGGGCACCCACAAACTGTCCATCGCCAGTTTCCTCAGTTATGGGGTAAAACGGTGAGCTATTTTGGTGTAGATTTCTTCACTTAGGGACAATTAAGCCATTCCCATCTATAACCTTTAATGGAGAGGATCTTCTAAGTGAAACGACCAAGGAATAAGGTTCCAGTCACCACAGCAGTAGCCGCACAGGGTTGCAACTTTCTGTAGTGCTAAAAAGCCCATCGTCCACGGAAAAAACAGAACCCCGTACCAGAACAGAGCGTTGGCAAACCGCATTGACGAACTAGACCGCTGGAGAAGAAGCGACGCAAGTCCCGAGTAGTCCAGATAGATATCGTAGTTGACAGTCTGGAATGATATAGAAAAAATTAGAGGAAGCGGGATCTCATGGCTCAGTGACAAATCAAGAAAAGAAAATCTTCCAGTTAGATAAAGAATATGTTGTCGGATTACTGCAATGGTTTTGCCATATGTTTTATAAGCATAAAATAAAAGGCTGTTTACCATTACTACACAGCGATACACTCGACGCTTCCCGTTTCGGGGTTAAGTTCTAGGCTGCCCCACACCTATGGTAACGTATATAGAAAGGTGGTCGCCCATCATTATCGGTTAGTGCGTTTTCCAGAATAAATTTTAGCTGAATTTCTCCCCCCCCCCCCCTGCAGATTGTATCTGACCCTATCAGCCTCAAAACATGTTTGCTTGCTCTCGAGTTTTCAGCAAAAAACGCGAAGTTGCATGGGATCACACGATGACCTCCATTGAGACACACGTTGTGCGAGGCGTTGACAATCCTAACTAATGGGCTCGTTTTGTGCTTCCTAGTGTGCTTTTCTCAACATTCTTCTGAGAATGTGTATGACGGTAAAAAACAGTAGTTTGGTGTGCAGATTCGAAAGCATACGGGATACCATGCAAAAGTTGACCATCCGTTTCTAGCAGGAACATGATGCTCGCCACACCCCGCATTCAAGCACCCTAAAAGAACGCTACACAATGTGGGATCACCATAACAGAAGGTAAACCCCGTCAGGTTACAGTGGTTAGAACAAATACCCCGCAGGCCAAACCACGGAACCACTAAAGGAAGTGTTATTCTCCGTACCAAATCGTAAAATTACCTCACTATCTAGAATCGTGTCACTGGTTCGAAGCAATAAAAATTACACATCCTCTTGGGCCAGAAGCCGTAAACTCACTTCCAATAGTTGGGGTAAATAATGTAGGAGAATATCTGGAGGCAGAACTGCCAGGGACTGGACAGCCCAGTGACGAATAGCCTGGTCGGCAACATCAGGAGCCAGAAGACGGAGTGCAAGACCGGGAGAAGCGGGTGGAAATCCGACAAGTAGGCTTAAGAAAGCGAAATCACAAGGACAATAACATCAGCAGGCAGTTCCCACCCATTTGAGTTAAACTTTCAAAACACCCCGTCCAACCGATAAGCCTAATGTATCACAATGCACTAAAAGGCATCAATAACCAAATTCAAAACTATGATTCCCCGGAGGCTTAGCTGTCTGTCGGTTACAAAAATGTATCACGTATAATGGGACTGATGAAGTTTAGTTTACAGGGGAAAAGTCACACTGGCAAGACAGCTGTTTGTTGGGGCTAGCATGCGGTTGCGGTTCGAAAGCTATCAATAATATTGACCGCGTTTCGGAGGCTGGCGGTCGACTGGATTTGGGAGATCGGCGAGNAAAGCTATCAATAATATTGACCGCGTTTCGGAGGCTGGCGGTCGACTGACATTTGGGAGATCGGCGAGCGGCGGGGCTTAAAAAAGTATAGCAAAGCGAAAAGTATGCATAATTAGGAAGATCGGTTGCGTACATGTCAGTTTGTGGTGTGATATGCAGTGGACCCGATAACTAATGCAGATGATAATACCCGCTGCCTGTTCGAGGAAGTGCTAATGTCTCGTGAACAAGAACAACAAGTCGGTAAACCTATGATGGTATTTAGGTAGTGCATTCAGAGTTCGCCTAAACTCTACACAAGGTACTGGAGTTGAATACGGGGTCAGATATACGGTTGTTGTATTATTCAAGTGTCACAATGTGGTGAGTTCCCTTCCCGGGGGTTGGTCTTGTATGCCTCAGTTACTTTGGAGCTTTTGTTAAGGCGTTGTACCGATATGTGGCAGTTTTTGCATGTAGTACACCTATTCAAGCCGCGGCTGACCTGAAAACTAGATATGGGAGGCGCGAAAGGACAGGATGACTCTTTATTGGTGAGACCGTACCTCACAAATGAGCAGCTCAATACATGGCGGACAGCTAGTAATAATTATGTTGTATATTCTGCACACGTGTTAGGAGCAAATAGCACACTTACAGAAGCGTCATCAGAAAACGCGCACGGTACACAGAATGAGTCGATATAAGTATGAACAATTAGCAAGCGCACAGCCTTAGAGGGGGAAAAAGGGATAAAACAGTCGAACTAGCTAATGAAAACAGTTAGAACAAACCTAACTAATGGTTGTGCTGTGGAGAAATGGAGGGACAAAATAAAAGGAGTGAAATACTCATAGTAAGTATTCCCAAACGAATCTTAGACGGGAAGACACATTGCCTCACCTGTACACGGCGCGCAGCAATGCAGACCAGGACCAAACAACCGGACGAGTGGATTCTACTCCACGGGTCTCTTGCGGCCAGACAACCAACACACTCGTCAGCAGAGCCACTAGGGCGCTCGGTTGCTCGTGTAAATGCCACCGTAGATTCCAGAGCACTTCTACAGCCACACCTGGTGGGAAGGACAAGGTGCTACCGATCGGGTCAATGGTTGATGTGGGTGATACTGAGGCCGACGTGTACTGATCACCAGAGGAGACTGGATTCAGCGCACCGAGTCTAAGACCAGGAAGGGGTGTGTGATTTTTGCACAGCCGGCCCGCACGATGACTTGCAGAAGCTGCTTCACTGTACAAAGCCAGACAGCGTGTGGCTGCACGACCGGAAAGATCTGGGTTGATCGAATGCATAAAAATCGAACACTGGGCGTGGGATATGGCTTTGTTCGCCTCGGATACCAAACCATCGCTTTTCGTTCGAGCATTTTTTCTGGAAAAGAGAATGGCATAGAGTAGAAGAAACCAACTTTCTGCAAAAATTGGGCTCACGCTTCTTACTTGAATGGGTAAAAGCATCAAGTTTAGTGTTATGTTGCTTGTGATCGACTCGCGGAACAGACAGGTGCAAACATCAGGATGCGCACTGATAGGTATTAATGAAGACAAGCATCCAATTGTGGCAGCTTCAACCAAGCTGAAAAGTTTGATGCGCAGCGTATAGTGACGGTACTGGAAATATTCTGTCAGAACTTATTACGGCCACTTCCAAACTTGATCATAGTGGCCCAGTCGAGAGTCGTTTCCTATTAAGCGGAACGAGCGAATTCGATCAACCTCAAAAGGGAGAACATATACACAAACGGAATGACGGACGTCGATAAGCGAGAGACCGCTATTTCGATTGTATCGAGGATTAATTTTTCATATTGCATCGCGAGTAGACAGGATCCCCAACTAAACCTGAGAAGGCTACAAACATACATCACTATGGACCAATTCAAACGGCAATCCGTGGTGTTAAGGGTGTAGAAAATGCAACCATTGTGTAGCTGAAAGAGTTCCCCTATCTGGTACTGCAAGATTAACCCAATTGGTGACCATTCAATTACCATAGATCGTGTCATACTACCACAGAATGTAAATTGCACGATACTGCCTGCAATGGCAATTAGCATAGAGTAACTGGACTGCCGCAATCAAGAAAAGAAGTAGGAATATCCAAAACCAACGCAGCGATGACACTAACCGATGAAACGGTCGGCTGTCACTCCGCTGTGATTCGATTTGGTCGAACGAAAACCTCAACTTTTCCAGACTACAGACTAACCGATTGCACACAAATGGTAAATGAGAACCGAGAGAACAAGAACATGGGGTTGGTGGAATAATTTCGTTGTTCTCGAAGCTATTACTGATACTCAAAATCGTAGGAGTGAATTTGAGCACATAAGCACCTTCTACTGGGATAAACTACCGTCAACACGACTACTGACATTGAACAGAGAGTTAAAATGAACGCCTATAGGCAAAATTGAAAATGTTTTCAACTGTGGTACGTGAACAGCTGAAAAATTTGGTTCTACGCATGATCCGTGGAACCGGTTAAACATTCTACTGCTCCTTCCGGGTTTTAGGTAGACATCGAACCAATGAAGAACTGTGTATAGCTCCTCTTCGTCTACTGAAAAAAGAAGGGGAAAACAACTAACCTAACAGTAATTTTTATCTGAACCCATCCACTATGTCAACTGATGTCACAATGTTTGAGCAAATCGGAACAACCACGAGCTGACTATTCATCAACTTCTGAGAACCATACGTCTTTTACAACACACCAGTATTATCAAACAGACCAGAGGAAAAAGTAATGCAGATCTTCGTTTTTATCACTTGACGCCTTTGAGTAAATCTGAGCGAACGTGTGATGGAGTACAGTAAGGCTTACTTGACACCTTATCACGTGCAGGACCGATGGTTTATAAAAAAAAGACAGAAAACGATCCTAGCGTATACGCGTTAAGTCTTACTGAAAATCGGAGAAGCATGTAAGGATGGTATGCCGATATAGACAACGTAAAGTTTACCGATATATATATATATATATATATATATATATATTGATTTACAATTCCAAAGTTGCATGCTTCTGCAACTCAAAAGCATGTCAAATATGTTGTGTGAAGCTCAAGTTCGGAGGAAGACAGTGTTAGGACGGTACTTAAATCCCTCGTCTGCGTTTACGAATTGTCATTGACCTTGTAACATATCGAATCGAGCTCGGGTGATCCTGTGTGTGCTTGGACAACCTGGCAATATATCAGACCCCATGCTTCTATCACGAAGGTCAGATTCCTGAAAGTAACCCCAGAACTCCCGGAACCTGTTGAGGCCCTAAAACTCCACTAAATCCTAATAGGAAGGCCGACAAGCATCCAGGCTAGTGAATCATTCAAGCAATGTATCAAAATCCGATGGGTGTTGAGACACGCCACAGAAGCATGACCGAATGTGATCAGCATTCAGGCATTTCATGGAAGCACGACTGATGCTGATGGGTGTTCACCAAACGCCAAGCAGACAGCCTGGATCAATGTCAGAAAGTGACCTTTAAATAGCGCGGGGCCGTAGTAACTTTTGCACTCGCACGCGGCATCACATGACTCAGACCAGCCAATCCTTTGCTTCAATTTGGCTTGTGCATGAATCGACTTCCCTCGCTCGCTCGCATGCACTCACTCGCTTGTTCGGAATACAGCTGTTGTGTATCCCTGTCGGTGAGTTCTTTCTGGCACTAGGCACTGGAGTGGGAACAACAGAAGATAGAACAGCTTTCTTCGGGTGGTATTGCAGCTACGCACAGAGAGGATGTTACAGTTGAACGATTAATTACATTGCATACACCAAACAATCATCATAAAAAGCTGGTCATCCAGCTACTTTCTATTCGTCAGTAATGGATAAACTCACTCGAATATTTCCGTGTTATCCGGCTGTATGAGGGGAAATTCAATGTCGTATTGGTATTCCGGAAGGCAAATCTATGGAATCATAAAGAGACCGATAGAAAGTCATTTCAACCAAACAGTGCTGCAGTATTTTTGGAACTAAATTGAACTTCTTTAATCGTAACTCAAGTACGTGGTGCAAATGGGGCGGGACCTGAATCCACGACCTCTAGTTTACTGGACGAGTGCTGTATCAGCAGAGCTGACAACACTGAAGTCTTCGTTTTCATCTCCAGTACGGGTACCTGAGTTTGCATACGGGATTCTCGAAATTCCTAGTCTCTGTAAGGAACGATGGAAACTAACCTGAACGACCGGGCAGTCACTGGCGCGGTTGGGTTGGGACCAACTGGGACGGTATTCTTGCATACGTTCACACGGAGGCCATAAACCGGCTACGATGGTGTTTTGCCTCAGGTAGCCATTCGCATCGAAGAGTGGAATGTTGACCCAGCCGAACAAGGTACCATCTGAAGTATGAGCAACAGTCTGTAGGAGCCGCGGGGTTCGGCAAAGATCAGAACATAAGAGAATATACCAAAAGGAAAAGCGAAGCCATAAGCTGTGTCCGCACAGTTTCATAAGTCAGGCTCTTCACTATCATCTGAAGTGGATTACTGGGACTCCAGATAGCTCACCAGGTAAGGAGTGAAACTGCTGACCGGAAGGCCTGTGATCTAAACCCAATCCCGGATTTTTCATCGCTCCCGCCCAGCCTTGGGTGATCTGGCAGTATCTTAGTACCCATGATGCTAGTTATGCACCAAATGGTTCCACAAAAACACCGAAAAAAGCAGAACGGCCTTCGAAAGAACTCCATCATAATGCACTGGCCGGCATATCGAACACAGCTGGAGTCCCGGAAAATGCCGGGTGAAAGGACTCGTGTTTGACTGAATTCGCCAATGCATGACTGTAAAAGTCCATCATTCAAAATTGCTTATTTGATGTCGCAGCTACTGCTCGCCGATCACAGAAAACGAACGTGGTCGATGCTCTGGAGTATACCATTCCAGTGCGCCACTAATGCGCACTCAGATCATTCGCCAGAGGAAACAGCGAGGGTGTAATCGCGGGAGGGGCACGTGGTCTTAGGGGTTCAACGCACAGAAGCTGGGTGCATTTCCCAAGACGATTCAACCACTCGCGTTACGTGAGCGATGAACGTTTGCGGCACGTGGAACAGAAAGTGCTTGGGTAATATGATCATACAATCGTTGAAAACATGTTGCTTCTGCCCGCACAACGATAATTTCTTTTTAAAAGTATATAATAGAGAAATACTACACACAAGTGACGATGAAGAATCGTGCCGTTAGTATTGGAGCTGCACAAGTGGACCAAGTAATTTAACAAGACCATTGACAAGCGAACAGATCACTTAAGTAACATCAAATGCAGCTCCATCAATGGCACATACACCAAGCGTTGTTCGCCAATCGGAAGAGTCGGTTATTAGGCGTCATCCGCAAGCGATACTTTCAAGAATGCCTCAGCCCTAAGTACACACCCTGTGACCCACTCACCCCAAGACAAATCCTAATACGTACCTTCCCTAGCCCCCATTTTGACGCTGACAACAAAAGACANAAGTAATTTAACAAGACCACTGACAAGCGAACAGATCACTTAAGTAACATCAAATGCAGCTCCATCAATGGTACATACACCAAGCGTTGTTCGCCAATCGGAAGAGTCGGTTATTAAGCGTCAGCCGCAAGCGATACTTTCAAGAATGCCTCAGCCCTAAGTACACACCCTGTGACCCACTCACCCCAAGACAAATCCTAATACGTACCTTCCCTAGCCCCCATTTTGACGCTGACAACAAAAGACACAACAAATGCCATGATACAGCCGTTTTGATGTTCATTCTACAAATTTTTGGTTACATGTCGCGTAATGTGAAGTATTTTTGTTTGACTTTTGAGACGCTGAGAAATCAACCTATCTTACCTTTTGTATATTCCCCAAGTTACTCCGGTAGGCTCGAAGAAATTCGCACTGTCTATTAGCACACCGACTTGTGTTCCAGTCCACACAAAGTTTTGCAATCCTACGATTTTTTGAAAGTCTAAACCCGATTAGATTTCAACAGTATGGACACGTCTGGAACTGAATGTGGGGGACTCACATACTAAAACAGTTTGACGGTCAAAACAGAGAAGTACGATCAAACTGTTATCGCTGCTCTATGAACATTGGACTGAAGCATTGCGCGAAGCAAACGCGAAGTGCTGGGACTAAAGCGACAAAACTAAATCTTCGTAGCTGAGTATTCATCGTTGAAGAAAACGCAGCTCCAAAGACGTTTTGCACTAGCACCCAACATCCATTAGAACGGCATCAGTCTATCTCCAGAGAGATTGAAAAGAACTCCGTAACAGGTTGTTGACCTTAATTCCAACATATCAACAATTGGTGGATCCTTCGCGGATCCGTTTCAGTCAGCTCCATATCTACGAACTAACCTTTGGAAACCCCACAGTACATCAATGTCCTTTTTCCAATGGATTGTACGATAGGCATACCTTCAAACGGTATGAGGCTTAATAGTTATCAATTAACAATAACCAGATTCCTGTTGGTCAGCCTGGAGTGAGAACAAGTCCATTGTGGAGGAGGGTGAGCATGATATGTGCACATATTGTGATTCGTCAACCGTCGGACAGAAAAATCGATTAACTTTGTGAATTTTTGATTCACACTATTTCCATTAAATGAACAATCCACTGAATTCTTGAACCCCGACAACACGTAAGAATGCGTGCACTAGAAAAATTTCACAAACACGCCGTGAAAGTAAGCAACAAGGCACACATCACAAGGTCGCCAGGAAAGAGAGTAGTGGCTTCGCTGCTCATAATATCATCTGACCACTTGTTTATTAGAAGCGACTTATTTGCCTAGGTACACTAGAAAATTTAGTGCGTTTCAGAACATTACATGTTGCTGAGTAAGATACACTGTACACGCAATACTCACCTAACGGATTTTCTCCCGTTTGTCGTTTACACGAGAAGAGTGATACTGCAAGTAAAACCTCTCGCGGCAACTGGCTGATAGAAAAACCTGTTGAAAGAAAAAGTGTGCAAGAAAGCAGTGCAACCAAGGTAACGCGCCGTTGTCCAATTACACCGAATCGGTTGTTTGCCAGGGCATCGAGCAATCCGACTAGAATGAGATCAAATATGTGGTCTGATATGTGGAGCAACAAGACAATGGCGCTATGGCAACTATGTCACGAGGCCCCGGCTTCAGTCCTCGTAGAGAGGTTGCCTCGAGAAACTACCACTTCTGATAGCCTTCCAGCGGAGGCCTATGTCCCCAGATCCTCTAAAAAACACTGATAAAAATCGACCTAGGAGGAAAATGTTCAGAAAAGGATGACTACAAACGCTTTCAAAACAAAGCATGTGAAACAGCACTTTCAGCAGCAGCTGATTTGGTTTGCGGGGAACAGGAAAATAAGATCCCAAAGTTAGCCTTCCAGTAAAAATCACCTTGTAAGAGACACACAAAGCAAAGGAAAAACAGATATTTTTGTTCTGATGCGAAAATAATATAATACGAAATCAGTTCATCTAATCTAGTTCGTTACATTTTTTTGCAGCAGTTTGGTGCACGTTGTTTCGGGTGAGCACTGTGGTGTGCGCATAATAATGTTTCTTCACTTTTTTCGCCACGCACCCTACCTGTGTCAGTGAGTATGAAGCACTGAAAATAATTACAAAGTTTGCATGCATTCCCGTGGTTAAAAACCAGGTACGAGTGGAAGGATAAGTCTATCCAAAGTGTCCAAGGTGCTCTTGCTCTCAATGGAATCTGCGATAGTTGCTCAAGTGTATAGATGGATCTGCGTAAGTGTTCGACGTATGGTGATCACTGCAACCCCTACCCGATTTTCACACACTCCACTTCACAGGCAGACGTCAGGCGTTGAAGCAGCCGTGTCCATCCGAATGGCGTTTTTCAAATGAAAGATGCAATGACTAGTCAGAAGCAGTTGTTCGTAACATCATCCCATAAATTCAAGTCACCTGGCTAGGGAAAAATGGTGCTCTATCGCCAGGAATAGTGCCGGTATGAGTTCGGTTTGCCGTGTAACTGATGGTGTCTGAAATCAGAGGACAATCAATAGTTCGGTAACTGAAGGGCATCGAAACCCGAAGACCACTAATTTACTTGAGCTGGTCAAACGGAAGAGTCAGTGGGTCAACTAAACTACCGCCTGAAACGGACACAAAGTGGTCACGATCCCTGATTATTTTGTGCAATAAGCTCGCAATACCATTGTTGGTCATCTCACTTACGACCGGTTGTTTCGGGTCCGCTCATACGGCACAATAGCCTCCTGTAAACCAGGGTATCCAGCCAGTGTCGCAATTCAGTTTAAGCACCATTTAGAGATCAGAACATAAATGAAACAAAAACACACCTGGGAACTTAAACCATTGATCAAAGTGCAGGGCACCAAGGAACCCGGGTTGAATACGCTGCGATCGGCCAGGGTCACTTAGAAAACTGTCGCGCGATAGGGCTTGTCCAGCGGTGCGATGAACACTTGGTTGCAAATCTAAATCGGGCGGATAACATTGGCCTAGTCTGCGCCCCGCGTACGTCAGCGTGAGCAGCACATGAAAATTGGTATCCGACCTGTGGGCGTGGAGGAACAAACAGTGAATTTGGAAAAATCAGTCCTGTTGTTGTCTGTGGGTGAAGCTCAACCGAATTGTGAGGCGTAGAGTCCTCTTGTTAAGATAATTTTGTGTACTACGCAGACGAGTGATTAAAAATTCCGGTGAAACATATCTACACCTTGAAACAAGACAATGGTTTTTTTTTCAACGAATGTTGAGGTGTCGTGTTCTGCTATGATATGGTGCCTACACATACTACATTCGGGTTTCTGAAAATCCCCAATAAATCGCAATCAGTTCCAACCATCGTCCCAATCTTAAGAATCTGACAGCGACCGCCGACCTCCAGAAGACTGTGAAAATCTACTCCCCCCCCCCCCGTGTCCTTCTTGGGGCCCGTCAGGTGGATACAGTTACCCAGTTTCGGGCAAAGGAGCTCCAGACATTGGATCCCTATGTTTGAGATAGCGCTTATCAGATAAACTGCTCTGCTGTCGGTCCACCTTTATTCAAGTGTTCGAAAGCGATCAACCCCTCTACCTCCAAGCACTCTTACTCACCATAGCGAAGTGGTAGTACTGCACGAACCGCCTCACAATAAGAAGTGTGCTGGTTCTCTGTAGTTGTGCACCGGTGAGGCAGATGGTAATTCGACGTTTCGTCATGAAAGTGGAATTATTCGAGTTCAGAGTTAACAAACCTTCTTTCTGCCCAACACTACGATTCTCTCACCTGAGTCAATCCGGTCGATGAATCATGAACAATCTGTCGCTTAAGTCGATCGTAACTTTGAAATTTTCGTCCAATTGTTGGTAAGCAGTAGGGTTTTTGAACTAAGTAAAGTGACTCTGATACTCTGGGATACCTTTCACTGCACAACAGTGAACTCAGCTGTGTTGGCAGGATTGTGTTTATCAACACGACTAACCAGACTCATAGTGCTTGCACTGGAGATCCCAGAACCCTCTTAGCTGAACAGCAGAAATCGCAGGATGGAGATGGCATCGTTGACCTTTTTGTACGGCTCATGTTGGCCTGCACGGGTGGGCGAGTCGACAATTACAGTCTTGGTTGCACAACCAGCCAGTTTTATGCCGTGAAGCAGTGTCTAAAGGACACTGTTAGTTTGCTGGAAAGGTCTCACAACTGCTTCTTCTCACATTGATATCACAGCGTCATGGTTTCTGGGTGGGTCAACTTATGCAGTCCAGTAGATATCTACTGATCTGACGAAAAAACATTCTCCACTCCTATAGTGAAACATCCATGGGAAGACGGGTAATCTCGATTTGACAGGGACATTCCCCTTGCTTAATTTGTCCTTGTGTCTACGACAGTTGAGCCGTCTATCTCGAACAATATAGTGTTGTTCTCATGCACTCATCACATGATTACATTATTCCACCTCAACAACCTTACGAATGAATGGAACTCCTAAGAAAGGAGGACACTGATTGTGAGACCGTGCACCCAACAGCGGGGAAAAATTATGTGAACATGAATTCCAAATGGTCAAACTAGGGCCGTAGAATTCAAAAAAGGCAGGCTACCAATTACGGTTCCGTCACAGACACTGTCTCCAGTCGGGTTCTGATGGCATCCACGTCTACATAGACTTAGGTTTCTTCGATTCACAACCGATTTGAGTTAGCCATAACAGATCTTGGTTAATCATCTGCTCAAATATTTCCATTTTGTTTTTCTGTGAAGAAACTGAAGTGGTGAATCAGAAACACCACACTGTTTGTACGTCGAGGTACCCATATGCGTAAGCTTGGAGGGACGCCCCCTATCAGGACAACATTTAATGCATGACGATCAAAAAATACGTCGAGGTACCCATATGCGTAAGCTTGGAGGGACGCCCCCTATCAGGAAAACATTTAATTGCATAACGATACAACAAAAAATAAATAAAGTAACACCAAACACAGTGCTAAGGTCAGAGTATCATCAGAGTACCAATGCCCAGCACACCACCGCAGCTAATGCACAACAACAAGTGACGTTTCTGGATGCAGTGAATATCGCGAAAAATAGCGTCGAATTTCCGGCGGTGTCAAGCTCCACGTTCTTGAAGAGCTTCTGAACGGAATGAGTCAAGTTTGCAACGTTAATGGGAACACAGCAGTGCCTCAAATCTTCATCCGCTGATACCTCATCAACGCAATACCCAGACCAACAGCCGGCCCAACTGCAGTACCCTCTCTACCTCGGATGACAATGGAAAATCCAAGCAAATTTGTTCGCTGTTGTACTTTGGGGGGACGAATAACCTGGTAGTTGAGTGTCGTGGAAAGATACAAGGACATATTGGAATGGGAGTCGTTACAGAAGGGATCGTCAAATAGAGAGAGTACTACATAGTACATCAGTTATGTGGTCACAAACAGTGTGTGCAGTGGCTATATTCGTTTGTGCCCAGAATGCAAGCGCCGAATCGTCGGTCCCGGACAAAAACGTCGCTCAAAAAGTGAGTCATTGCATGACCCAACGTTGTCATTCATGAACACCGATGTCATAAGCGGCCGATATATTATGGAACAAAATAGTACGAGATCCCGATTCTTTCTTCCGAAACTTATGTTTTATGAAATTTATACGTAAAAGAGAGTTTCGTAGATATATAAACATGACAAGGCGCATGAAACCGCCGCCGTTAGGGTGAAATAAGATCGCCGATACATTCTACTAGAAGAGAGCACATGGCTGGGTAGCCTATATCTTTACGAGGGGGGGGGGCTACCATAACACTGGTCTCATAAAACTGGAAAAAACTACCTTATGAAGGGATTGTGAAACAGACGGTACGACCGACCGGTCGACAGACAAACTAGTTCCCAGTACTCTATACTCAGACACAAAGCAAGGAGTCAGATCAAAAGTGGAGATTTTCTTATTCGCAGTTGGCAATTGCAGTAGAATACGTTGCTTTCAATGTTATTCTGCTTTTCAAGTTGGCCCAAGCGACAAAACCACCTAATTTATGGGGAGAGGGGTCAATAAGTAGTAGGAGTACTGGTCATTGCTACCAACGGAGTAACACAAGTTGACAATAAACAAGCTAGCTAATCATCAAGTGTGGCTGGACGCACTAACCGATAGTCTGGGTTTAAGGGGATTCGTTGCGGAGAACTGTTTTGTCGACCAGATTCATCCACGGGGGAGTCAACAGGGAGCTGCTTCTGAGGGAGCCGATGAATAGCAATCAGGCCAACCAGAAATGGATCAAGACAGGTATCGGAGCTGCGAACCTCTCGAGTTGCTGAACAAGATTCTGGGCAGAAAACGATAAATTCGGGGGGTTAATATGGCGATTAAAAAATAACAGCCTATTAATGATTCCTTCAAAATGGAAAAAAACCCGTGGCCATGAGTCATCCTTTTCCAAAAAGATAAAAAAATCAGAAACAGCAAAAGTTTCCTCAACTAGACATCAGATTTGTGCACTCGGTGGAGGAACGGATTGGAAATCATCAAAAACTGCTGATTTTCCGACAACTTATACGGTGTTGCCACTAACAAGCATATCAACTTCCGTCAAGAAACAAACTCGAACGCAATATCCGTTGGACAGAAAAGAAAGTGACTCCGATGGAAATTCGATAAATGGACCATTGTGGGGAATCACTAGGAATCATAAATTGACTGAATCAAGTTAAGGTCACCGATATGAATCCGTTCCAGCTGCTTGGTGCAAATTTAACCCGCATAATCCTTCGACATAGCACTGTCACGGAAACGACACTGCCTTAGAAACACATCTAATAACTTTGATCATCACAAAAACCTCACAACCACGTTACACAGGTGACCAGCGAGTTCGTGCACGTGAACACTTTGAATGCGAACGGCTGAAATGACGCACACACGATAAGCGATGTGGTTTGCAGTGTAATCAGAATATTTCTATCGATTCTGCACTCCTTCACCTTGCGATTACACATTTAGTGAATCAAATCGCACGGATATTCCGGAGAAACATATTACAGCATTAAGCAGAATGATGTCAAAGGCCAATGTATACCCAACTGTCATTTACATAGAAGAATCCGTAGGCCTCACTCTGAACAGAGTAGCCTCAGAGTCGAACTTTGTATGCTTAGGAAACGAAAATCGATTAGAACTGAACGACCATGCGTACCAACACCTACGCCCAGTAGTCGGCAACCTCAAGTATGCACGTTTGATGCTGTTCATCGCTTGTAGCATTCAGCATAAGTTGTTTCATCTTTGACCTAAACGACTGCGTCAAACAGCATCACATCGATGTGCTGAAGTTAGGCTGAAAATTACCAGTAACGTGTCTTGTGGTCAAAATAAAGCTTATGGGTAAAGTTGTACACTGCAGTGCTCTTCAGAGACAAACAAAAAGATCATACTGAAAATGGACAAGACCTGCGTAATAAGACGTTACGATAAAAAAGCGCCCAACTGGTATGATCAGAACACTGAAGGACGGAACGAAAGCTACCTGTCAAACGAGACGCATCTATGGCATTTTTATCGAGTATCACTCCAAGAGGTCGTCCAGAGAAACTTGACTGAGATGCTTGACGTCGACTGTGTTGATGAAAGTGGGTGAGGACATCTGGGTTAACACGCAGTCCCACCTGCCGCCAGTCGAAAAATGCGCTGAGTTGGACGAGTAAGGAGTACTCGAGCGCATTTAGTTCACGTTCTAGCTTCTGCAGATGCTCGTCAGAAACGCAGCTCCCAATTGCCAGACCACTAGCATTGCGCGAAGCTGCAGATTCCTTGGTTAAATCGGTAAAGGGTTTGTCGGTCTGTAAAATGACCGGATAAAACCATAACATTACCCATATTCGTGCGCACACAAGTATAAGATCATTTTTTTCCAAAAGCAGCACGTCGAAGTGGGATAGGGGGCGGACGTAGCTCAATCAGAAAAAAGGAACGGAGGCGAAGTATTTTAAACACATAAAGGAAATGAATGGATTTTGAATGGTGGACAAGGAAAGTTCAAAAGCTCCAGTAAGGATCGTATGTGGGGAAGTGCTAAAGAAACTGAGACGTATTTGAGAGTGCTTATTTAGGTTCGCTTTACTGGGAACATGAGTAGACTGACGTATGAACGAGCAACCCCAGCTAAAAGTCTCTTCAGAAAGCTTGGCACATTTCATGCTGATGCCTGAACCTTGATATGAACTGGCCAGAGTAACCGAATCTGGGCAAAAGTGAGACGACTCAGATAAAGTGGTGAAAAACAGCCAGGCATATGGTGTCAGCTGTTAAGAGGGTCGCTCTCACAAACAAAACTAATAAATGATGTAGGTATTGCCCTTCGAATCGAACCGATTCAAACCGCTTAGTTTCGGCACCATTCGATACATAGCCACCAGGATGGAACCAGAGTACCGACACATTGCCAGGTTACCAGTTCTGAGTGATCGGCAACCCATGGGCAAGCTCGACCCCCAGGGTTCTGTAACAGTAGCTCACATCTTAATTATTACGGTTTGGAGTCGAGATTAGGAAAACGCCTCCTAGTAGTCTCAATGACAATAACCCCCATAGGGGCAGGCTAGCAGAAACAACTTGTAGCTCGTTAAAAAAACGCATATACAGTACACACACACCTGCTCCGGAAAAACAAACTTTGTGGTGCTTGATGTTTTTCTGCTGCACCCTGTCCAGGTCTCCCAGAACCAAACAAGGAACAATGGATCCCTGTCTCAAGGGAAACAGCGTGTTGACAACGTTCTGTGTCGTGGGTGTAGACACGCAAAAACCGCCTGCGTCGCTGGTAACCGCTCCTACACTATCCCATCTCTTTCTACACTTGCGAATGGAAACCGGTTTGAAGACAACGAATTTAAAACCAATAGGCTCAGGCAAAGCAGCATAACACGATAATAATAATCGAGTAGTCCGTGATATTAAATCTCGTCTTCATTAGTCGCATAACGCGTGTTGTGCACAGTTGTTTGTAACGATTTAGATGAAGTAGAGTGATTAATATTATACGGACACGAATAATAAGGGATAATCGTTCAAATGCAACTCCTTTACGGTGTCTGGCTGTCATGTTACCCAAAGGAGGCACGATGGCTGAGATGCTGTCGGACTGCTCAAACCTACACAGGAGCAGTCGAGATGCCGGGATCGGGTTGGAACCACGGTTGGAAGTACCTTAACAACTTAGCCATCTTGAGCTCAATCTACAAATGAATTGCGCAAGCATCTCCGCATGCGCCTCTGGTACATACATACAGTGTCATTGATTGGCTGGAGTATTGATTCAAGTTGAATCGAATATTCTCAGCAGGCTACGAAATCATCATAAGTTTTAAGAACCGTGTACTTGTCGTACAGTGGTTGCAGCTGCCACAGTTTCGTTCACCGATAAATTGGGGGGGAGGTAGCTGAGCATTGCAGGCGAAAGCTGGCAAATTGTTGCTCCGAAAATACCTGGTCCACACATCAGACAACCGGCTTTTGTTGGCTAAGTGTAGAAAGTGTCGAAGTCAATCTTCCCTCGCCAGAAACATTCGCATCGAGAAGAAATTTCGGTATCCCCTGTCCGGAGGTGCCTCACGTAAAGAATCAATAGGCTGGCCACCAATGCAGTAAGCAAACGTTTTTTGAACCAGGAAATATAGTGACTAAGGATGTTCTCTATTCCCAGAATCAAAAGAGAAAAATGAAAACATCGAATGCCACATTTGTGCTTGGAAAAAACCTGATATTTGCAACCAACAGGCATCCTAGGGGTTTTACGGGGCACTCCGTTGTTACGTATTCTCAGGATGTATGAAATATGTGCTATTACTAATAATGTATTTCCAACACTGGTGAGATTCCTTGAAGTTCCCCACTCGCCAATCTAGACGTCTACCGAAGTAAGGAAGTTGAACTTAATTGTGTTTCGGAAGTTAAACCGCACTCAGGTGGGGGCCATAGGTTGCTGACGGAGAATTGAGAAGTTACTGGATTGAGAATAATCACTTATCAGAAAATGGAAGATGCACAGTGCATTTGAATAACCGATTAGCTAAATAGGTAAAAAGTGAAATGCTCACTATTTTCCCTCGGCGAATGGATCCTACAAGTGCTTCTGCCGAAGTAGATCCCTCAACATCATTCAAGACATTGGCTAGCATTACTTGGACGTTTCCCAGTGCATTAAGAACATCTGCGAAGGCTATAGACTGACAAGCGGCAACCAAGACAGCCTTCACTGACTGAGTTAACATGGAAATTGAGCGCTGAATTTCACTTGGACGCGTCGCAGATCGTTCTTCAGTCTGAAAATATAACAAAGGCAAAGTATGCGTATTGTTGGCGGTGAGCCATTGAGAAACGAAGTCGCTAGAAGGGAAGCATAAAATGGATACAGAGAACAAGTCAAAACAAACAGAAGGTAGGCCAACAACACCAAGAAAAATTTTGTCGTATAAGTGACAACTCATGCTGAATATAATGGACTTTTTTGTAGATGATATAAACGCCAACAATAGAGGAAGAAACACCCATCCAGTAAACTGCGAAATGATTATACCCCGTTCATTAGTGATGACAGTCAATAAATGCAAACATTTGAACACAACACCAGGTTCTCAGAAGATAAGCTTTGCGAATGGATCGCGATAAAAACTCCAGTTGATGAAGGACCATCAACAGCAAGACCATCTGGCAAACGACGCCTTCAGAGACGGGCGGATTCTTTTCAACTTGTCTACTGGTAGCAAACATATTTACAACAAAAGGTGCCTGGACAAAAAACGAAATCGAGGGCACGGAGACGGCACTGACCGGTTCTAGATGAGGTGGAACTTAGTGAATCGTTCGGGGATGTGTATGGATCATCTACGCGGGTTAAACTCAGGTTAAAGAAATCGGGAAAGTCAGAGTATTCGCTTCTGTCTGTTACCGCAGCAGGAACGTCCCAGTCGCACAACAGAGGTGAGTCTATACAAACAATAAGCAGGAGGGCACATTGTTGAGCACACTCATTTAAAACTAATCTGGGTTTGACATTTTTCTGAAGGTTGTTTCAGTCCACTGTGGATCGTGATGTCACCAACTATCGGTCGACTAGTCGGGCGTTATGAAAAGCAGTTAAATGTGCCGCCAGTATCTTCTCAAACAGTTAAAAATCACCAAAACGAAAACAACAATCTCTCGTGGGAAACCAATACACATGACGGACAAAAGTACTAGAAGAGTACTAGAAGAGTCCCAAAAATGTGGGGATCGCATCGAATATCACAGGTGGAGACGACCCGCTTGATATGATTACTGTGAAGAGCAGATTGTGTATTGTCTGGCTGGTTACGTCTGACGAATTTTACAATCAACGACTGAAAACCTGGCATATGCACCAACAAACTGCAGCAAGGATACTGCTAAAAAAAAGTCTTCTGTGGAGAAATTTCCGACAATGTGTACAGGTTTCAGTACTCTGACTGGCGAGTATAATCCCCAAGGGTGAATACCTCGACAGCAGATTTGATGTAGATTTTCCCGCTTTGCTCAGATGTGCGCCCATCATCACCTGACTATCGCATCGGGTTACCCGGCGCCCTTCCAGGTAGCAGACCCAGCACTCCGACTGACCAGCTAAAAAATAACTACAGATTGTGATCCTGTGTCAAGATTTTTTCTGGCGAGTATAATCCCCAAGGGTGAATACCTCGACAGCAGATTTGATGTAGATTTTCCCGCTTTGCTCAGATGTGCGCCCATCATCACCTGACTATCGCATCGGGTTACCCGGCGCCCTTCCAGGTAGCAGACCCAGCACTCCGACTGACCAGCTAAAAAATAACTACAGATTGTGATCCTGTGTCCAAGATTTTTTCCTTTCGGAGCATATGCAAGGATCACATCACGTCCCGCCCATCAAGGCACATCGATGAAGTAACTGAGGAAACATACGAAAGTATTTCGACGACCACCCTTGTCTATTTTTTGGTCATCAACAAGAGCTTCTTTTGGATAATAAATATCTGTTTGAGACCGTCTTACATGAAGTAGCCGTGCCTACACAATCTGATCGAAATACAAACAGTTGTCCACTCGTACTGAAACCCAGGGTAATTCCGCATTTGTCTCATGACCCAATAGCTCACCGATACCTCAGCGGTGAATAGCCTTTGGTTACAGCTTCTTACCTGCTCAATCGACTATTCCCAACATCCTCATATCTGCCAATCTTCAATAGGTTTTTAATGCAAACGTTTGATGCTGATTGGACTTTTGTGCTAGGGATTTGCCCTCAGGTGCATAAAACTTTCCTTCATTTGAGCTCATAGGTTACAACCACAACTAATTATTCAAGCCGAAAACCTATGAATTCACAGCACAAAACAATCAGCAACCTACCAAACTGCTCCCTGGAGAGAAAACTGTTCGAACCTTCTCAACAGCATTCTGGAATACACCATAGGCGATGAGAATTTCCTCTCTGAAACAGTAAACGATGGAGAGATCAATAAAGTTGGACTGCCCGTGTCAGAATTCCAAACATGATATGAGCATACTGAATCCCGAACAGTAGAAAAGCATACAACACATTAACTAGCAACACTGGCGTGAAAAAGATAATGTTGACAATACATGCCGGAGTGTGCACATGGCAACACGACTTTTGTTGATTACACTCATCACGTACTTTGTTCGAAGCCAGTTGTACGAACTGTAGTCTCGGTACGCAGATCCCCTAGAAGCGCAGATTCTCGTTATTTGATCTTGGGGTTTATCGGATACTGCGCTAGGGACATCTCAGGAAAACGTTTATGTTAGTTCCCATTAATCAAGCAACAACTGTGGTACTACCCAGGATCAGTTGACTTTATTTTAAGCCATAAGTTAGTAAATCGAAACTTTAGAAACGTTCGCATGAGCTAACATATGGTCACAGATACACTGTGGTAACTGAGCTGTCGGTATATAGACTAGCGAGAACATAAACGATTCTAGTCTGTTCTGGGTACACAACTCGATGGATTCTAAGCGTAGTCAGGGTGAGCAGGGAAACACGTGCATGATAGAAAGAAGCCGTCAATCGTGATATGACTAGGAGTAACAGGATAACAATATACACCTAAAGGTCACTTACAATTGAAGACGACACATAGTAAACTGATGCACAATCAGGACTGAAGTGCATTTTGTCACATACTACCAAATTTGTCAAAAGATGCAAACTGGCCCTTGGCAGTCCTCGAACAGCAGTCCAATTTGGTTCTTCTGAGTTATGGTAAAGACATGCTTTACACACGAATCTAGATAAAGTGCAGAAAAAGCGTTTGTTTGTCCTCATATCGTTATCACCGCTATAGCTTTTGTTTCATCCGCAATGACGCGCGCGGTCACTGCAACTTCACGCACCTTGACATGACATTACCTACAAAGTTGACGAATACTCTCGAACAGTTGAGTCCTCCGTTGACCTCATCTCAAATTGTAACTGAATATTTCAGTTCACATAGGTGCAGTTGGGTGTTCAAGTAGGAAACCAGATTGATGAGAATTCGGAGGCCAGCTGAAATATGAAGCACCTTCTGTTGAGAATTCGGAGGCCAGCTGAAATATGAAACACCTGCACAGTCCACCAATCTGAAGCATCGTAAACCAGGAATTCAGTTGAGCCAGACGTTAAAAACACATTATTCGATAAATGGATGTTTGATTTCACACCGTTTTGAATTTTCCCTCGATTTCCTCTGCTATCGAAAGCAGGAGGTGATGGCTTGAGAAAACCTTGTTAAAATTTACTACAGAAAATGCTGTGGAAAAAAACCTGTGCTCGAAAATTGGGATGCCGCATCATTCACTCAGTCCAATGCTGTCTAACAAACGAGAACCAGATGTTTATCTTTTGCGATAATTTGGCTTCTCCTGATCAAACACAAGTACATTGAAAAGCTCCGCACAGCACTAATCATAGGTCAAATGTAACTCTCAGATAAATACTCCGGCTTGGCCAATGGCGAATGAAAAGTGACCCGAACTCACTCGCTAGGAATAGTCCCAGAGTTGGTTATGGGCATGGACTGAGGTTTGAAATTCTCACCGGTTGATGCATCTCCTGTCTGAAAAATAGTGAGTGGCAGAGGATGATAAATCGTACGATAGTCAAACCAGCGGCACATAAGTGTCAGCGAAAGGATGGGAAACTAGAAATGCGGAGACTGAATGAATTACCCGCAAGCTGACACTGGGAACCTTGCTCATACTGATCTGGGTTAACAATGGATGGAACCGCCCTATATATAGCCACGTGTGTAAAAGTTACTGACCCTTGATTTAGGAGATATAGCTTGAAATTGATATGGCTTCTAGAGACATTCCCTATCTGAAAACGCGTGCCAAGGCCAGGAGCCGTTGTGTTGATTATACTCAGTCATGTAACTTCCTCGTCCTAATTTTCCATCCTCACACTTACTCCTTGGTCATATTGTCCTAACTTCCCAACGTTCTCCGGCAAGCTCAAGTGCAGACGACAATCGTTCTCGGGTTTACGGAACGTTTGTGCGTCGATCTTTCCAAAGGAAGTAGATAAGGACAGACAGATTATTAATTTTAAAAAATACAAGGTCCGCCTGAGTTGGGTTCGGGATATTATAGCGTTTACCACATACTACATACTACCACAAACTACCTCAGAGTTCCCCAAGGACTTCTCCACATAGGTTTTTTTCTTCTGTGGCTTCAAAATAAATCTCTACCCAATTATCCAGGCAATCAATCAATCCACCCTGTTCCGAGTTGTTAACCCTCTACTGTCACTGCGGACTACTTGACAACCTCCAACAGCGTAACGATAGGAGAGATGACCCAGTAAATAACACCCAACAAGAAGAGGGTGGAAAAGCAAATGGTTGTGGGTTAGAAAAACAGCTGAGCTCTAGGTTGTGATTCTGTGGAGAGATTCAGAGCAGAAGTTTTGAACAGGCACATTCACAGTAAAGTTTTCATCAGAAAACAGGAAGAAGGTTAGCTGTAGCACCCCTCAAGTGCCTAGCTGACATGCTAACGGGAAGAGGCATATGGGCTGGGATAGTGCCAGGTTGTCCAAACCTAGACGGAAGCAGAGATGCTGACGCTGGGTTTGAACCACGGACCTTCCTACCCATAGGCTGGCGCCTTAACCACTGCCTACCTCAAGCTTCATCAGAACACAACCCACACAGTATTTATGTGAGTGGAAAGTGATTGGTGTCATTTGTGAAATAAATGTCAGCTGGGACAATTCGCACGAAAATGTAAAGTTGAAGTGGTTTGTCGGCTAGTAAAGGTATACAGATTCTTACAAGCCCTGGTACTGACGGCACGCTACCTCCTGAAGATGGCTGTACGAAGGAATGGGCCTTTTACTGCCCAAAACTACACTGACTCTGCAAATAAGTTTGTTCTTACGGAAAACTTAACTGAATCCGGGCTGTATCTCTCGTTTATGATATTCTTCAACTGAATGTGCTGTGAAAAGGCCGTCTCATGATAAAGTTGGTCCGACATTTGACATACCGTAGTATATGCTCTTGAAGGAACACAATGAGTGAGTACAATATATCGTGATATCTCAAACACAGTACGTATCGGAACATTGGGCTATTCTTGTGCATGACGTTCAGTAAGACTAGAAATCCAGCTGAGTCCCCGGTTAAGACTAAATTGGTTTGCAAATGGGTGTGCGTGCGTTTGATTCGGGTTCCAGTAGAACATAGGATTGACAGAAACTCGGGGACTGATGATGAGTCCCAAGAAGAATGAAACCGATCGTGTATATTTGCTTTCCGGTGTGGCCAGCAAAAGTGCAATCGCTCGTCTCTATGCATTTGTTGCGGGTTGCACGAAACTTCCCAAAAAAGTCTACTTTGCCAGATCCGGAAAGAATTTTAAATTCGCTACGAAATGATAAATAAGATTTGCCAGCATTCGGTTAGATCCCGGAGTGTCTATATCAACGCAATATTGTTGAATGACTGCAGGCATGCTAGCTGTTTCGTTATTTAAAAAGCGCACGATTTCGCACGATTTCATCGAATCGTTTAGGAGCTACAAACGCCTATACATGCCAAATACTAAATTGAGACATGGCAAACAGTAGGGGTTGGAAACAGGAATGTAGCCACCATACAAGGAATTTAACCTAAAAATGAATCAGGATGATTTGATTCTTCATTAATCTTATGATGTTGAAAAATATAGAAAATTGCTCAGCTGTAACATGCTTTCGGTGCCTAGCTGCCATGCCATCCGATAGAAGCACGAGGGCTGGGATACTGTCAGATTGCCCAAGCCTAGACAGGGAAAGTCGAGAGGCAGAGGTCGGGTTCGAACGACGGACCGTCCGATCAGTAAATTCGCGCTCTAACCACTGTTGATGTCGATGTCGCTGGCAATGGCTAGCGACGAACTCATGGAGGTCCATGAGCTAGAAAAAGAGTTCCTTCCAACTTACGTGTTTACTTAGGCTTCGATCTGGTCAACCACTACTGTCAGCACTACTGTCTTAGGTTCTAAACTCAGAGTCATCCAGTATCTATAGCAGATATAATTTTGATACACAAGAAGGATATCTCACAATAAGCGCAGCGGTCACCTCTCACCCTGCAAGAATTACCGAATATGGTTGGAAATTCATCGGACACGAGGCTCTTGAACGCATCTAAAGTTACAAGCAGCCAAAAGCAAATGAAACTAGACTGTTTCTTTTTCGATGAATCAAAGGTTTTGGTGATGGGTTTCTCTAGAAAACCGTCAGGAAAATAAGATGGAACGAAAACAGTACACGTGCTTACCGACAAGACAGAACTGTCGTTATGCAGCCTCGGCTCCAAAATCAGTCGTAATGGTAGGTCCAGGCGATGACATAGCTGCACTTGGTTGCAATCGCAGAGACGGGCATCCCTACCAGAAAAATAGCAAGTGATAGGTGTGAAGCGTGAATCAGGAGTAGTTAAGAAGCAACATAAAAGAACGCACACCAAGAAGGAACAGGAATCATTGGTCGCAGCTGTTCCTCAAAAGTGAATTAGCTCGAATCAGTGTATGGATACCTGCTGGAAAGCAAGCACTGTGTCAACAGAGTTAGCACTCCAGATTTTCCTCCACAAACCAATCACATCGATCTACTGGAGCAATCAAAAGACGACGTGGAAATCGGAATCATTTAAATCCAGAGAACTTCTTGAATCACGGCGATGACGCGGGTACAGCAACTGAGATCTGAATGGTGTCTAGCTAAAATACTTTATGCCCTCATTAGGTCAGACGCTTCAGATGTGACGAGCTCTCGGTCTATGACATCGCGCCGCTTAACCGAGGCATGAACTTTTGTCCAAACCTAACCAGAAATGACGGTAAGCTCAGGAGTGGATCCGGAACATAGCTTTCGACCATCAACAGGACTATGTCGGTTTGTGCTACCGAAATGGGTTCGCGGATACAGCTAACTCATATTGTCGTGCGAAGCCGTTGATCTTTCCTGCACAATCATTCCCCACCACTAAGCACAGATACACCACTGTATGGAACAATTCCCATTGAAACAGATGCCTGATCTATTTGCTTCCATTTGGGAATAGACATGGGAAGTCGAGAGGAAGAGGCCGGATTCGAAACGCGGAGCTTCCGGTCAGTAAATTTGCCCTCTAACCACTGAGCCATCTCACCTCCATTTGGTCAATACAGTATGTTCCTCATATCCTCCGACTTTCGGAAGTGGGAGAGTATACAAAGAGCTCTCCAAGGGCTTCCGTACACAAAGTGGTGCCCCACAAGGAAGCTCACTCTCTAATATAAATAAACTTCGTGGTGGACAGAAAAATTAGACGAACGCTGGAAGGTTTTAAAAACCCTGGTACTCGAACAGCTGATGACAAAAACCCTGTCAATCTGGAATGTGTAGATAAAATCGTTCTCAACCAAAAGAACGCGCAGGTTTTCGGATGAACTGACTAAAGTCATTCCGTCCATTGGTTTGCGCACTGCACCTACCAAATATAAGGTCATGCTTCTAGACATGTAGCCACTTGACACGCCGCTTGCAGTCCAAAGAGAGACACTCGAAACTGTTAAGCGCTTTACGTGCTCTAGAAGTTATATTAGTTCCTGTGAGAAAGTGAGGTGAGGTAGTGTGGCAGCAGCCAAGCACCAAAGACTACGGTGGCTAGGCCACGCACTGCGCATGCCAAATCATCGTCAGCCGAAGCGAGTACTGTTTTCTGTACCCAATTCAGAGTGGCGCAAGCACAGTTGGTCAATCTGGCAGATGGTATAGAAGAGATTAACAGGAGATTACACAGAGCACTCAGCAGTGGCCCTCTTAGCGATGAATGTTCAAACTAACCACGTCAGCAGACCAAGGGCCTTCTGTGAGTATTGATTTTCATGAAACTGAACTTACCAGGCTAAGTGAAAGGTGACTTGATATCATTTAACGAAGTCTGATACCTTGAAAGTTAATTCCGGTGTTTGTCGCCTAACCCGGAGCTGATAAATGATTATATATATATATATATATAATCATTATATATATATATAACATCATCGTATACATATGGCATACCATGTTGAACACGGCTAGTGTAACTTTAGTTTGTCTCAACAAATAACTTATTGAGGCCATATGACGACGGAGCTTCAGTGCTGAACACTGATGTCATGCTGTCGACGAGGATGACGATCAAGATGACCACGGAAGCTTGTGCAATGCAAGAAATCACATGTGGAAATGGAACTACGTTTGAAATTTGTCAACACCCATACAATAACATTGTCAACTGGTACTTGAATGAGCATTCCAAAAAATGTTTGACACCACATGATTTAGGTCATGATGTCATGTGATCAGATCCACTGTGCCATACCGGCGCGAGAACGTGCCGGAAGACGGAGTAATCTTGTGAGGAAAACGATCGATCAATCTACGGAGCAAGCCGCTGCTCCCAAACGCTTAATGGTTACTTTGAGGCTTCCCTCGCTCAACTTGTACAGAAAGCTGTCACAGTAAAGATTACACTGCACACTGTACAATGCCTTCCTCTGGTTGCTGGAACTCAACGACAGGGTTCACGAAATGCTTCTTTCGCGCAGCCTAGCAGCAAAAATATAGGTAGGACATTAAGCTTTTCCATGTTTCTGAGAGCGAAAAACATGAATCCAACATTAATATTGAGTATTCAAGTTGACAAGCGACATGAAGAACCTAGCGACGAAGAAGTCAGTCGTTGTTTCTATTAGATGACTGTACAATCATCACTGTCGGCTGTTGCTGAACAGATTGACTGCTTAAGCGTCTAATCGGTAGCTGGCTTCTCTGGCCCAGATGCTTGGTAGCTTCCCTAATGTGATTTTGGCGCGGTTTGAGGATCACAACAAGTTTCGGGCAACCAGGAATTATTTTCAGGAATCTGACCATTCTGATACTTGTCTATGTGTCTAACTTGGTCTATTTCACAAATTACTGGGTAGAATTCACTGTTATTCCGTAAACAAGTATAGAAAACAAGACAAGCATCATTGGTTCTATACCTTCGTTTCCGAAAGGCAACATACATATCATGAACCATCTTAAAGGGACCAAGGTAATCCATCGTGTTTGGCAGAATAGTGAAAGATACTTGGAAAAGTATGGGTTTGACGAGTGCTCTTCTTTCTGCATGATGCGAGTAACGCAACCCTTGTTGTGCTTGGTTAGGAACACCGCAAAAGGAGACAGTTAACTGGTGCTACCGGCGTTCGTGCTACACTGTGTTATTTTGGCCGAATTTCCCACCCTCCTATCTAAGCATGGAGAAGCATGGTAATATAGTCTTCCAATGTCCGCATGGGTGAATCGGAGTCCTATTGACCAGCCGGTATTACTAATTTGCTCAATTCGTATGCTGAGAGGGCTTATAAAGGAAAAGCGGATGAATTCTCCTCAGGAAAGCAGTCTTCGTCGTCGGTGAGGCCACCAGACACGTTAAAAAAACAAACAATTCTATGGGAATTCCGGGTTAAGATAAGCAGAGGAAGTGCACTGGGATTGAAAAGCCCACACAATCGATGCTCCGTGTCTCGGATTGAATTGATGGTCACCTGGAGTCACCCGTGGAGTTATGTTCTCACTTGTGTTCAGAATTCCCGTGCCGATGGAGCAGTGCCGATGTGCAGTAGATCAGTTTCAGACTAGAGGTGCTAGTTCGGAGTCTGTTTTCAGCATGCAGTATAGGCAAGTTAACAATAGTTCGCGTCTAACGGGACATCCAGGCATCATATTATGACTAAGGATAGACAAAAAATTAGAAAGCTGAACTAAAAATTATGTCACGAACCTCCCGCATCATCAAGTGCTGTCTCGTGGTGTTTTGTACAACGAATCTAAAAAGGTGGAGACGTCTGTGGTCTGCAATTTGAGTTGGTGGCTGTCCCCCAAACGACAACAAACAAACACCAACCAAAATGTCATTTACACACTCAATGAAAGTACGCCTAAGCGGAAAGGCCATCAAAATCTCTCGACGAGAAGGTAGTGTGGGGTGATCGTATAAGTTTGCCCCATTCTTTTTCAAGTTTTTAGTGTTTTTCAGCCATATTTTTGTGAATTCTGGGACTGATTTCTGATTGGAACCGTTACCGGCAGACCAGTGTTCATTCAACTACATCCAATGAAGCGCAATTATGCCAAAAAACAGGCAGTCTGATGATTTAATACTAATACAATGCCGGTCCGCATATGGTGAACTCACAACCATCTAGACGAGGTATTGCCTAACACTCCAAGATCCCGTGAGTGATTCAAATGCCTACATAGCGGGCGACTTACGGATTAAGAAGCTCCGCACGTCCATGAAGACGCAGCTGATATTTGTTGACATTCAGATCCGTATTTGGCGGCACAACGTCATTGGAAAGCGCTTCCAACATGAGTTCACTCACTAGGGTGCTGTTGGCTGAAGGTACAGACAAGTTGATGTCAATTTGGAGATTGTGTAAAAGACAAAAACAAACTGCAGTAACCCGCTTCAAAACATGTACCCACTACTCCGCTACTCCTCCTAGCAATGCCACAATGGTACTCAGCCACGATTTAGTGTAAAATGCCCCCCGCCCCCCAAGACAGTGTACCCAAATGTGCAAGAAATCCCTTGTCTGGTAATGTCCACTCTTCGAAAAATACTGCATAAAGAATACGAATGCCAGTTATGCACTCGAACGAAAGCACCGTCTCTCAGAAAGAAGTGGAAGCTGTGATCGTACGCATACTCCGAGTCTCTGTCGTGACAATTAGACATTACATTTATACGAAAGACCCTTCCATAACCGGTGGGTGGAATAGCTAATCGAGTGAATTTTCACATCATCACGTCCAGCTATCAGCCGTCCGCTGACAAACCGCATTTTCAAATCTCACTGTTTAGTGCGAAACTAGAATTCATTAGGTATAAAAAGCTAGGCGTTTCCCCTTACAGTCTTGGTCGGAAGGGCTTATAACGACCGTAACCAGGTTTTTCATCTTACATTGAAGATAGAATAAAATGCTCCTCCAACCTGTACTTGAGGTGGGATAAATCCAGAAAATGGTTCGGATATTTGCTTTGACGAGCTTTAATAATGTATTCCGAATGGAAACGGCCAACGACACGCTTTTCGGAAAAGCATAAAAGCGATCGGTTGCTCGTTTACTTCTGGTGGTCCATCAAGCTTCGATGGACGGAGACTTAGAGATGTCGAGTCGGTAAACATAGATTGTACAATTTAGACGGAATACCGTGAAAATCGGGGATGAATTTTACTTGCCACGCGCCGTGGCAAGCCTCCGGGAACGAGGCACCCTTACGCGGAATACACACTGCAAATCTGGCTTTATAGTGGGAGACTCAAATAAATTCCAGCTGAAACATGAGGCGATCTTTGTGTAGTACGTTCAGTTGAAGAATATCCTAAACAAGACATTCATTCTTTCATTGAAACCAACTTGGTTTTCTAATGTGTATATCAAGAATTGTAATTGGTTCGAATAGAGTATGGGGTTGGCGAGAACTCGGAGACCATTCCTACCTGATGGGCCTTAAGGAGGATGAAACCTGTGGCGGGCTGTCGGAACCCCCTGCAGCTTCATGAGTAGTAAGTTGCGTCAAGATGTGGCACCCCCTTGTTTGCTGGCACGCAATCTGTATAGTAGACAGACGTCGAAAAGCATTTATAACGGAATAGTCTAGGTAGAGGATGCCAATCGGATATCCAAACTGCACCTTAGTTAATATACAGGCATAAGTGGTACTTTTGGAGAAATCGACCAGAGCGAATGGAGTGAGTCGGTCGGTACTGATTAATCGTTAACATTATCAAGAAGTCAATATCTATGGAGCAGCACGTTTGTAAGCCAACATCCTCTGGCTGCACGACTGAAGTCCACGTATCTACAGACGCAAGGACCGTGGGCATGAATTCCAATCACGAGGCACACAAACCGGATAACTCGGTCATGGTCTACATGAAGATTCGTAACAAAAAAGAAGTTACGATAAAGGTATGGAAGACTAGTGAATCTTAGGAAGAATAATTATTCGGAAACTAATTTCAAAGAGCCGAAACCTGACCACCAAACGAGGCCATGCAGTTCACGTACGATTTTCCATCTAAGCTCATCACTACTGACTGAGCAACTGAAACCAACTGGAGACACTGAATTTCACTTCAATGTAAGCTCTTAGCCATGGTGAACCTTAGCAAACAACAGTCAAACATGGCGTGGTTTCGTTTTTTTAAAAAAAAACAAAATACAGCCAACTTACGATCACAGACCAATCGAACTCGAGGGGAACCAAGTAAAACAGACGAACGGCAGGCTGCAGAAGAACGTGGTTTTCCGGTAGACTTGAGACCTGCCGTGGGGCTCGCATCATCAACTTGCGGAAGACAGAGTTTCGCATGTAGCCCAACGTGCATGTTGATCCGTACCTCAATTTGTGGGATGGTCCATCGGGGGGTGTTTTTCCAGTGAGTCGGTGTGGCAGCTTCGGTCTTATCGTTCTTGATCTTTTTCGGACAAATGCCACGCACCTGATCGACACTAGTTTTACGTAGTGGAACATGATCTTCTCCTTCGATGGAGTTCGCACGTGTAACTGAAGATGTTAATTGCCCATAAACGGCATCGAACACGACGGAATCACCATAGAGTGGGCTGCTATCGTCGGGTGGCAAACTTTGACCGATTATATCATCAAACGGGGAGACGAAGGAATAGACTATAGTTCTCGGTTTTCGAGCTTCTCGTTTCTGATGTTTGAGGCTGTGAGGTAAACAGTCGGCATGAGGGAATTATAAGGGGAAGACAAGTAGTCATAATACGGCGCCTAATCCGACTTAAAATCAGGAATACTGTCAAAGTCTGTTGGTGATAACCATACGGTCTACTGAGAATGATTGTACAAAGGTTGACTGACCACTTCACAAAACAAATGAACCTATCAAGAGAGAAGTCAAACAACCTACCGACGCTCTGCTATAACCTGTCCAGTAGGCTAACCCAAGTGTCGGTCAAGTGGACTGAATTCGATGCTCTTTTTGTTTCTCAGTAGTACCATAAAAGTTTAGACCAACAACTTGGTGGTGATATTTGGTATCGATCGTCTACGCGTGACCTAAAGTTCGACCTAGTGGACGGTGCGCTAAGATAAGATTACTAGAATCGAATTCTGATTGGATTTTGAAGTCGACACCAAAACTTTTCAACTTTAGGGCATCATTCACACCAAGCTCACTGCCTGAAAACCCACTACTTCAGGACATCCGAGTTTCACCTCAATTGGCTGACCGGTTGATGCGCGCCAACACTATCACGAAATTCGGCAAAACTCGATGTCGCAGAACAGATGTGTTCAGGGCTTTCTTGGATTGTGATGAAAATCCGATGATGGTAAACTGATAGTCAGCTTCCGGCTGTTAATGCGTGCCCTAGAATAAATGATACGTAGCAACCAAGTACAACCAAAGAACACCAAACCACCGCTATGATGAATGGCATGGCGATCGTTCAATATATGATAGAAACGCCAAAATCCGGGAATCGGACGAAAAACGTTTGAAGGAACTTTCTGCCTAGCTAAGAATGTCGAAACAAGGGATACCCTTCGTTTTACATGAAATTCTACTGGTTGGATATTACGGTTAACTCTGGCAGTAACTCAAGATATGTAGGTCGAGGACCCACAAAAATACGCGGGATCTGGATTTGGAAATGCTCAAATGGTTCCCAACCCTATTTTCTATTTCACTTCATTTCTAAAGCTTCCCCTCCCAGTAGTAACCTTGTCAGGCTTGTTAATAAGCCATCTACCAGAGCCGACAGGATTGCCTAAACCTGATCGGCAGCCAGTCAACCTAGAGATGAGTCCGAGATAGGTTACAATGCTAAGCTGAAAATCAAAAGAATTCCTGTGACAACTAGTAACAATTTCACATTTTCTCGTACGGGTCAACAATGACTCCCAATCTTGCCTATTTGTGGCAATAAAAGCAGAATAACCGGCGGTTTAGGAAAAGGTATTCTAATCGAGCATTTGGGATACGAAGCGTTGAAAAGCATTAAAATTACTACTGGAGCCAAAATCACTGCAGTTAAGGAATACACCAAAAACGGGTGCTGCGTGGGGGCGTATCAAACACAAGACCGATGGACTTACTTTTCCACAGCGCTGACAAAAAACTCCAATTCAGTAGTCGCTTGCGTGTTGGACACAAAGGTCGATCCCTGCTGTTTTAATGGTCTTCTGCGTCTTACTGGTCGTTCCAAAAGTGTGTCCGACTAGAAGATAAAAAAGACAATGAAGAAAGTGACCATCAATATAGTCATAATCACCATCATCATCGACCCTAATATAGCAGCATTACACACTGACGTCTAATGTTCATAGAACCATGGGGAAAGAAAGCCTTAGCAGCGTTGAAAGAAAATGGAAGGGTACGTAAGGGATCTCATCAAACCAACCTGATAATTTTCAAGTTGCTGCTGTAACGGCCTGAATCGTTACCAAGTACCGGCTTACGTTCGTTTCCTTTCAATTCCCCGCAACGGGCACGCCAATCTAACATCTTCGAACAACCACAGCTCAACAGTATCGGTCTTAGCTAAGTCAACAACTTTCTGCTGCAAGCCGTACTGTACTGGTAGCGAGCACGTGGGTGAAGCACGGCGAAATGTGAAAAGAGCTATGCTAGCGGCGCTCAGTGCTGTCTATCCGACTTCTCGACCACAAGACTACTGGATATTATCGAGATCACTGGTCTTGATTGATACCAGGAAATCTATAACTGTAGGCAGAGAGGACGACGGCGCACGCAAATGCCTCAAACCCCAAGTAGTGAAGAGCCTAGAGAAAGACCGAGACCCTTGATGGAAAATGAAAGCTCGGAGGGTGGAGAAGGCTTTTTCTACCGGAAACAGACGTGCCCTACATCAATTGATACGATTGACCAGCCCTAGGAAAGCAACGGTCACAAAAGTGCTGACTGGATGGGCAGTTTAGCTGGCTCCTGCAACATAGCCTCTGGAAATAATGCATGAGGGTGAATGGAATGTAAACTTTAATCGAGTCAGAAGAACCACCGTGGTATGAAGTTGGCAGCTGAGATGATAAAATTTGGTACGTCTTATTAGTTTGTGGGTCCTAATTTTTTACTGGGGAGCGTGTTCTTCGGATTTACTGGGAAACCTGTATGGAAATCTACACTAGAAGACGATGAGCTTAAATTTACCAGTGCGCCAGAACCTTGACATTCAACGTCTGAACCACGCGATTGACAGTCGATGGCGGTGTGATTGATTCTACCCCAGGGTTACACAGTCGCAAGAGGACGCCGCGTAACGAGACGGTGTCCACTTCATCTAAATTTAGTGCTGCATGGTTGCAAAAGAAGCTCACCACCATTGCATTGTTCTGCGTCCAAATTAAACACACCGCCAAAATGGACTTTTGGCGAAATGTGGCGCATAATTTGTGTACTGAAACCTCATGTCATATTGACTGTAGCTGAACTCGGCGTAGCGGACAAGAAAATAATAATAATAATAGTTCAGCTGTAACACCCTTTCAGTACCTAGTTGCCATGCCAATTGAAGAAAACACGAAGGCTGGGATGCCGTCAGGTTGCCCAATCCTGGACAGGAGTTTTCGAGGTGCCAGGTTTGGTTTGGAACCCGATCAGTTAGTTCGCGCGTTGGCTACTGAGCCATCACGAGCTCGGCAGTAGACAGGAAATTGGTTGGATTTCGGTAAGCGTCTTTTAAAGAACCACAGGTGCAGTTAGGTGGTGCATAAATGAACGTGACAAAAAAGAGCGTTCAGCATTTCCACAAGGAGGAAAGTAGGACACAGTCAACAGCCTACTGAGCGCTAGCATGCGATGGGTAACTTCCCACACCCTTTCAGTACCTAGCTGCCATGCCAATTGAAGAAAACACGAAGGCTGGGATGCCGTCAGGTTGCCCAATCCTGGACAGGAGTTTTCGAGGTGCCAGGTTTGGTTTGGAACCCGATCAGTTAGTTCGCGCGTTGACTACTGAGCCATCACGAGCTCGGCAGTAGACAGGAAATTGGTTGGATTTCGGTAAGCGTCTTTTAAAGAACCACAGGTGCAGTTAGGTGGTGCATAAATGAACGTGACAAAAAAGAGCGTTCAGCATTTCCACAAGGAGGAAAGTAGGACACAGTCAACAGCCTACTGAGCGCTAGCATGCGATGGGTAACTTCCCCAAATGCCTACTTCCCTAGGTGACCAACGTGCCTACAGCTGAGATCTAGAGAAGATTGACTGTCAAGTCAGACCAAAGGGTAGTTACGAAACAACAAGGAAGATGGGGGCGTCGACATTCGTAAAAAGCGAAGGACGATCCGCTATGCAGGTGCTTTGAGTTGCGTAGTTTATGGTTGTGTCTGAGACGAAATACTGTTAGAGTGCGTAACACTAGACGAGACTGCAATTATGGTCCTCAACCAAAGCTGTAGACTGACCAAAAGACAGTAGCAGTCCATGTACGACGACTATTGGATGAGTCTAAATTCTAGGGAACAAATGCCAGACTTAATCCTATTCAGTTCCTTCTCTCAGCCTTTAATCTAAAAGTATCAGCCGTTCCACAGCAATATTCATCCAGTATTCTCTGACAAAACTCCGGTTTCTTGTATTTTGATCAATGAGGTCGGAAACTTTTTAAACCTTATTCCGTGTGGTGAAGGTGATCGGTCTGGTATTTTGATACTGTCTTTATTGTGAAAAAAGGAATTCACGAGCAACTAGAAATAACCAGGTTTCAGGTGATCGGGATTGTAGTTTCCCTTTAGCCGGGACGGAGATTCCCCCGTAATTTTCATGCGTAAATTTAAACTAGGGCGAGTAAAAAACAATGGGTGGCAATCCAACCCTGAGTTAGCCCAATTGTGAGTGGCCTCCTATGCGAAAAGGATACTTGTGCCTAACCACGTCTTGCCCTAATTACAATCGATATCCAGTCCTATTGCCTCAGGTTAATTTAACTGTGAAAGATAAAAATGCCGATAGGGTTTATGTTCGTATGACCACCGATAGTCTCAAAAGTTTTAATCAGAGGTCACACTTTCGCTTTATCGTCTGAAAACAGGTTGCTATGTTACAGCCTACGCCGATATGCTTCACCGCAACTTAATTTTTTTCAGTCCTTAGCAAGACCTATCTGTTCACGTTCACCGGAAGTATTGACGATCTAAAAGTGCATATCCTTGTCACAGATTCGGACCAGAATGACTGTAGTCAATTGACTGGAATAAGATGGAACAACGCAGACCGACTGAAGGGTATTTTTTCGACATCTCTTCGTCAGATTTAAGCATATATGTATACATGTAAAGATAATAAGATAATCGTTCAGCTGTAGCACCCTTCGGGTGCTTAGCTGCTATGCCAACCGAAGGAAGCTGGGATACTGCCAATTTACCCAAGCCTGGACAAAAGTCGAGATGCAGAGGTCGGGTTCCAACCACCTTCCTTCCGGTCAGTAAATTCGCGCTCTAACCACCGAGCCCTCTCGCATATACATAGAAAATAATACAATCGATAAAAAAATTAATGAATCAGAGGTCAACTCATAGCTCGTCAAAACCTGGCATGAGGTATGAGAGTTGCGTGGACCTATCACTTGACTAGCCTTCCACATGAATGCTAATGCTTATGTGAATCACTTTCGAGTACAAAGTTCAGACCGGCGAATCCTTATGTCAAAGGGTTCTGCGGTCGTTGGGATCTTCATTCTGACATAGACTAGTTTTCCGATAATATGTAGATGGATGAGAAGGCTGTTGAGGTGTTCATGTGGTGTCCCGTGTCCGGTAAAAGGTACCAAGAAAGGCGTACACATAAGATGAAGACATACGATGAAAACTTTGTTGCCGCTAGATTCCTTGCCTTCCGCATTACCTAATAAGTTATGTTACAAAGATTCTCTCACTGCTCAGAGCATGGAGCTTAAAAGTTGCCGAATTTCGGTCAACGATATTTGTACCTATTTCAACGATGATAGCCAACCATTCCTTGAAGCGGGCGAACCGCATTTGGAGTGTTCCGAAAAAGTCATAATCTTGTACCATTATTGTCTGTTCGTGTAGACCGATGGTTACCAATCCCTCAAGACTTCTACCTTGTTCGACTTTCCAATATAAAAGTCACACTGATACCTATTCAGGTCAGTTTTGTAGAAAAAACAGCGAAAAGAGTGTGGTGTTATTCAGAGACAAGGCGAACAAGACCTGTATTCAGTACTTCGAAACTTTAAGCCCTACGTTCCCTAATGGAACCAGTAGTGAAACACTGGGATGGACAAGATACTGAGGGTTTCTTTCGTAGATGACAAAACATAAGAGAAACATGCTTCATTGGTTGTCCATTCGGTCAAGATTACATGAAGCTTGTAGGGTATTTCGCTCTGAAGTAAGAGTGACATTTAAAAATCCTACTCACAAGTTAGGAAGTACCTCCTTGTATGAAGTACGTACTACGGAGAGAACATCTTAAGAAAACTTCAAAGTTGGTCTTTTTGAGGAATCTTTTCGACTGATGGTCCCTCCAGAGGGTCATTCATTATGCATAATAATGACGCGAGCAATTACAGCCCATGTGACTAAACTGGCAATTCTTCCACATCACTTGAAACAGCACTTACAACTGAGCCTGATTGAAGATTGAAAGTAAACCCTAAGTATACATCTATCTCTCCGGTTCCTAAGGTAAAAACCATCTCAACTCCACTCCATTTTTGGTAAGGTCCCCATTGAATTAAATTACAGGGGTAAGGGATTGCTCAATGTTAGATATTCCCCGTAGATCTTTTAGAATACCAAAATACAGCATCCCGTTCATCTAACGGCCTTTTATGTGACAACCTCAATCGTAAAATGGTAGTCGCAAGTTCGAGACCGTCTGTCCATTGTGCGACAATTTCTCTCATACGGTCGAATGCTCCTAAATTCCTTAAGATTGTGCGGGAGAGAGGGTATCATAGATAACACTCGATAAGACTACTTACACAACGACCACGCTATTAATGATAGTAATGGCAGTGATGTTGGCGATGAAGACACGGATGGGGACTCTACTGGTGAAGATTATGAGGACAACCGTTAGAGAAGTGTCAACCGAACATTGTGAGATTAAGTGCAATGCAGGTATAGATCGGTGAAACTATGATTTTAGAAATTGTGACTGGTCGTGGAGATGGTCAGTTCAAAAATGATTTAGCGCGAAGACTGACGGAAAACTCACTGGCAACTGGCACTAATCGAAACAGGCAAACTGTGCACGACAGATCGGACCAAATCTAGTGTTTCAATAACTTCCGCGAAAATGATGGCAAGTACACTTGAGTCGACATGGTTTATCCGTACACAGCGAATAGGTTTGTCAAGATATTGCAGGCAAAAATACAAATGCTTACCGCGTTCGGTTAATAATCGCACAAAACAGGTAACAACAAAGTAACCACAGAGAAATGTGTGTGCAATGTAGCACCGTCAAATTCGAGATCAATGAATTTCGCCAGAACTTACACCAGGAGGCTGATATCCACCAATCTCACTTGCATCGGGTTTAGATTGCAGTTTCGGTGACTGAGACGACGGAGTATTCTTTGGCTTTGTCGTTGAAGGAACTAGAAATAAGTCCAGTAATGAGGCCAGGTCCTCTGCAGCCACATTGTCCGGTTTTGAATTCACAACATTATCAATACGAAATCCAACGGGATGTTTCATTGGACACCTTGGAGGTACGGGTGGGGGGATTCGAGGTTTGCGAGATGGATTTCGGGATGCAGCCACAATCGGCGTAGACGATACATCTGTGAATAACGGATCAAACAACTTTCGGAGCTCTAGTGTTTTGTTGGTACTGGCTTCTATCGGGTTGTCAAATGAAATTAAATCCGGCGGTGTACTCATGGACTTTCAACAAGTCAAGGTTGTCGGTCAGTCGATTGTATCCATCAGCGACCTCGATTGAAATTAGGTGAGTAAGCTGGGAGTTATATACAGAAATTCTTGGTTGCTGATAAGTTCAAGTGAGCGAAACGGACGTGGAAGTGTTCATTCTGAAGTGGAACGGAAATCACGATTATAAACAAAAAGTATATAAACCAGCAACAAAATACAATCGGTGAATAAGTAGACTAGACCATGTTTTTTTAATTTGACTTCTTAATGTTCCAGTCTCGGTAAAATTGTGAAAAACAAACGAAAACTAACCTGGCACCTACCATATGACGTTTGTCCCAGGAAATCATTATATGGATCTCTATGGAATCACCCTTAGTTAATGATGACTGCCCAGCATATTGAGTCGCTAGCTTCAAAAAGGACTGAACTGTCGAGCTAAAGTAAAATAAAGGCACCTTTTTCCAGTACTGCGTGGGTACAACTGATTTGAAGATTGCACGCGGGAAATTTCTCCGCTCTGTGCGACACCTGCTCGACCGGTAAATAAACCGTCCAGTTTATATAAAGGTTGGAACATGATATAACGGAACCAAACACAGCAAAACAAATACGTACAGGAGACTGGTGTGTTAGTCTGGTTCAATCTCATATGACAACTAGCTGCGAGACATACAGCTCAATGTATGTGTGCAATGGATGGGAAGCACACAACACTAAATTAACTCAGTGAGAGGGATCGGACATACAGTGCTCCTAGTCTCGGAGCTGGCCGAAGCTTCGTATTTCTTGAAGGCGCATCCACCAACTGGCACACGATTTCAGTCCTATTTATGTACAAAAATTCAGAGTATACGCATTGACAGCACGACCAGTATTGTTTTATGGATCAGAAGCCTGGCTTCCATGCGCAGAGGATACACTAAAACCCCCAGCTTTGGTCATCGAAGTCTCTGAAGCACGAGTGATATCGTCCGCGTACGCCAGACCGAAAGGGTTCTTAGAAGGAACTATTTGAACACTGGGATTTTAAAGACCGGTCGGGTTTCGCCTCATTAGTTCCTCAACAACGAAGCTGAATAAGAATGAAGAGATTGGACAACTTCGTGGGACACCATTCGTGTTGTAAACATGTCACAGCACTTTCCATATACGCAGTTCACAAAGCCGGAATTGTGAACATAAGGACCGGATTAGGTTCGGGAACATCTGCTGTTGAACAAGCGTAATCAGAACTGCTTACTGATCGACATAATCGAACGTACCCGTGAAGTCAACGAATTCTAAGACTGTGTGCCACCTGTACACATGGCGCCGCCCCAACGCCTGACGTAGTGTAAAGATGTGGTCGACGCCGCCTCCACTGCGTCGAAATCACACCCACGGTCTAGGTTCTGGGTGCCATCTCAATACAACGAAGAATCAGTACCGTCAGAGGTATTGTTACAATAACAGCCAAATTGGAGCATCCGAAGTTGGCACTCTTTATGAAGACGAACACGATTATCAACTCACGGACGTTCTATTCCTCCCAGAGAGAGGGTTAAACAGTCACTGCCATCCTTTAACAAAGCAGGTAGCATGTCGCCCGGATCAGCGGCACGATGACGCTTCCGAAGCTGAAGAAGACACCATATTTATAGTCAACGTTTCCACAGAAGGCTGACAGCCCAGAAAGCAGGTAGCAGATCGTCATCTGAAACGCTTACCAAAATATTCTACCAAAGGTCAAAAGTTCCTTTAAGCTGCATTGCATTTTTTGGCGATTCCGTTAAAAAGAGCCATCTGAGGACCTGACAAGTAGATCATTTGGAACCATCTGCGAACACTTCCACTATAGTTCGCCTCATCCAATTATTCGGCTTTTCGGATTCAGCAAGCATCTTGGATTGTATCGACGCTCGGTTTTATCCGGCATCAGATGATTTGTCACGGAGACTGGACCTTACCGTGGTGTGACCGTTTGCATACTTCATCGACCCATTGAGCTATACTGGGGGGTGTCCCCGCGACACTCACAGGGTCTCTCATACCGGGTTGGTCAACGGTTAGAGGTCTGACAAACCGTCTCCTGGTCCTCCAGGTTGAGGGTTGGAACATATGGTGACTTGTTCCGTAATGGCAATGCATTTGCATTTTCCGCCAAACTCCGCTGCCTTGCATTTAGGCCTTTGAGACAAAGGCATTGGCTGAGGACCCTAATCGTCCCCCTGTCTAGACGTGGGCGCCATGACAGTATCCCAGCCCACGTACCACCATGAACTGAACACATGCAAATAAACTCATCCCACATCAGCAGTCACGCGGTGCCATAAGCCGGGTCACCTTACTTCCTGCATTCAGCAGGGCGGGCAAGCGAAAACATGCTACTGCTGACGTCCCTTTCAAGTAATTTTCCTTCCCCTCTCCCCACCCCACTAATAGCTCTCCCTTTGTAGGCCCATCACTTAGGACTGATGGCCCCGTTCGTCTTGCATCGGTTTCGAGCGCAACATCTGCTCGTCACATGGCGCCAACATCCTCAGGTATGCGTGTTTCGGAGACACAGCATACATCAATTTTAAGGGAGTACAAGGTTTCAGCAAGCATAGCCTGTTTGCCAATTTGACATAGAGTACGGACGTTAAAAGCTCCTATATAGAAAG